TTAAAAAGTGAAATTCAAAACTCAATTTTAAATCAAATTTCACCTTAAACTTGCAATTTTATCGTATAATTATAATTTTAATTTCAATTAGTACTTGTACGGACCGATATAATTTCAATTAATATTATGTTGAGATTAAAATTGATATATGATGAAGGATGGTTGAGTCTTCTCCGGTTTGAAATTTAAACCGTAGATTAAGGATACTATGACCTGAGAGCCTTGATCATGATATGACAATATTGTATTATATGAATATTTGATATTATAAATAATTGTGAGTTACATTAGTATTATAAGATTATTATAGTATTATTTGCTGAGAGCTCTTCTCTCTACTCTAGGGTCTTCCTGTTATCCCTTTGTACCCTGCCATTTCAACTTTCCACCTCCATGTTTACTCTTTCAAATTCCGTTATTTTTTTTGTCCTTTAACCTCTTCATCCTTTTCCTTACTTGTGTGTCCCTCTTTCCTTCCTTTCGTCTTCTTGCTTTATGGACAAAGCTGCACTAATGGTTAATGCCTCTCACCAACCAAACTTGGCACCACATGATTTCAATCCAGTGCTAGCATTAATTGAAGAAGATAATAGAAGCATTAATAGTAAGAATGTGCTTGCTGGGAAAATTATTACGTCTAGGAAGTATAGTGCGGAGGTTGTAAAAGAAATTATGATTAAAGCCTATCTCTGTAAGGAGAATTTCTCTGTGTACTTAACAGAGGTAAACACCTTTGTTTTTACTTTCCATAATGCATGTGATGTTCAAAGAATTGTTGCAGGAAGACCTTGGACACTTCAAAACCAACATGTAGTTCTAAAGGAATGGCCACCAGACATTGCTTTTAATGATATTAATTTCAATTTATCCCCTCTCTAGATTCAAGCTCATGGTCTGTCCCCAAGCCAAATGAATCGCTCTAATGCAATTCTAATTGGTAACTTATTTGGGGGATTATTAGAAGTTGATCTTAGGCAGGATGAAGCCCATCAATGGCAACGATATCTGAGATTTAAGGCCAATGTTAATGTCACCCAACCTTTGTTATTGGGATTTAATAACAGAAAAGCACAAGGTGAATTCAATTGGGTGAGCTTTCGTTATGAAAAAATGCCATGCAGAGGCCATAACATGAAGTCACAATTAAGATTTGGTCCATGGCTTCGAGCAGTTACACCCACCAATAGGTCTCAACACATGGAAGAAGTTACTGAAGAATTGGGGCAGATGATTTAAAATCGATTAGGGGTTCACACCGCTAAACATGCTGAAGATAGAAAGGAAGACAATCAAGAAAGATGCATGCAAAGCAAGAGGTCTGACACAACATTCAATCAATTAGATGCTTCACCTGTTAGAAATGAAGATTGTATGTTAAGTAAATGTCTAAAGAGCCCTAAGAAAGGTAGTAGTAGTAGCTCCAACATTCAGGAGCGTCCAAGTGGTACCCTAATCCATCAAATCTCCTCATGATAACTTGTTCAACCTATCACATCAAGACCTACCTTCATTAAATGCCAGTCCTAATCAACCTGCACACCTTAACCAAGACCAAGATTCTCAGCCTGACCAAGCCCATTCTACAGTTATGGCCCATTCTGTATCAAGCCCAACAAGCAACCTTAATTTAGAAAACATGGTCCAAATACCCAATTCTCTAAATCAACGCCCAATCCCAAACACAGATTCTTCCTCACTCTTTTCTCTTGGGCCGAATAAGATCACCTGGCAAGTTAGGAAAAAAAATATTCCTTGAGAACATCCAACCCATCAATACAGGTCTCCAAGACCTATCTCGTCAGGCCAACACCCTCTAGACCAATTATCTTTGGACAAACTTGTGCTGATTACAAAAATATTTTATTTCCACAATTTAAGTACTAATAATCAGGAAACGCTATTAGAGGAGGCTTCAAAGGCGGTTGACCTGATTATTAATCAAGCCAGTATTTTACGCCAAAATACTCCTTCAGACCCTGTTCCTAAGAAGAAGCAATGGAAAAGACTGGCGCATAGCAAAGGGATTGTTATAGAAGAACTGATTGAGGAAAATAATGCAGCTTTACAAAGCCAGCTTGAGTTGCAAAATAGAAGCTCCAGGAAGAGGCCTTTCACAGAACAATTGGTGTTGGAAAACAAGAAAATCTGCCCTGATGATACAATGGAGGAGGAAGCTACCATAAATGGCTCCAAGGGGATCAATGAAGCTTTTGAGCTGGAATTGTCAGGGTTTGGGGAACCCCCTGACAATTCATAACCTCAAAGGGATTTTTAAATCTCATTCCCCTGATATTGTTTTTCTTACTGAAACTAAAAATAGTGATGCTTTTGTGACTAAGAAACTTTGTACATCTGGATACCAGGTGCTAGATATAGTACAACCAGAGGGGAGAGCAGGTGGTTTAGCATTAATCTGGGGGGAGACAGTAAATGTCATGATCATTAAAAAGAACGGTTCTTTATGCATGCCAGGTGAAAGATGATAGTTTGCATCTATGTTGGGATCTTATGTGTGTTTATGCTAATAGTGATGATATGCATCGGAAGAAACAATTTGATTTTCTGATACAATATCAGTAAGTCCTGTCTGATTATACTCTTTTTACTGGGGATTTGAACTCTATTTTGAGTTTAAGAGAAAAACAAGGTGGAGTGTCTTATGGAATGTGGAAACCGAATTATGTTTCGGGATTTTGTTAATAGTATGGCGCTGGCTGATTTAGGCTTTCAAGGACATCCAATGACATGGAATAATCGAAGAGACAGATCCTAGAATGTTTAGGAAAGACTAGATCATTTTCTTGCTACTAGTTCTTGGTTTATCAAGTTTCCCAAAGCAAAAGTTTATCATCTTGATGACTTGGGATCAGACCATCGTCCTATCCTCCTTGATGTCCATCCAAATGTGTGCAAGGGTCCTAAATATTTTCATTTCGATGACAGGTGGACCTTAAATCCTAAGGTTCGTCATGTGGTGGAAGAGGCTTGGTAATATGAGACACCTGGCTTAGATTTGTTTAAAGTTTTCTCCAAACTCAAGAAATGTAAGTGAGCACAGGTGTGGGCAAAAAATAATTCTGTGAACTCATAGAAACGACTCCAGGAACTTAAAATTCTTCTTAAAGAAGCTAAGCAGAGTGGGGATGGCCAGAGTAGCAATAGAGTGCAAAACTTAGAAGCCTAAATAAAGGCTGAAGTTGTTAAAGAGGAAATCTATTGGGCTCAAAAATCCAGACAAGTGTGGTTGCAAAAGGGAGATAAAAATATTGTGTTTTTTCATGCTAAAGCAGCTCAGCGGTATAAAAAAAATTTTCATTAATGGTATTGAAGATGCTCAGAGAGTATGGCATACTGCACAAAAAGAGATTGCAGCTGTTGTTTTGGATTATTTTCAAGCGATATTCACATCTTCCAATCCCTGTAACTTTCAGAGGGTCTCTCAAGGTATCCGATGTCGAGTTACTTCTGCTATGAATGACTTTGTAATTCGGAAGGTCTCTGATGATGAGATTCAGCAAGCAGTATTCAGCATCCATCCATCAAAAGCTCCTGGTGATGATGGTATGACAACTCAATTTTTTCACGTGTATTGGGATGTTATTAAAGAAGACATGTTCAAGGCTATTAGAAGTTTCTTTAGTTCAGGAAGGATGCTTAAAAATATCAACCACACTATTATCTCTTTTATTAATAAATTTTTTAAATGATTTCATAATTTTGATTGGCTAAAAAAAATAAAAATAAAAATAATTATTATTTATATTTATTAATATTTATTTGCATTATTTAGCATTAGTTTTCTTTAAGTTTCTTATTCTATTGTTAAAGTATATTATTTATTTAATAAAAGAGATTATAGTGAAAATTATTATCAAAACATGTAAGTTAATTATAAAACCTAAAATAAAAGCTATAAGATGATTTTTATAAATTAATTTGGTACTTAAACAAAAAATAAAATCAACTATTATATAATAGAAACTATATGAACAAATATGTTGAAGAAAATATAAATGATATATTTCATATTTAAATTGCTAGTTTAAAAGGGAGAAACAAATACATTAATTTTCATATCAATGAGATATTATAGTGTAAGACATATAATTAAAAAATATTTTACTATATAGATAAAAACTACTATATTTATTGCAATCTAAATAAAAATTTATTCTTTAATTATATAAATAAAAAAGCTAAACGAGTATATAAAATGACCATATAACCAATACAATCAATATACATCGCACGTCATAAAAAGAACTAATATATATAAAAGTGAAAATGAGCAAGGAAACATTGGCATTACAAAAAATAACCATACTAATTTTATACATCTACAAAAAAACATATTTAAAGATTTTTAATTTTATTGGTTGAAAAAAAAAATTTAATTTAATTGCATATAATTTTCTGTCTATTGATTAAAATAAATAATATTATAATAATATGAAATTATATGTTAACTATGGTATGAATACTAATTTTAGGTATGACTATAGTTCCAGCACCGCGGGTTTCGAATTTAAATTTTTTTTTTTTAGTTTATTTATTTGTTCTTGTTATGCACATTTTCTTAATTTTCGTCATAGTCGAATTTTCTAATTTTATTTTTATTTTTTCCAGAATTTTTCCTTATGCTAGCTAATACTTAGGCTTCTCTTTTCAAAAAGATATATTAATTAAAGAGTAATTCTCGAACTCCCTTTATAAGCCTAAGCTGTTGCGTTGAATTAATTCATACCATGCATTGATTTTCTAATTTACGAATTGTTTGGATTATATAATAATTTGTATGTCATTATTATTATTATTATTATTATTATGAGAAGGATTAATATAATATTTCTATTAATCAAAATTATATTACTGATAATAAGATTAATATTTGAATTAAATTAGGAATTCTATAAAAAAAATTGTAAAAAATTATACATAAAAAATTAAATCATATAAATCCATTCTTACGAGAATATTGAACGTAAAGATAAAACGAGATCTTCAGCACACAAAGATAAACCTCTTCATTTCCTAATCCATTAAGCGCACAGCATACATCCATTAACTGTCCCAAAATTGTATGGCTTGCTAAAGATATTTGCTGCTCTAACACTAGTCAAAAAGTAGCCTAAGAGAACATTATGGTACAACATTTTGATATCCATATGGGATTCTCATGATATTTCTAACCAAACTGCAGAAAGAAAGAATCTGCTTATATTAAAAATATGTTACATTCGCAATGTCGACAAGCTATCACGAGCCTTTAGGTGTTACTGAAAACCTGCAGCAAAAAAGGAAGATAAAGGTTATGTCATTGAGGCAAAATCATGACATGCATGCATATAGCTATATACAATTCGAGTGCGAGTATAATGATAGAGACGCAGAAAGAGACTTACCATTCACTTCATAGCTTCATGGCAATTTTGTTACTTGTTGGAATGTGCTTTAACTGAAAGAGGGGGAAAAGAAGATGGCGAATGCTGTTCCCCAAGGTTCTTTAGCGTATTTTACAATAAACAAAACAGTTATTGCTTGAAAAGTTCAGACAGCAAAGTCCGGCCGCTTTTCACTTTTTCAGTCTTACCATTGATCACCTCCGGCAATAGTGCGTGGCGATCGATCTTCTCTTTCCGCTTAATATTCTTGTCACTGCCTACATTACTACTGCCAGACACATTTAATTGATTATGGTTCACAGGTTCTCTAATCTTCTCCTGGCACTTCTCTTCTCGAAAAGTTTTGTTCTTTTTATCACTCTCTTGCCGTTGCATATGATGCTTTTTTTTCCCTAATATATTCCCTTTGATCATATTTAGTTCTCCTTCAGATAATTCACTTGTGTCAACTACTTTTTGGTGCTTCTTAGCCATCTCCTTGGACTCATTTTTAACAACTCTCACTTCCTTCTTTATATCCACCTCTGGCTCAGATATGCTTTTTGTCATTACCAATTTTTGTTTCTTATCTCTCTCTTGCATTTGTTCTGAATCGGATCTTGATAGGATTCGCTTTTTATCCTTCCAAATGTCAATTTGATGCTTTACCATATCAGACAGTTCCAAATCACATTTCTCCTCGGCAACCTCCATTCCTTCTTTAGCAAGTCCACCACTCAAAGTTTCCAAAATAACTTGGCCAAGAACGCATCTAGTCTCGTGTAGATTTCCCTTCCCAAGCAGGTAGTAGTCAATCATAAAACTCTTCCTTCCTCTTTCAAAAGATTCAACATCATCCACCAACTCATCAAAAAGTTGAGAAACATAACTTCCCGCATTCCTTGATACAAATACCTGAAGCACAACACAAGATTTTTACTCAAACACAAAAGCTATAGATTATACATAATGAGAGAACATTTCACTCTACATTGAACTATAGCATGATGCGTTCATTTTCATGAACTCATAATTCCAGTTGGAATATGGAAGGATTCATGCAGAATTCATTCACTTTCAGAGATGTCAGTTATCTACTAGTTATTGGCATGGACTATTGATAGTATGAAAATCAGGCTAAAGTATATTTTGAATAATCTATTCACCTTAACCAGGATAAGGGTGAATGCTCGGTGCGTTGCTTATCCAATTGGGAGCAGGATCAAGGAGGCAACTGACATAGAATAAAGTTTACAAATCCATATACATTTAACTCACCATCTAGATGAATGTGTTATTATGCAATACTGTTCACATGAAAATGTAGATTTATCTTCCAAATGGTCCTATCTCTATCCTTCTCCTATTTTTTTCTTTGTACGTAGTATTTTTTACATTTTTCTTAAACATATCAGCTCGTTCCTATTTATGCTATGGTCATATTTTGTATATCCACTAGTTCCTATAAATAGCACAATTTCCCAATGTCCATGTTGGACACAAAGAAGATATTTCCTTAGCATGAAAAGCTATAGTTGCATATATGTCATAAAAAGTTACCTAAATGATAATGGTGGACGTATCATGTATATGCAATTAAAGACAAGTCTAACAAACAGAAATGGAATGCCATGTCCATTAACCAATCACACATGTGCTACATGATATGAAAGTAAGCCATTATAAGATATAAACTAGAAAACAAGCTGAAGCTATATGCTTATGAAAGTAAGCATTGCCTATGAAAATGAAAAGCTAGATGAAGCACTATTGTAAAAGATTACAAGCATACAAATCAAATATAATATATATATATATATATATATAGTATAAATTATATGCACCTCACCAAAATCAGATTGCGGATATATATATATATATATATATATGCACTCACCAAATCAGAATATGCGGAAACTGGAAATTGCAACATGGACTGAGCAAGAATATCTAAATTAACCAAAGCACCAATGGAATGTCGAACCAAAGCTGCTAAATGACTAACTTCTTTTGCAAGTTCTTCATCTGATTTAAATTCAGAGAACCCTGACATCTCAGGTGCAAATTTATATTGCGGTTTAGCACCTTCTCTTGCAAATTTAACACCTTCCTTCCATGATCCATGATACAGTACAGAAGCAAAGACCCAGATAACAAGAGCATCTTGTGGGTCAGATACTAATGCTTGGTGAAAAGCTAACAGTCCAACCCTGTTCCAAAGATGAAGCAAGATCAGCAGCCATCTCTTGAGATGAGAACATTGATTGCAAAAATATAATGCCATGTGAATTCACTTTGGCCAATATTTCAATCCCCTCCCAAGCTATCAATTGAAGAAAAAAAAGAATATCATTATCAGGGAGAAAGAGGAATATATACATATTGCATAACAATTTAACTAGTCATGAAGTCGGCATTTTAAAGAACCTGCTTACACCTACCCAGACTGGTTGATCACCTACCAGGAGTTAAGGCAATAAGAATTTGATAAGTATAGCATGGGGATTGAAAACGGAGTGAAAATAGTTGTGAACTATAAGTTGATCCAAGGCCTTCAAGTCAATATATCCACCAGGCAAAATTTGTCACCCGGTAACTCCTCGGAAAAAAAAAAAGGGTTTGTGCACAGGAAAGAAGAGGAAAATGTTTAGGTTAGAAAAATTCTTAGCACAGCATAATAGCCCTTCATATTAAGGTCCAAAGAATAGTAGTTCAAATTTTCACAAGTTACCTGCTTTTAGACTATCACTATCAATAGCATAGAGTATAGATGGATCCTACAGTAGCCCATCTAGCTTAGAAAATAAAATAGTCATTGACAATATATAGCTGAATAGAAGCAAAATCAAACAGCTCATCAGCAATGAAGAGCCATGACAACAGCAATGCGATTCAATTACAAATGTTCAGAGCAGTAAGAGATCAAATGTGATGCAACAGCAAACTAGCAGGAAGCTTTTCTTTTAGCTTTCCCATTTTTCTGGCAGTAACAGTTGAATCTCTCTCAGATTAGCATATCCAGACTTTGATTTTGGAATAGGATTTGGCCAAATTTGGTTACAACAACACCAAGGAAAAGAAGAATAGAAGGGGAAAACAAAAATGAATGGGAAAAGCAAATGGGAGGAGCAAGAAAAAGGACACACAATTAGAGAATAAGGTCCTGTTTGCTTGTAGAAAACTAGAAAACAAAGTTTCATATCCATAGCTTTTAGCTATCCAAAAAGATGATAGAACCATATTAATCAACTCGCAATTCAGTTCATGATGGACTAATGAATAATATTCGTATGAGTCCAACTGCCAAGCCAGCTAAATGACTGAAGAAATGGAATCCAGATTGTCAAATTTGATAAAGTAGCATTATGCATCCTTATTAAGAAGTGAATCATAAATATTCAAATCTCTAATAATCAAATATTAAATCTCTGTTTAATCTTTCACCATTGTCCATCAGTAACCCCCTACTGTCTCGCCTGAAAAATTACATCAAGGTGAATTCCTTCACCAAGATAGCTTGAATCTCCTACCCTGCGAGTTAAAAATGGTAATTTACTAGCACACATCGCCATACTCGTTTGAGGTTGATCTTGATAGAAAATCAATCTAGCACTGTATCATTTTCGTGGACAATGATTTGAGAGTCAAATAATCTGAGCAGGCATTTAGATATGAAACTCGGGGAAGACATTTAATGTTATTCAATCAGCTTTGGGACAAGGAAAACATTTTGTGATTATATTTGTCAAAAGGACAGCCAGATGGTTTTGAATAAAAAATGGCAAACTTCTTCAAACTCAATAAATTCCAAGAGAGTCGCATTAGTATTCCAATAACTGCATTGGCAGCTATGCCAGAAGTGGACAGCCAAGACGGCAATGATGATATCAACAAATTATTAAATTTTACAACTGGACATTAATAGTAACAGATATCTCACCATAGAGTGTAATCACAAGGTCGATCACAGCCAACCACTTTATCCAAATTGAAGAACAATTTCTGCCAAGAAGATAGAGAGATTATCGAAAAGTCATTATTTCACGTGTAAAATCAGTTCGAAAATGACGATTCATCTGGGACTATACATGGAAGACAAACAAGAATATGCAAAGGACATGCAAGCAGAATAAAGATAGAAGAAGCCAGTTATGAACTTTGCGAAAATTTGTTTCCAGTAGGAAGTGACTGGCTTCAATCAAGTACAGCCACTTCTTGTTCCAGACATGGGTTAAAAGACTCAAGTGGGCTGTAGGTGGATCACCCTCCTAACATGATTGTTATGCTGTCAAAGAAAAATGCCATGTGAAACTGCCAAGTCCAGTCCCATGAGAGAATCTATATCAGCAAATATAAGTGGAACTTATTCAATCAAACTGTCACCAATCACCCTCCTGATCTGAAGAATTTCTACATTTGGATGGAAGCAATGAGATTTGGACCTTATTTTATTTTAACTTATTTGGATAAAAAGTCAGCCCAATCTTAAATTGATTAGACTCCTATATGAAGGATAAATTCATGAACATGGTTAAGAACTCATTTCAGGTGGATTATAATTCCACCTTTAATAGGTATTTCAAATTGACGCTCAATCATCTGCATTCATGAACCGTTAAGGTTCATAGTCCTAATCAATCAAACCTATATCATCAAATTCAAATCTCACAGTTTCAAATTCCTTCATCAAAATGAAAGATAGTTCTTCCAGATTCCAACTCCTGAATTCATTTTAGAAGACGAAATCACATCCAAAAATTATATATAATGTCCATAAATTTTAATATTATAGACTCCAACTAAGTCTAAATTATTCAGAAAGGTCTAGAACAAAATTAATGTGCTTTTCTCCAACAACATTCCTTCCTCCAACTTAAATTATTATTTTGGATTCTCTATCTTAAGTATTTCCAGGATTTGCCTATAATATTGGGCTGAGAAATAATCACTTTCAATTTCGTTTTAAGCAAACTAATTCCCATTTAAAATTGGTTTTCATAGATAATACTCCCTCCAACCCAAAATTATAGGTTTAAATTTTTGTCAAACAGTTTCAAAATAGTTAGTTAAATTAGTTTAACTATAACCTTTTTTCTTATTTTTCCATACATTACCCTTAAAGATCCTAAAGATTGTATATTAATGATTCCTTGAAACTTTCAAAATAAGATGAATAGTTAATATATCAAGGTTTCAAAATTATTTATCTTAAGATTTTTTTCGCCACTATCTGGTAAATTCAGCTGATATTAATTATTGATAAGAATTATTATATAAAGATATTGTGGGAAGTTTAAAAGAAAAACATTTCCAAAAATATAAATGGGATTGTTATTTGGGGAGCCACAGAATGGGAACTGGGACTATAACTCTGGGACAAAGGGAGTAATATTTTATGTTGCAACCAGATCTCAATTACTCAGAAAGTTCTAGAATAAAATGAATTAATATGATTTTCTTCAACAAACTTCTTTTCTCTAGCTTTAGTTATTGTCTCAGATACTCTCTTGAGCATTTCCAGTACCTAATATGATATTGCATAAGCCACAACCAATTCCTAAAATTTGAAACTTCATCAATCACAGCTATTTTTGAATGTCCAACTAAGGGCATCTTTATCATCGATAAAGTTACACACAGCTCAAGGCTTTTGATGTACATCTAAAGCTTACCATCAGCATCATGGGACTCTGAGATTTTTCAGCAGCCTGTTGATTAAAGTATGCCGCCTGCAATCAGGAGTTCCAAGTCAAAAATAACTAAACCAACAGATATATAACCCAGTATATATAGTTGGAAATACAAACATGAAATGGAAAAAACAGTTCAAGTAGGTTGAATCTTCGAAGCAAACAGATGGTAGTCTCAGCAGCTCCATAAGATAGCATGTAGTTCAATTCCATCATTATCCTACCCTGAACAAACACAAAATGATTTTGGTGAGAATATGATGAAGTTAAGAAATTCGAATTCAACAAGATACTACTGTAGATAACAGGCACTAAAGACTATACAAGGAATAAATAGAATATATTCCTTGTAGAGGCCAAGAACAACATAGAATCTCTATTTTCAGTTTCATGCAGCAGGCTATTCTTAGTTAACTCTTACGTTACCTTATTCAAATTCTTTAGAGAAGATGAAAGTTCACGTATTGCAAGTGTTGTTTCCCTTGATATTGACAAGCCCAAACGTCCTGCAATTCTCAATCCTCGCAAGATTCTCGCTGAATGACATAGTTTGCAATGGGAATCCAGTTAGTTTGAACTTATAACGTGTTATACATGGCATCCTAACTCTCTAAATCCTAAGAATATCTTATATATAAAGGTGGAAGAACCTACCACAATCTTCTTTGAAAGACAAAGGAGCAGGGATTAGGGTCCTTAGCTGTGACAAGCTCACAAATTAAAATAGAGGAACAAACATAGTGGTTGAAATGAAGCATTAAACTAGAAATAAAGTTTCCTAGCAAGGGAAAAGGGAAAACTTACCTTGAAGGACCTTAAATCTGCTATGCCATTAGCATAATCATAGATTTTATCCATGAAAGGGTCAAAGAATAAACTGCTTCCACAATTTTAAAGTAAAATTAAGTTAGAGTTCTGATCTTAAATATGTTGTGCTTTAGTTTTAAAGTAAAATTAAGTTAGAGTTCTGATCTTAAATATGTTGTGCTTTAGATTTAGAACATAATCAACATTGCGTATTTCTTCACAATCTTGCTACATTAATGGTAAAAGTTATTGTCCCTAAAGAAATAAAAAGAACAAGAAATTATGCCTGTTAATTGTGAAATCTCGATGCATACTATTTCTCCAGCGGATGAAGTCTTTTTCATCACAGCTACTTGGCATTTGAGATAAGAGAAACTTCTCTTTTTCTTCAGCATGCTTTGCGACTGTCTCAAAACTGGAAACCTATCACCCAAAAGAAAATCATAAATATGCCAAAGGTAAGATCATATGCTAACATGGGAGAATGCAAAATACTTGTGTACCAGCCATCATAAATCAAAATGAATAAGCATCTAATCTATTACATCTACTAAAAGAGAAGTTTCAGACCTCAACTACTGATCCTTTGATGTGCACCATGCATATAGGGAAACGTCGTCCAACAATCTCACATCTTCTGAATTGCTTCTTAACCTTTAATGCGATAGTACAAAACCAACAGAAACGTTGTGAAATCAACACCAAGAAACTCATTACTAATAAAAAAAAAAATCCAACAACAAAAATATAATAAAATGATAGGCAGTGAAATGAAAACAAAAAACAGCAGTGTAAGACCTGTTTAAGCTTAGCTGTGGTGATCACATCAAAATCTTTAGGTATTCTATTTAGAAGCAAATCTCTCACACATCCACCAACTAAGTAAGCTTCAAATCCTGAAATTCATAGGGAAAGTAGGCCACTTGATCAGAAACAAACTAGGCGTTCATGTAAAGCAAAGATTGATAATTTGAAAGTGCAGAATAAACCAATTGAAAAAAAAAAAAAAAAAAACCCCATTGAAAGGCAGATAAACCCAATTTGAAAAAAAGAAAAAAAAAAAAAAAAAAACCCCAGCATCAAATAAAACCAGCTCTTCCGAATGGATTGGCACACTATAGAATCTTAATGCATATTCAGCGTTCAAAAAAGTACAAGTTGAAGAAAACATGGGTTACCCATTTAAGTTGATGAACTTTCTTACAGTTTCAAACCATAAAAAGCATATCAAACATAGTAAAAGAAAATGCAAAAAGAAAAAAAATATATATATACCCTTATCATGCAGAATTTTCAAAACAATCCATGGAGAAGGTGGAATCTTTGAACGGGTCACACCAACACTCTTTGCGTTTATTTTCTTCCATTTCGAAAAGTCAATAATGGAATCTGCTTCAATAATCAGAATTGAAGTCTCAAGTAGTTTTGATAGTGTAACAAAGAGAAAATTCAAAATTCTGCTCACTTTGTTGAGAAGCAAAATCATAGCTCCCCATTTCAGGGGGTAATTGAGTGTATTCAGTTAAAGTGTGGTTAAATCTCTGCACATGAAATTTCAAAAACCATTCGTCAGTAAGTGTTCGACGAATTGCCACAACCAAAAATAATAATAATAATAAGACAATTAAAGACCAGTAAGGTGGATAGAGATTTGAGACGAGATTGCAAGCAAGTTTTGCTTCTGAGGAATAAAGCCATTAGAGAGTGAGGTTCATGGCGCGATTATGCTTCTTTATTATTGTGGCGATCTCGGTGGGGAAGATAGCCGCGGAAAACGGGTTGCTTTGCTCGCATCATTATCGAATTACCCTTCGTCGTGCGAAATATAAAAGAACACTGCAAATTTGGCATAGAGTTGGTCGCAACACTGTCAAAACGGGCCGCGCGATCCTGCCCGCGTGGGCTCGGTCCCAAAACGGGCGAGTCGAAAAGCTCATTGAAAAAATGAACTTTCAATATCCAGGCTCGGCCCGTTTTGAAAACAGTTCTCACCAAGCCAATAAAAGTACCCGCACTTGTGGGTTTCCTATTAAATTTTTTTTATTTAAAATTTATTTTATCGATATAATTATTATTATTAATTTTTTTTTTTTTTTTTTTTTTTTTTTTTTTAAGAAAGGAATGAATTTCTTTAAGATAAAGAAGGAACATCACTGGCAATTAGAACTTTTATATTAGCTGGAAGCTCATACCAAATTTGAAAACAAGCATAAGAAAAAACTACCATAACCATAGCGTGAGCGACTTTATTCACCTGTTTTCGAACTGAACTCATATGAACACCTGTAAGTGTAGAGAGAAGGTGTTACATTCATCAATAACCATGTTAAATTCCGATTGATCTGACCCATGGTTACCTATAGCACCAACAACCAACTGGGCATCTGTTTTAACCTGGATATCCACAAAACCTCTCAACTCAATCCATGATAGAACCTCCCGCAAAGCAATGGCCTCCGCAAGCCTAGCCTCTCCATTTCCATGCATTAAATCAGATATACCCACTAAGAATTGACCAGCATGGTTGCGGAATACAGTACCAAATCCAAACCTCACAGAATTCACATTAATCGTAACATCGAGGTTACATTTCACATGCCCATTTGTGGAGGGAGCCAGTGGGGTAGGATAGCTGCACTCTCCTCCTACTGACCCTGAGACAGACACGACACCTAAGCCTCCCGCCATTCAGCTAACAACCAGCGGGCAAGTATAACGAACATGTCTGGCAAAGTCTTCTCACCACTCAAATAACCTGGTTCCTACTAAACCAAATATACCACGCTCCCATTCCAACCTCCTCCAATTTATCCTTCCCCATGTAGCAGTTATAAAAGAGAACAAATCGACAAAGTTTGACATAGGCAGATTAAATTTTATATATATATATATATATATTTTATATATATATATATATATATATATATATATAAACTTGTGATTTTTCCCATGAAAAAACGGTCCATTGTTCAGTCCAAGGGATGAGAAGTTTTGTTTGGTCTTTGACTACAAATCGCCGACTGTTCTAAGAGCACAGTTTAATGGCGTGCGACGACCGCCTGGCCATTGCAGGCCCTTCAATTGCAATGACGGCAAAGTTTTTAATGAAGATTTTGAAGAAGATGTTGCATTTTACCTTTTTGTCTATATATAAACTTGTGATTTTCCCATGAAACGGTCATTGTTCAGTCAAGGGATGAGAAGTTTGTGGTCTTTGACTACATCGCGACTGTTCTAAGAGCACAGTATGGCAGTCGACGACGCTGGCCATTGCAGGCCCTTCATTGCAATGACGGCAAGGTTTTAATGAAGATTTTGAAGAAGATGTTGCATTTTACCTTTTTGTCTCTCATTGTTTTTCAATTGAGCTTCAAAACCTTTTAATTTGTTCAATTAGATCATGAAATTAATTTTGATCAAATATATAAAAATCATTGTAATTCCATCAAAGTCAATCAAAACCTATTAAAAAAAAGTCCAACCAATTCCATCGATGTGGAATTCTAGTAACAATTTTTTTTAAATCTAACACAATCTTAATCCAATTCCCCCCCTAAAATTTAATAAAATCAATAATTTTATAAAATTCTTTCAAATCGGTAATTTTTTTTTGAATACCATCATAATTTATATGGACTTTTAAAAATCATAATTTAATACTACCAGATTTTTATTGATTTCGTAAGAGTCTTAATTGAATATCATAATTTTAATAGATTAAAAAAAAATCTTGATCAGGTATTATTGAAATTTTAAAATTTTTTAAAATTTAATAAAGTGTTAATAAAATTCTCGATCAGATTTAATTGAAGGGCTCAATCATGGGTTCCAACGTCGAGGATCCAAAGGTGCATGAAGAGCCAAGTGAAGATCCACTCACTTTCGAATCGGCTTCGGAGAAAGCCGAAGGTTGAGGCCAGCAGCGTCCATGAACAATCTGAGGAGAAGGTGAAGGTTGAGGATGCGGAAGAGCCAAGTGAAGATCCACTCACTTTGGAATAGGAAAAGGTTGAGGATGCGATGGATGAAGACGACCTCCGAACTAATGGCGTTGAGACTTGATTACGGTAGCGGTTTAGACGACAGCTCAGATGGTACATAGCGAAGATTTAAATGATGATAGCGAAGGGGAATACAAAGACAAGGTCGACAGGAAGAGATTTCACAGATACTGGAGACAGCTTGATCGGTCCGATGTAATATCATTTTTTTTTATTTTTAATTTTAATTATTCTATTAGATCATTCTCTTTCTAGTTTGGTTATTCAAATTTTTTTCTTATACCAAGCATTTCCCCTTCAGTTTTTTTTCGTCGATCCCAGACTTTTACCTGGAGATGTTCAGCTTATGTTCGTCCACTAAGGTGTAGTGTGCAAAGCTGAAACTTGTTAAATTAATATATGCAACTGCTACTGGTAATCAGTATTACGTAACATTTCTGGTTGAAGACGAAGCATCAGGTGTAACAGGCACCTATCAGACCGATGCCTGTTACTGGAGAGTTGGATGTCATAAGTCAGATGCAGCAGCAGTATATAAATACTTCAATTTTCTCAGGCCAGAACCAGAAGGATTAAAGTTGGAGAACAGAGTTCGCAACTGGTAATTGAACTGATTCTCTCTCTCTCCCATATGCAATTTGATCCAGTTGCCTTTTATTTAAAAATAAAATAAAATCTTTGTAACTTAATTAATATTGGAGCTCTGAACATGGAAGGATGAGTATGCTGCCCAATGGTGCAATGCTGCCCAAGCAATTCAGTAGAAGAAGTTTGATACATTTTAGATCCTAGAACTAAGCTGCTGAGAAACCTGTGAGACTATGATTTTGAACTTATTTATGTTGAAAAAATTGAAACTCGTGATTGAATTTTGACTGAGGAAATGTACCTTGATTTCGATTAAGCTCGTGAGCATAATTGACAAATGTGAAATTTTTATGATGTAAATAGATGTGCTGTAACAGTGATTGATGAATGATGGTTGTCCTGGATGATGAGTTGATGTTAGGGTGGCCACAGTTTCAAAATCTGACGGTTCCGGTTATAATTTGAAATTAAATAATTACGATTTTGATTTCTCAACAGTTTCATCGACGGCTCTATCAATTTTCTAGCAAATTGTATAATTATAAAATAAAAAATTAGGGAAATTTTTTTTTAAATTTTAAAATTTGAAGATTTGCAAATAATTTCTTCTTAAAAAAATTTAAGAAAAAAATAAAAAATTCTTGAACTTAATTTATTTTTTAAAAAAAAGCTTGAACTTAATTAATTTTTTTTAAAAAAAATTCTTAAATTTAGTTTTTTTTTTTTTAAAAAAAAAAGCTTGAGCTTAATTTTTTTTTTTTCAATTTCAAATTCTTGAGTTGAAATTTTCAAATTTTCATTTGGATATCCCTGAAGATCAAATTCGTCGGGAGTGAAATCGAACATGTCATTCATAGGCATTGATGAATTTTGTGTTCTCCAACCTTTCCTTTGCCTTTAGCAGAACTTGACTTTTCTTTATTTGCCATTATTGGATAATAATATGTAAATTGGAAAATTGAATAAAAAAATTAGAGAGAATAATTGAAAATTAGACTTTGGAGAAATTATTTCGCAATATTTTCCACAACAATTTATAAATGAAAATTGGAGAGATTGTAGAGTAGAGAATAATATAGATTAGAGAGAATAGAGATAATTTTGTGTGAAGGGATTGTAAATGGAAAAGGGTATTTATAATAAATCTAAAAAATTAAATTTTCACAAATACCCTTAAAATTAGCGGTTATATAGCCATTGGGAGGGTTAATTTGGGGATTTCATAAAAGTATTTAGAAAAATAAAAAAGCTGTAGAATCGAGTGGAATCGCCGATTTTAGCTGTTTGAAATAAAATTAAAATTTTACTTAGAACTACCGGTTCGAACTGTCGGTTTTAACTTGCAAGAAAAACTACAGGTTCCCGCCAATTCTTGGAACCGCTGGTTAACGGTTCTAAAAATACCAGACGTAGACCATCGATTCCAGTTCTAGTTCGGACTGGTTCCAGTTCCGAAACCCGGGAAATGGCCACCCCTATGTAGGAGGAAGGGCTTTTATTTGAACATGATTTGCCTAGCATATGAGCCGTGTTAGCTATTGACATAATATAGGCCGAATGCAAAATTTCCTCTGTGAACTTTTTTTCAAATTGTCATTTGTGCTTCCTAACTTTGCGAGGGACTGCGTGTGCACCTTAACTCGTTCGTTTTTTTATCTATTATACCTTTATTGGTCCAGTCAATAAGGCGCGTCAATACACTCTAAAATTCACACGTGAAGGTTGTAATTCTCATACAGTTGATATTTTTAATTATTAATACACTTACTTTTTCCTCTCCTCCATCTCTCCTTCTCTTCATCTTTTTTTTTTCTTGCAATTCTTGAAGCTATAAATCTATGGAGAAGAAACAATTCTTGCTTTCTCAATTTGATTTTTTTTTTTCTTCTCTTTTTCTCTTTCCCTTTCTCTCTCTCTCCAGACTTGTTTTTCCCTTTTTATCTTTTTATTTATCTCTCCATGATTGTTTGATAATGGGTCTTTGTTTGAAGGAAGATTTGATGAGTAAAAAAATGGAAAAGAAGATTTGAAGAAGAAAGGAAAAGAGGGTGAAAATGATATTTCTTTTAAATTTTTCAACAAATATCTCTTTAATTGTATTTCTTTTTCTTCTTTTCAATTTTCTCTTCTTCTCCTCCTTAATTTCTTTACAATAAAGTTTCTGAAAATTTGATTTTGAATCCTTGAAATCCCTAAAATTAATTTTTGCAGCCCATCACCTCCACCATTGCTGCGCTACACAGGTCAAAACTAGAGAGGAAGATGGAGAGGCAACGGCGGCAGGTATGGATCGATCAAAAAGTGGAGAGGGAGGAGTCGAAAATGGAGAAAGAGGAGTCAATGTTGGCTGGACACAAGTAGATGATCAAAAAAATAAATAAATAAAAATAAAGGGGGAGGGCTGTGCAAAATCGGGGAGAAGGGAGAAGATAGATTTAAGTTGGGGCAGACTCGGGTTGATTAAGGTCCAATTTGGCCCATATCATGGATTTTTCCTTGGTTTTTAATTGGTTTATAGAGTTCTAATGGGTTTAAATTGGTTTAGCACATATAAATGCCATGTGAAATAAAATATGTTGACGTGTTTAAAAAAAATGCCACGTAAAACTGATTGTATTTTACACTCAATTTTATGACTAAACGGGATGTAAAATATATAAAAAAATAAATTCAGAGGCACGTTAGGTCTCCTACAAAGTTAAAGTTGACAGATAATTAAAATGAAAAAGTTCAGGAGAATTTTATGCATTCCGTCGTATAATATAACAATGATGTTATGTATCATGTATGTAGAGGGTATTTGTTATCCTACATGAATGTGTCGCGTACATACGAGTTTTGCAGGCGTATGATGATGGCGTAGCATTATTTCATTGGCTGAGGATTAAATATTCTTTTGGTTTAAATTTTTTTTTCTTTTTTTGGATTCAGCTTTAAAAAAATCGAGACGCATGCAAAAAACAAGCCATCATGGTGTCCTCTCTGTCCCCACGCAAACTTCGTCCTTTTCTCCCTCTCTATGCCTTCAGTATTTTATAAGCTCCCGATTTGCCTCTTTACTTTTACTGATTTACCGTTTTGCCACCCCTTCCTAAAAACTTTTCTTATTAGTTTCTTTCACTGTTGCCTACACACGCCAAATACTTTTGACAAATTTACCCTTTTTTAAGAAAAATTATTATAATCACACCCCATTCCTCTTGCAAAAAAAAAAAAAAATAATAATAATAATAATAATAATTATGAGCTTCATTCATTTTATGTATCATTTCTTTTTTCTAATTGGTAATATCAATTGTTAATTTATTTAATAAGAGTTTATTTTTAGATTTTAAAATTGAAGTTTATAACTTTATATGATAGAATTAATATTATTATCACTTGAGTAAGTTAATAGGTTGAAATTATTTCATAATTAAATTATTCTAATTGAATTGAAATTTTAATCAACATAGTTTAATAATTTTTTTAATTTTTATTTGTCAATAAATACACTTTTACCTCAAGAAAGATACATCCTATCACATTTTTTTTATCAATATTAAATAAATGTCAATTAAATTTCAAAATTTTAGTCCATTATTTTTATTTTTTATTTGGAAAACAGGATAAAAATGTCAAAATCTACCTAAATTTGGTAAACGCCTAATTAATTGAAAGAAATTCAAAAAATGAATAAAGATTAGAGATTTGTTCTATGCAAAGAGAAGAAAGAAATAAATGTGATGGGGTAAATTTTTGTATCACAAAATTGACACTTAATTGTACAAACTGTAATTCACACACTCATGGTAATTTCACAAAAAAAGTTTTTTAACCACCTGAACATGACATTTTATATAGAAAAAGGATAAAAGGAGGAGTAACATAAAAAAGAGGGCATTTTTGTCATTACAAAGATTCACCGATTTGAAAAAACATACTCTCTTCGTCTTCTTTATTTCGAGAAAACAAAAAAACTATTGGATTAACAAAATTAATTTATTAAATATTTTCTCCCTAAAATGCCCTTAAGAAGAATTTATTTCTTGCATCTTTGGGACGTCGTTTCAAACATTTTTTTATTAATTATATTACATTTTATTAGAATGAGGACGTTTTATATAATATGTTCCCAGAAATTAAAAAAAAAAAAATTTAGAGTTAAATTAAATGCAAATTTTTGAACTTATTCATTGAAAGTCATAAATTTCCAAAAAATATAGTTAAAATTATTTTTTCCATTCAAAAAAATCCTTTTGAGTTAGGGAAGATATATCTTATAATTAATAATGTTATTAAAAAAATAATATTTTAATTTACCTGACACGACAATATATTCAGGTAATTAGATTAATATCCCCTCCTTCAATAAAAAAAATATTCAATTATATTGTTATTAACTCTTAAATTTCAATAATTTAAATTTTAATCAAATTAGAAACATAATCAAATTTAAATATTTTAGGAGTCAAATCTAAGGAAATCAGTAGTTGCTGGAGTGGTTGAATCATTCAAACATTACCCACTACACACAATGTAATAGAGTTATGAGTACAAGGATGAAGGAGCTAATTGCATGTGTGAAAAAACAAAAATACAATAACTTCTATGTTTGGGCTGGGCTTGTTTAAACTTTAAGCCCATAATATTGGTTTCCTCCTTTGCTCTTTTGCATGAAAGAAGAATATTCATGGAATCATTCATCCAACCTATAAAAATCTACTTGTTCTTTGCCTTTTTGACCTCTAGAATAAGGGGAAAAAAATTAAAAATGGTCTCTAATTATAGTTAAATTTTTAAAATTAATTATAAGATTACAAATTTATTATTCCGTTAATATTTTGGTTATTAATTGACTGAAGAATTGATTTCTAAATTATAGTTAAATTAATTATGAAATTTCTATTTTATGATTTTTTTTTATAATACCATTATTTCTGATTTCGTTAACACTTTAGTCTCTCTATTTTGATATAAATTGAATAAATTAAATTTTTATACAAGAAAATTACTGAACAGAATAAGTTTGTTTTTGTTTATTTTTCAAGTTTGATTTAATTTATGAGTTAAATAAATTTAAGTTTTAGAATTTTAAGATTTTAGTGCTCTATATAATGAAAATAGAATTGAAGTCAACTTTTTAGTTTTTTCCCACTAAAATCAAAATTAAATTGGATTTAAAAAATAAATAAATTGAATTAATTAATTCAACAATCGATTTCTGGGCACGGATTTCACTCCATTGGTCTGAGACGATCAAAACAAGGAAAATTAAAATATATGTCAGATTTTTAAATTTTAATTTAAAAATGTGATTTTAACTCAAAATATTAAATTAATATTACTTTTATTAATAATTATCTAATTTATATGAATTTTTTACTATATATATATTTTTTCCATTTAGACATTTTGTAACCTACGTTTGTTTGTTTTTTTTTCGTTGTATAGTCATTTTTTGTTTTCATTTTATGTTTTATTGTCTGGTTTTTTGAATATATTTTTAGGGAATTTGAGTGTGACGTAGATTCATTAAAATTATTTTAATTTATTGTTTTAATTTTAATAAAAAATTATATTTTTTTGATTTTTAAAATTTTATTTATTTATTAATATTAAAATTTAATTTTTGACACTTATTAAATTATTTTATTAAACAATGGGCGAAAATCCCAATGAAATAAAGTCCAAGAAACGCGTAACCAATGAGCGGGGAAGTACCTCCAAATCTCCTAGGAATCGAAACTTACGATCCCCTTCTAAGCATCTTTCTCAATACAAGACTCGTGTCGTTTCCCCGACAACACAACGCCGTATTAGGAGCGAGTGAAATAACTCACCTCCACAGCGCGTGAAATTCCCCAAGTTCCCAAAGTACCCTCACACACACAACTTATACCTTACTGGCCTATCTAAGACAAGTCACCTTCGATTCTCGCCCTTATATATAAATCTCTATATATTATTTAATTTTTATTTTATTTTAATTTTAACATCTTTTTATTTATTTTCTCTTTTATTTTTTTCACCTCCGCGACTAACGATCTCTCTCTTCTCCCGTTGTTGTTTGTTTTCTCTCCGTATTGGATTTCTTCTCAGCTGTTGCCTCAATCTAGGGTTAGGGTTTCGCTGTGGTTTTTTTTTTTTTTTTTTTTTTTAGGGTTTTCGCTTGTGGTTTTTTTTTTTTTTTTTTTTTTACGAATTAACTAAAAGAGTCTGTTGAAGATTAGATGGGCAGGAGGCAATGGAGCTACTGATGAAGGTCAGCAGCGATTCGACCGCAGCGGCGCTGAAGGAAGTCACGTCAATATCACGATGCTCTAATGGATCGAAGTTTTTCGGTAGGGATAGCTTATCCTCGGACGGTTGAGGCGTTTAACAGGCAGCAACTTTCGGAGAGTGCGACTGTGCCGGCCGATCAACAAACGACTGATTTTACAAGGGCGGATCTTAAAGGACGATCAAACCTACAAAGCTAACGTGTATAATCGAAATTGTATATTTTTTTTTTTCGCAGATTTTGGTATTTCATTTATTGAGTATTAATTTTGTTGGAATGAAATGATTATATTTTTGTCTAACATAATTTTTTTTTTTTTTTTTTTTTACGATTAACTAAAGAGTCTGTTGAAGATTAGATGGGAGGAGGCAATGGAGCTACTGATGAGGTCAGCAGCGATTCGACCGGCAGCGGCGCTGAGGAAGTCACCGTCAATATACGATGCTCTAATGGATCGAAGTTTTCGGTAGGGATAAGCTTATCCTCGACGGTTGAGGCGTTTAAGGCAGCACTTTCGGAGAAGTGCGATGTGCCGGCCGATCAACAACGACTGATTTACAAGGGCCGGATCTTAAAGGACGATCAAACCCTACAAAGCTACGGTATATCGAAATCTGTATATTTTTTTTTTCGCAATTTTGGTATTTCATTTATTGAGTATTATTTGTTGGAATGAAATGATTATATTTTTGTCTAAATAATTTTGGTGATCTGCAATATTTGATGTTATTGAAAAGCATTAATGCTTTCAACGTGATCATATGCTATAATTATTACTGGGTACTTAATTATATTCTCATTTTGTCATCATAATTTTGAGAAATAAGTGCATAATTTATCTGCTGGGTGGTCAAACTAAAACAACATCTATGGTATGGGTTAGAAATGAAATACCCATTAAAGGAGGAGCCCGATATACTGGAAATTTGCTTCCTTCAATCTCCTTAACCAACATGAGGTTATTTATTAGAAACAAGGAGAGCAGCCTTAACCAACATGAGGTTATTTATTAGAAACAAGGAGAGCAGCATTGAAGTCGACAAACTTTGATTCCTTCATGTATAAATATAGTGGTATAGGTGTAGAAATGAAACAGCTATGGTATGGGTGTAGAAATGAAATACCCATCAAAGGAGGAGCCCTATAATATTGGAAATTTGCTTCCTTCAATCTCCTTAACCAACATGAGGTTTTTTAGTAGAAACAAAGAGAGCAGCATTGAAGTCGACAAACTTTGATTCCTCAATGTATAAATATAGTGGTAAAACAACATATAGAATAAAAAGGAAAAAGATGTTGATTATTACTAAATAATTTGCTAAGGCAATGGATTGTTATAAAATATCAGCTGATTAGAAACATTTGCATTGATAGTTTTATAAAACCGCATCAATACAACCTTGCTTCATGCTGATGTGCACTCGTCTAGCAACCTTACCCCACTGCCATGTTACACTCCAGTACTTTGGCGGTGTTTTTTTTACTCCATTGCTGCTACCACTCTAATTTGTTGCTACTTGGAGTATATGATTAATGCGAACTTGAAGCCAGTTGGAGTTCATTATACTGACCCTTTTTATTGGAGGGAAAGTAAATCTCAGTCATGTTACTGCTGAGTTAAATACTAAATATTTGAATCCCTGTAATCCTATAGTCATTCCATATATATATATCAGTATGAACTTTTCAGGCTAAAACCTGTTCATAAATTTGAAATTTTTTGTGTTAGCATGCGCTCCCAACTCCAAACTATGGTGACCAATAAATGAGTAGCAATAATTTTAGATGACAAGTTCCTTTACAATTAATTGAGGTACATATATTTAGTGCGAATGATATTATTCAAACCATCAATGGATTTGGTACTGCTTTTATTTAGTACTGCTGTCAGTTGTATTTGTTTTGTTATGTAACCCAGTAAATTCCCTTTGTATAATTCTATCATAGTTGTGGGAGATTTCTTGCTGAGGATCTTGCCTTGCCTTTTTGTATAGTGGCTGTGTCTCCATGCTGTTGGATAGAATTTATGTTGCAATTTGGGAATTGTGTTCTGTGGCAAGTGAATGTAGAAGGAAGGCTAAGGATGTTTTGATTTCCTGCCCTCTATCTTAGTTGAGCTTTGAATTTCAGGGTTGTAGATCAGAATAATTAAATAGGTAACCTTCGTTTCTAAATTTAGATATGAAACAGGATTCTAACTTTGTCTGTTACCCCTTATTCAACACTTCCACTGTACTCAACAAATGGAAGCTTTGGGTGGCTTTTTTGTTTTGTTTTCAGTGGTCTATTTCAAAGTTCAGCGACTTTTAGAGCTCATCTCATTGTTTTCTTTTCTGTAATCAGATATTCAATTGTGCTAGTCTAATTCATGATTTTCCCAGGAAAGTTTTGTTCATGTTCTCATGACATTAGCTTTTAATTTGTTATGTACGAAAGCTTCTATAATGAAGGACATCATGGGCAATAATCAGATTTCTCTGTTTTCTATGCATGAATGATTTTGATGTGACTTTTTCCCATTATCATTGATAGGCTTGGAGGCAGATCACACCGTCCACTTGGTTCGTGGTTTTGCACCAGCTGCAGCAGCAGCAGCAAATACACCTCCTGCTAGCAATACTGGAGGTTCAAATGCTCCTTCAACTAATACACGGCATGTTGGTTCTAATGAAGGTGGAGCACTTGGAGGGTCTGGTTTTGGTGCTTCACTATTTCCAGGTCTTGGTTTAAATGGCTTGGGTGGCAGTGGTGGACCTGGTGGTTTGTTTGGAGCTGGACTTCCAGAGTTTGAACAGGTGCAGCAACAATTGACTCGGAATCCCAACATTATGAGAGAATTAATGAATATGCCTGTTGTTCAAAATCTAATGAATAACCCTGAGATCATGCGGAACTTGATCATGAACAATCCTCAAATGCGTGAAATCATTGATCGAAATCCTGAGCTTGCTCATATACTTAATGATCCTAGCACTCTCCGTCAAACACTTGAAGCAGCAAGAAACCCTGAGCTCATGCGTGAGATGATGCGCAACACTGACAGAGCAATGAGCAACATTGAATCTTCACCTGAGGGATTCAACATGCTTAGGCGCATGTATGAAACTGTTCAGGAGCCATTTATGAATGCAACAGCTATGGCTGGAAATACTGGAGGTGATAATGCAAATCCATTTGCAGCTCTTCTGGGGAACCAGGCAGGGAACCAAGCTAGTGATGGGTCAACTAATCCATCAAGTGCTAACTCTGAGTCCACCACAGGTTCCCCAGCTCCAAATACCAATCCGCTGCCCAACCCATGGACTTCTGCTGGGTGTAAGCTCTCTCTTTCTCACCCTTCATATTAATCATTTTGAAGCAGTTGAAAAGTAAATTACTGTGTATCTTCTTATGTTCTTTGTTCTTAATCTTTCTGCTAACTCCTCCTTCCTCCTTCCACTCCTGAAAGGTGTTAGGTTTGCAATGAGTCTACTTTCTATAATCATTTCAATGACATTCTGAGTTAAGTTAAAAATATGTTATTTAGATTTCAAAAATATTGTATGTCAATGGGTGATGGTAGTGCTTGAGTTAGGTTGGCTTTTTAGTGATTTTGTATTTCATCACTGGTCTGTTTATAACCTTTTCTCAGAGTTCCTAGATATTTAATACAGTTTTATTTATTTACTTGCCTTTTATTTTATGCACCTTAAAAATGTCTTATGAAGCATGTGACATTTAACTTTGATTAAGTTAGTGTTTTATATGTTTCTCTCTCTCTCTCTCTCTCTCTCTCTCTCTCTCTGATTATCAGTGCTTAAAAATGCAAAATAATAGATAATCTATCGACTGCTTTTGCTAACTTCTGATTAAATGCAACTTTTATAGCTGGTGCTGCCCCCCAGGCTAACACCACAAGGTCAAATACTGCTGGGGATGCTAGGGCACAGGCACCTGCTGGGTTAGGTGGACTTGGTCTTCCAGAGTTTGACAACATGTTTGGTGCTATGCCAGACGCTAATCTAATGACTCAGTTATTGCAAAATCCAGCTGTTTCACAAATGATGCAAAGCCTCCTTTCCAATCCTCAGTACATGAACCAGGTAACAAAATGTCCATGTTGCTTGGTATAATTCTTCTAAATATAACATCTTGCCAACTAACATCAATTTTATTTCAGGTTCTTGGTTCTAATCCTCAAGTTCGTAGCATGCTTGATTCCAATTCTCAATTAAGAGAGATAATGCAAAACCCAGAATTTGTTCGTCAATTAACTTCTCCTGAGACAATGCAGGTACATCTGTCGATTTTTGGCTTTGACTCTCTACTCATTCATGCATGCACATACCTCTCCCTAGTGATCACAACATGTGTGAAGTGAAGATGGCTGTGAAGTTGGTATTAGATATTGAATTGTTTTTGTTTAAGCTATTCATGATGTTTGCATTATTTAATCAGTCACCAAGGTTATTAGAACTCCCAAATGGTGCTATAATGTTTTTCTTTTTTAGTAAATTGAAGATATAAGCCATATGGTTTCTTTCATGCAGCAACTTTTGACCTTCCAGCAAGCTCTGTTGTCTCAGCTTGGTCGGCAGCAGTCAAGCCAGTAAGTTGTTCCATAGTTTTTTCTCTTAGTTTTTCCTGGAAATTTCCATTGACCTTTTGTAGGAATGGTCAAGGCATTGGATGGTTTTCACCTGTTTTGTTTCTTAGGTCTCTCATCTACATGTGACATCTTATGTGGGTTAGCTGTTCAGTTTGTTTTTCAGTTTACTAAATTGGTGTCCTTTTGCAGGGAACCAGGTCAGACGGGTCCAGGAACAGGTATTAAAGACAGTCTCTAAAACTTCAATTTTTTTCTGCTGAAATTGTGGTTGCACTATTTTGTTTGATATTTTCACTGTTTCATCATTTGTACCATCTAAAGTGGGTTGAGATTGCTTTGTTCCAATGCTAGGCCTCATATGGTTCTACTGTGCTTCATTTGAATGTTTATGTCCCCAGTGTGTTAATGATTGAAGCCTTCTATTTCAACTCTTCAATTTTCAGTTTGGAAGGAAGAGATCTGATAAGAGCTAATGTAGTAGTTTCTAAAAGCAATTATTTAAGTTTTGGTTCTTGTTGCTATAGTAAGATTAATAGCATGAAAATTGTTTTATGCTCAATGAAACCCTAGTAAGTAGAAATTAGATTCTTGGTGCAATGCCAAGGTTGTCTATTAACGCTGGAGGTTACACATTTGAACCCTAAAAGGCCTCCGATGCAAGTAAGGCTGTGTATGTCTAATACTCCCAGAAGCAGAATGTGGGAATCTATGTGCAGGGTGGGCACCCATTAATCAATGAAACTTAAAAGTCTCTGGCATTGAAGTTAGTGTCTTTTCAGTAAGCTTTGGAAGTCTGTTAGATTAGATTTCTTATAGTAAATTTATCTGGTTTCAAATCTATTTTCCTCTAGGAAAGTCCTAGGTGTACATTCTATCTGCAAGTCTATTGGCACTGCATAGTTTTTTAGGGTCTGCATTTGACCCTTTACCTTTTCTCATGTGTCAATAACCACGACAGTTTTTTACTGATCTTTTCCCTTATTTTTGCCCTACTACAATTCCGAAGAGATTTCTTATTGGCATAGCACCTCTCTTTTTATTTATTTCTATGCTCACATGTTCAAACACAAACAAAAGAAGGATTATTCGTGGGTGGATTTTTATGGTCTTATAATTGCAGGCGCACCTAACACTATGGGTTTGGAGATGTTGATGAACATGTTTGGCGGCCTTGGAGCTGGTAGCCTTGCTGTTCCGAACAGATCCAATGGTTCTATTCTTACCCTGGTTTTTCTTTTTCTTGCTTTTTATATTTTCTGTCTGTTTTGCATTTAAGCTTTGCCATTTTCTCAGTGCCCCCAGAAGAACTATATGCGACACAGTTGTCACAGCTACAAGAAATGGGTTTCTTTGACACACAAGAGAATATACGGGCACTAATTGCCACGGCAGGGAACGTGCATGCTGCTGTTGAACGACTTTTGGGGAATTCTGGTCAGTAATTTATTTATATATTCTATTTCATCTTGTTAGTGTCCATTTAGACCTGAGTTGTATTCAAGCCCTCTTTTTGGGTATAAATAAGTCCAATTATGCTAGTTAGGGCTGTGAACATTCTCGGTGTGTCTATGATCATTGGATGATCTTATTCCTCTCCTCCCTCCCCCCTTCCTCCCTCCCCCCTCTCTCTCTATCAAGGGTTTGTTGGGCCAAAGTGTCTTGTACATACTTTATATTAAGATTTGTTATATGAATTGTCTGCAAAATTTATTGAAACATTTTGAAATTTGTAACACTCGGTTTTTCTTTTTTAGTACCTTCAACTTAACCTCCTTCAAATGTCTCTACTCTCTACTTGCAGTTGCAGTTGAAAATATTTGGTTGTGCCAATATTAAGTTATTTTGTTTCTGTTATTTATTTATCTCTTGATTGTGGTAAATGGAAAAAACTGAATGGGAATGTCTTAAAAATAATTAATTCATCTCAATATATTATGTTCCCTTTTAATTTACTGGTAACACTGGATTTTTTTTGGGTATGTGGGGCTGTTAGTAAGCCTTGTTTCTGACAATGACATTGCATTGCGGGCTGCGGGTTGTGGATGTCGCCTTACAATTAGTTTTTGCTAGAGCCTCTCTAATTGGAATGGAGGCTTAGGTTTCTCTCTTTTAAGAGTTTTGATTATGAATGGAAAAATGCTCCATGAGACCCTGCTGCCCATAATAATGATTATTATTATTATTATGGTTTGCCCACGACTATCCTCACACCTTTCTAATTTTGCAAAAATTGACTGCTAAATTCAAATGTGTCTGAAGTTTTGTTTATTTCTGTCAAATAACATGCAGGAATATGTTTTCCACAATTTTCCGTTGTTTGGGGAGATAATGGGGAGATAACGAAAATAAGTCAATGAAAAGTTTTTTGTTTTTATCAAAGGAAAATTAAGTTTGTTTTTTTAGGAAAATGATTTTCCATTTTCAAGAGGAATTGATAAATTTATTATAATTTTATAAATACATAATTTTTAATTTATTAATCATTAGTAGCTATTTCACCATTAGTTACTGTTTTTTTCATATTTTTCTCATCTTTAACAATAAAAATTTTTAAAATATGACAGTTTTATTATTATTAATATTTTTGTGGTTTTGAGTTAAAAATTTTAATATTACAAATAAACAAAGTTCAATGGTAAATTATTTTTTAAAAACAAATTGAAATTTCTTATTTGAATCGCTTCGTATGATAAAAGAAATTATTTTTTAAGTGTGAAAAATTAAATTTAGTTGGTAGCTTGTCTTATTTCTAAGCTCCTGATTATTCAAGAGACAAGTCGTTTGATTAAAAAACTGAATAAAATCTAAAGAAAGATGCAGCTTCCTTCCATTTCCATACTCCAAACCCAAAACAAAACAGTGAGGATAAATGTTTGTCTTTCTTGAAATTAAAACTGAAGGCGTTTGAGATTTCTTTTGACAGAATTTGAAAAATGAGATAAATACTCTTATAATATAATTAGGTTGTATCAGTTTTTTTTTTTATAGGAAAAAGGAACAATGCTCATTTTATTTTCCGAGCTTGAAAAACTGTTACTTTTTATGAGACGTTTAAAGTTGTACGGTGATTTAAGAATCAATCAATTCTATTAAATTATAACAAAGTATTCATTAATTAGACTAAATTAATTTAGAAAAATTATAGAAATAATTATTGCATTTAATATAAATAAGTGTGGAATTGAAAAAAATATCATTAATTATTTTTTAATACTTTCAAAATAATTTATATTTACAGACAAAAAAGCTTTTTTAAAATGATTTATACATGTTGATAGAGAAAGTATTTATCCTAAAATCAATTTGAACTTGCATGAAATGATCAAAACGCTTTAATTATTATGAGAACAAAATATTTTTTTAACTAACAAAAATTAGTTAAAAATATTAAAAATTATTACTTTATTTTATTTTTTGTAAAAGTTGCGTATTTTAATCATTTAGTGTAAATTCGGAAGGTAGATTATATAAAAAAATTAATAAACATGATTATATATTCCCCTGAAGATTAGGGGCAAAATGAACATTATTTTTAAAAAAATCGAATTAATTAGGAGGTGTTGATTTATAATTATAACCGAAATTTTATTAAAAGATGAAAAAATTAATTAGCTATCAGCCACAAGTTATCAAAAACGGTAATACAATCATCATATTAACTATAAGTTTAAAAAAAAAAACATATATATATATATAATTTAATAGCAAGTGCACATGGTCAGTCGACAAAATATAGAAAGTCCAATAAAATATGTAAAATAATTAAAATAACATGGCAAGTCCATAAAATAGAAAACTCATTTACTTCCATCTCAACCTTGACCTACTACCTACTCTCTAGGTTTAATTAATTTTTTATTTTCATTTTTTTAAAAATAATAGTTCAGTTGATTGTTATTTTTATATTATTATTCATGATAATAGAAATTATTTCTTAGGGATTATATTTCAAAAATATGTAAATTCAATATACATTTCAACTATACATGTCGAATCATTTAATTTAAATGCAACAAAATTTCATTTGCTACAGATTATGTATAATAAAATAAATTATTACTAAATTAAAATAGATAAATAGATTGATTCTTTCTATCTCAAAATATGAGTTCTTCACTTTTAAGTTAATTTTGGGATTTTTTTTTAAATAAGTAAAGGAGTGCATTTTAAATTTAAATTAAAAAATATTTCTAATTATGTAACTTTTATAATTTTATATATAATTCCTTGAGGAAATAATTCTAAATATTTTTATAATCCCATGAATTAAAAATTTTATTATTGTAACTAAACAGCATAAAATGAATTGTTGAATTTTGAAAAATAACTTTTAAAAATAAGTTAATCTACAGAAATAAATAGAGTCCAAATAAAAAAAAATAATCTTCTAATATTCAACGTGTTAATTAATGTGAGAGACTAACCGTCACTTTCTAATACGATAAGTTAACAGTCTAACGATTGTTTTCGTTTTAATGTGAGAAGCTAACGGTTTAACGGTATAACGGTGACTTTCGTAAAATAGTCAATTTATTTATAACTATAAGTTAAATTTATTATTGAATTTGATTATACTCTACTTAATTTTAAAATTTGCAGGTCTAAGTATTACCAGTGAAATTTATGATTCTAACTTAGAGCTGTTATGAAATACCTAATTTTCCATATGGAAGTCTGACTCTGACAATATCTATATATACATATATAATTTTCTTTTCCATAAAAGCATAATCAGCAATTAATTTTTCAATAGATAATCTTTTCCTGCCATTTTTGAAAAATCACCAACTTATCTCCTCCATCAAATTGATAATCAATCCACGTGTACGTTCCATATAGTAATATTTCACTGGGTCTACGTACACACAATAAACAAGCACGAAACGACACCACAAATGCATACTGTAAACCGAAAGTTGATTTGTTTCTTGTAAGATATTAACAAGCTGCCAAAATGACAGCTAAATCCCAAATATATTTCTATATATAATATATACTATATATAACCGTGGAAAATAAGTGGATTTTCGATTATACCCTTAATTAAATTTAAAATATTTTAGAATAATCCTAATTATGTCTAATTAAAATCACATTATATTAATTTATTGGATATAATTTATTAAAGTTATTTTTAAATAAATACATAGATAATTAAGCATTTCAAAATTTTTAAATTTTTATTTTTTAAAATTTATTTTAAAATAAAATCAACATATATGTAGTAAAAATTTTTAATTTCAAAAATATATATAATATATGTGTATTAGTCTTCTCAGTAGTGTGTGGAGCGTAAGCTATCGAGTTTTAGCCTTTTCCATCGCAAGAGTTTTCAAACGTATAAAAAAAAAAACCCTAATATTGCTTCATTTGTTCTTTCATTTCTTATTTTGCAATATGGATAATAATGCAAATGACTTGGAGCCTGAAAAACCATCAGAAGAGCAACAAATACAAAGCCATAATAACAGCCCAGAAAATGCTAGAGAAGAAGATGATAACGTTACTCCTATCGAGACTAATGCAATATCACCACCAAGGCCTGTTCTTGAAACTGGAGCGTCTTCTACCCATGGTTCAAGGAAGAGAAGAGGAAGAAACAACGATCCGGGTGCATCATTAAGCATGGATGGCGATAACGAGGAGCGTGGTGATAACCGGAGAAGGAGAAAGACAGTTAACGCCGGAGTACCAGCGGTTTGTGCAGTTTGTAGTAGGAGGTTCCCATCTTTTTACTCCTTGTTTGGGCACTTGCGGTCACATACTAAGAGAGACTGGGGTGGCGCATTTCCTCCACCGGTGTATAATCCGGACTGGGGCAGTAAAGGCGATGGTGAGGACGACAATGATAAGCCGGAGCAACAATCAATTGCAGAAACACAGAAAGTTATGGAACATGAAGTAATACCAGCGCTTCTTGATGTTGCTAAAGAAACCCTAGCAAAAATGAAACAACAAGAAGAAGAACGAATTGCAGAGTTAAATGTTGGTTCAAGCAGGGAATCAGAACTTGATCTCAATGTTCAACCACAAGAAGATCAAGAAAATACTGAAATTAATACTACCGGACTCGATCTTAATCTCCCACCAAAAGAAGAAGAAGATGAAGATGCACCTTCTTTTTCTTAAAAGAAACAAGACTTTTATATTTATCTTTATGAACTTACAATTGAAAATCCATTAATTCCAGTTTGTTATAGTCATATGGATTTGTTGTTCTATCCTTTTGCATATCTAGCATTATTGTAGAGACTGGAGGGTGTTTTCCCTTTGAGGTGGGAGTCATGGGTTCGCCTTGTATTATTTTCTTAGCAAATAAAAAATTAAAATATTTTTGTATTGATTCCTTTTCTTTTTCTTTAGAAGAAAAAACATTTTCTTATTTCTTACATTTGATGTATTACTTTTAATTATTTATTTCTTGGAGAATTTTTATCCTAATATATGATGATCTTGTTGTGTCTATATGCAATATTAATGTAATGTATAGTTATATGGACAGATGATTATTATTTAATGTTACCAAAATAATTCAAATTAATAAATTTTTGCTGGATTGCATAGATGGTAAAAGATTTAATAGAGATACTCTAAATTCATGGCTCAGTGATATAGCAAGTGACATATTAACTTGATCTAAATAATATCTTCGATGGAAAAATTTGACTACCAGAGGAGAAGAAAGCAAAAGCGATTCCTGCATTAAGCTTAGGAATACGTTTATTTGCTAATATGATGGCCGGTCATAATTTAGTAAAGATTTTAAGTGGGTTCAATCCTTTACTTATTTTTTTTAATTTATTGATCTTTTTCGAGAGATACAACGTTACGGGAAACTAAGCGGTTGATGGAACTCTAAAGGTTATAAAACCCGCTAGTAGAAAACCGAAATAACTAGTTATAGTAGAACCCAGGGTGACAAACGAAAGACTGTAATGGATGCCCTAAACCAAAGACTTTCGAGAAAGGCGTTCTCCTGATACCGCTTTGTGGAAACCTACCCTAGTGGGAATGAGAATCTCAGATGTGAAAAAAGCCTAGTCGTGATGAGCTCTACTAGAAAGAAAAAATCTCCTCTATGAATAGAGGAGGATCAGACTTGAGCAGTTCAAGTTATGGAAGTTTCTATCTTCCCATAAATAGATCGTCTAATGGTGTCGATAGCGTGTCACGTCATGGAACTGATCATCAACGTGACTTCTTAACCTTAACGTACTCTTTCTTACTATATCATAGGCCTTCGTCGGGCTTTCGACATGAAAAAGCCTATCCGGCTTAGCTTTTCGCTTCGTTGTACAAGGAGCATGCCCGAGGGGGCTACTACACTCATTGCGTACTTGAATCGATCACCACCTGAGCTTCGCCCTGCGGAAACAAGGGCTAATTGGCCGCACTTCCTTCAAAAAGCATATTTATGTTTAAACAGATCCATCTTATCAAACATCATTTCCCGAGCTGGACGTCAAGTCATCATGCCCCTTTTGCCGTGGGCGACACTCGTGGGCTGTCACATCACGATCATTCAATCAATTTCAGCAGGCAGGAAGGGCGCGAAAGCTACCGTTTCTAGAATGCAAACAAGGTTAGCTTCCTTTGACTAGATAAAAAAAAAAAAAAGAAAAATTACTGCATTATATCATATTTAAATTAAGTTGAAGCTTACTTTGTCTTTTTTTTTTTTTTTCCTTTTTTCATCGGTATTTCCACGCTTATCATTATTTCTTATTTGTAATTTATGGATTCTCTATTATTTCTGATCGGGTGAAAATGAATGAATTGAGAAATTTGAAAAGGTTGATAACTATTATAAAATAATATCAGATCTTAAAATATTTTTTTTGTGTAATTATGAAACTAGTTTATTATTTTGTTTTTTTGTGTGTAAAATAATCAAATTAATATAATTATTCACTTTAATTAATTAATTTAATCAATACGGTTTATTTAAGAATTAGTATTAATATTATAATATTAATGAATATTTAGAAATAAATATAGGCTTGAAAATTTTTTAAGAAAATATAGGCTTGAAAAGTTGTATTAGTATTATAAATAAGTTTAATTTATCTATTTATAATAAAAATAATAATATAGACCAAAAAAAAAAAATCCAATGATTAATGCAATACAAGATTGAAGATGTTAAAGAAAATATATTGTAAAAAGGGGATTAAGTTCCTTTTGGATTACGGTTTTTATTCATCAATTCTTTTTATCAGTACTCTGTTTTCAATTACAAGCGAAAACAATCTCTCTACTTTTTTTGAGTAGTTCCCAACCATTTCTTCCAGTGGCAAAGATTGAATAACAGTCTGACAAATAAAAAAATTGAATAATAATTTCAAAGGCCTTCATGAAGAGAAGTTTCTTTGCTGCCACCAAACGACATATCGTTTAAAACCCAAATGTAAATGACAAATAGCCTACGGTTTTGACACGAAAACATTAGAGGTGATTTAACAAAAGAGTCAGTTAAATTCCCGCCTCTTCAAAACGGTGTGAATTGAGCCAACCGGCTACTAAAAGTAACTGTCATTCAAAAAGAACCATCATATATAACTGCAAGCAACTGTGTCTCTACCATTTGATATCGATTTCTCTATATTTCTCTCCTTTCTACTTTCCCGCCATGGCCAATTTTCCACAGAAAAACCCTGCTGTTCCTTCTTCTTCTTCTTCGTCTTCTTCTTCTTCTTCTACCCCTCCTCCCCCTCCTCCTCCTCCTCCTTCTATACTTACAGTTGGCCATGGAGGGAGTACTTCTCGTGGTGGAGGGAATGGAGCCTCTGGAGAGGGTTCTTCAAGGAAGAGAAGCTATGGCGTTAGTGTATCCTCCAGTATCAGTGGCGGAGAAGGGCAAGTAAAGAGAAAGAAAGGTGAACTAATAGATCCTCCAAAATCCGATCCCATTTGTTCTTTATGTGATAAAAGATTTGGTTCGTGGAAAGGAGTTTTTGGGCACTTACGTGCCCATCCAGAACGAGATTGGCGTGGTGCATTTCCACCACCAAAACGAGCAGAGGCCAGTTGGTCACCCATAAGAATTGGCAACGCTGGTCAACAAGTTTTCCAGGGGCACTTGTTGGCTCCAACTTTATTGAACTTGGCCCATCAGACATTAGCCAAAATGAGACATGACATTGATTTGAACAGAGAACCACAAGACGCTGCAGGGCCTTCTGCTCCTCCTCCTCCTCCTCCACAAGGTGGCAACAGGCGGTGCAGTTTTGATTTGAATCTGCCTCCTCCGCCAGAAAATGGAGATGAAAATGATAATCATAAGGAGTAGCACAGAGAGGCTGAACCTTATTGACACTGGCATTGATTAATAATGATAAAAGATGAGAGACTTTAATATGTTACGTCGTTGTAATTTGTTTTTCCTTGTTGTTGAAGCTCTTTGTTCTGGTTCTAAGTATTTTTTCGACTGTGATTTTAGTTTCTTTTTGTTTATTTATATGGAATTTTTTTTTTAAAATTAGAATGCTTCATGTTCCACATAAAAAAAAAAAAAAAAATTCAGTTATCCTTTTAATTAACAAACTACCAATATCTTTTTTAAATTATTTTATTTAAGTTTGTATCATGTGATTTTTAAAACATAGGAGAACAGTAGATATGAATAAGCAAATGTCTTGGCATCAATACGCTATAAGAATTTTGCTTTAGTAAACTTTGTAATTTTTAGATATAATTTTATAATTTTTATGTAGTAAAAAAATGATAATTAAAAAATGAGAAAAAGTTGTCAAAATAATTAATATAATTAGTATTGATATACACTAAATATTAAATTTAATAATAGTTAGAAAATTAATATTACAAGTGCGTTAAATTAATTTCCTTCAAATTGAAAATAGATGCATACCAAAATAACATTAATTTCTACTCACCTTTTCCATTTTTAATATTTTGTAAGCATTAAAGGTGAAAATTTGCTCAATTTTGTAATTTTCAACAATAAGAAATTTGTTTGAATTTTATTAATCAAATGTCAATCTACCTTCGACCATCATTTTTATGAGCACTGTCAAAACGAGCAGCAGCCCCGCTCCGCCCGGCTAAGTTCAAAACAAGCTGAGTTAAAAAAGCTCTTTAAACAACGGACCTCCAATGTTCAAGCTCGGCTCTGCCCGCAGCGAAGTCAGACTTTGAACAGAATTCATTTAGCCTGTCTTCTCTTCTCTTTGAATCATAAATAATTACATTTGTCCGCCAAAATCTGTCCGCCACTGACGAAACCTGTTTGATTTTCACTTATACAGAGCTAATCACTTTCTTGATTCTCAGGGATACTACTCTAGAAAGAATTTGAACTTACACAAAGGATTGTTTTTGCTTGTTAATTGAAAAAAGAACTGGTTAGTAAAAACCATAATAACCCTACGTGAATTTAGAAAATCCTATATATTTTATTTAATTATACCTTAAGAGGATTGTTTGAATTTGTTTCCACACTTGAACTTCTTTGTTGTTCCTTTCTCATCTTCTTCTTTTCTTTCAATCAATCTTTTCCTTGCAGACCTTTCAGCAATTTTCTTATTCTCCAGTTTCCTTTCATCACTCGCCATATCTAGTGCATTCAGTTTAGCCACTCCTTCAGGCTTGATAACTCCTGTAAGAATCTTTTGGATCTCATAATTTTGCATGGGATTTCTTGACCAATACCATGGAACAAGCCCATGCATTTTACCATCAAACATGGACCGGCTTCTCTTTGTTGATGGGGAGTTATTTGCTGCTCTTGATCTTATAGGCTATGGATTCGTGATTGAGGACAGTGAAGGAAATTTTCAGTGGGCTGTATCGAGCTTTCAGGAAGGCAATGGGGATCCAGGAGTTGTGGAAACAAATTGCACTTCGAACGTGTCTTTTCTACGTACGAGATTATTTACCTCTAAATGGTATTGTTTTTTCGGAATTTCAAAATCTTATCAACACTCTCTATTCTCCAAACTCTAGATAATTTTGAGTTTGATTCGATTGTTTTGGATTGTAAAAACATTTTAGATTCTAGACTTGATATTAAAATCAAGTGGGTGCGAAGATAAGCAAATTTATATATAAGAGTTGTTAATCCAAGCTTGATCATATTCTCTCACTCTCTGAACCAACAATGTTCCTGAAAGAAATAAGTTAGAGTTGTCATTAAAAACTCAGATCATTCCTCATCTTCCACCCACCACAAAGAAGTAGCAAATAAAATATATCATTAATTTACAACATGCAACACTAACAGTAGTAAGAGATAAGACACTCTCTCAAATCCATATGAAAGAAGGAAGCGCTTGAACATCTTGAAGAGACATCCAAATACCCTATACATGAAAACAACCGTGTAACACATTGAAGAATGGGATTCGATTTTCTTTCTCTCTCTCTCTCTCAAAACATAAAAATCAAGCATGTAATACACAGGGTTGATTCTTGTCTCTTGACAGCCCCTCTCTCGTATTTCTCTTTTTTTTTTTTTTTTTACCACAAAGAAGTAGCAAATAAAATATATCATATAATTTACAACATGCAAACACTAACAGTAGTAAGAGAATAAGAACAGCTCTCTTTCAAATCCATATAAGAAGGAAAGCGCTTGAACATCTTGAAGAAGACATCCAAATACCCTAATACATGAAAACAGCGTGTTAACACATTGAAGAATGGATTCGATTTTTCTTTCTCTCTCTCTCCTCTCAAAACATAAAATCAAGCATGTACAATACACAGGTTGATTCTTGTCTCTTGACAGCCCCTCTTCTCGTATTTCCTCTTTTTTTTTTTCTTTTTTTTTTTTTTTTGCAACTTTTTATACTTTTTTTTGTTAAATAAATTATAGATCTGTATATGTTTGGAATAGATCTATCTTCTTTTTATTTTATTTTATTTATTTATCTCCGTCTTCTGTGGAATCTCTCCGTTTTATATGAAGTATTTGTTTCATTTTCGGTATTTATTTTGTTTTATTTGGACAGTGTCTAATTTATAGAGAACAATAGGTGAAGATTTTTGTGCTGTAGAATCTGATGGCGAGGCCTATTCTCCCATTAAATTTAATGTTTCAACTTCTTTGCCCCTATTTGATAATTGCTTTTGAACTAGTTGAGCGTTTTAATAAGTCAACGCTCTATCTCTATTAGCTAATTAGACAAATAATACCTTTTTTTTGTCATTTTAAGTTAATTAGCTAATTAAATAACTATTTTTACCTAATATCCAGACATCATTATGAGGGACCGTATAATCTGGCTAAGGGTTTAGTTACAGTTAAGGCTCCTTCCCCCTCATTGCAAATGCGTTTAGTGGGTTCGAATCCGAGAGTTTTTTCCACATGCTCAGCCTACATTGCCAACTGAGCCACAACCCGTAGGTTGATTTAAATTTTTTTTAATGAAATCTTAATATTATATATATATGATTCAATTAATTATTCATAAAAATTGGCGTAATACGTGATATTTACAAGGTTAAGAATTCATATATACTCGTGAAAAATCCAAATATATTTTGATCTAATGTTATTTAACTCATTTGATTTTTTTTATGAAAAAAAAAATTGTAATATTTTTTGAAATTCTAAAAAAATGTGTTCATCGAGCACAATGTGAAATACTTGGTAAGGTTATGATTTGATTACGGCTTGTTTCGCAGGCCACAAACAGAAGAAGAAGAGGTAACTGTATTCTGTACCACAAGTGGGATTGTGGCTAATAATAGAAGATGGCCCCATTTGAAAATTTGGCAGCATTTTCTCTTTTCCATAAACACGTAAAATAATCTTCTTCTGTCTGTATATTTGTTTTGAAGTTATTTCCATAATAATCCTCTGCCATAACTCTGTTACGCAAAACCACAAAACTCTCAGATAAGGAGAAGTGGACGCATGACGTTCTCATAATTCCTTCTATCTTCTTTTTTTTGAGTTTCCCAATGAATCTTTCTTATCCTGCCCTTCTATTTCACCACACTCTTTTTATATTTTCATTTATTTATTATTTAATTATTTAATTAAATTTCTTAAAAATTTCAATGTATATAAAAACTTATTCCCTTATTAAATATCATTTTCCATGGATCAAACTAAAGGTTTTAGGTTCAGAGTTATTGGTTCTGATTTTAAAAATAAATAAAATTAACAAATTCTAAAATCGTTGGTTTTCATTTGATTCGAATTTAAATTATAATAGACAACTATCGAACTTTTTTTAATTTGTAGTAGGAATAAATGATGACAGTAGGTATTTGCATACGGAAGTATAATCTAATAGTAAATGCGTATACAATCCGACAATAGATTCAAGTTTAAATCACCACTTCTCCTAATATTAAAAAAATAAAAAAAAAAGTATTATCAAGACTAATACATGGTTTTGATTATGCATGATTAAGAATCTAAACCTATTATCATTAATTTAATTTCAATTTTGATCGATTCAATTCCGGTTCGGACTCGAGTCATGGTTATGCCTAGTTTAGGAGACATGGTCCAAATTTTCAAAAACCAATTGCCTCTCATAAAATATTTTATTTATTATTTTGAAAACATGAATATTGGCTTCAAATTCTATTTTCAATTTTTTTTTAATTTCTGTTTTCAACTTTTGCAATATTTAAAGTCTAATTCTGCTTAAAAAAATAAATAGAAAAAACATATATTTAATTTCCAGATAATATTATAAAAATAATTCTTATTTTTTTGAAAAAATATAAAATAGCATAAGGCGGTTTTCAATTTCACTGTAGAGATTTTGCTTTTGCCACGTAGCTTGTTAAGTGATTATCAAGAGATAAATATAAAACATTAAACTAACACCCACCTTTGCATATTCATTCAGCCTTTCCGCTGCTGCTTCTTCTTCTTCTTCCTCTTTCTTGCTCTCCTTTCTCTTCTCTCTTCTCCTCGCTAACCACATCATGGATCCTTACAAGGTACCAAACTCATAAATTTATGTATATATTCTTAACCTTATATTCAAAATTAAGCAACTTTTCACCTTTTTTTCTATTTATTTTGGTGCAGTTTCGTCCATCAAGTGCTAACAATTCTCCTTTCTTCACCACAAACTCTGGTGCTCCTGTATGGAACAACAACAATTCCCTCACTGTTGGATCCAGAGGTAATAAATTTTCCTATTTTGAGCATTTCAAAGTTTTCTATACACTCATTTAATGTTGGATAATATTAGCACTATGAAAACTTGTAATTTATAGGTTAAACTAACATTTTTATCTTGATAAGCTGTGACTACTTAAGATAACAATGGAAGAACATAAATTTTTTATTAAGAGAAAATTTTCAGATTGCAAGAGGTTTAAAGTGAAGGTAAAAATGAAAAACTTCAAAAAATTTAAAGGCTGCAAGAAAATTTTCAAATTTTTGCGGGTCAATTTTAATATTTTTAAAAAATAATTATACAATATGCATGTTCTAGAAGTTATACAAAGCATAGCCTTGTAAATTTAGCTCTTCAATTTTCAATTTTGACAGGTCCAATTCTGCTTGAGGACTATCATTTGGTGGAAAAGCTAGCAAATTTTGACAGAGAGCGAATTCCAGAGCGTGTAGTTCATGCTAGAGGAGCCAGTGCTAAAGGGTTCTTTGAAGTTACTCATGACATCTCTCATCTCACTTGTGCGGATTTTCTTCGAGCACCTGGTGTTCAGACTCCTGTTATTGTCAGGTTTTCTACTGTTATTCATGAGCGTGGCAGTCCTGAAACTCTTAGAGACCCTCGTGGTTTTGCTGTCAAGTTTTACACTAGAGAGGTAATCGACTTGGATTTTCAATTTAGGAAGTAATTTTCATTTTTTGTTTTTTGTGTTTAGCTAAACCTTTTTCTTTCTTGAAGAGTAGTTTCCTCCTTTCTGATGAATTTTTCATTTTCAAAAGTGAAATTAATAATAAGAAAGCATATTTTTTTGAATGCATGAAATTCAGTTTATATGAGAAGAGCAGAAAGCAATTAAAAATAATATTAATGAGAAGCTTTTCCTTTTGGATTATTTATAAAAAAATTGGAAAGTTGCTGTTAAATTTATTAAATTTTCAATTCATTCAAGAAAAACATAAAACAAATTTAAAGAAATTATTTTATTTATTTATTTTTTTACTTCTATTAAATTTTTCTACTTTGAAACTTTTGTTTGATGGGGTGCCTTTTACTGTTGAGTTTCTCTCAAAGACATTAATTTGTCTTTTCTCAAACCTTTTCTGCCGTTGCTTTTTGACACAAACGACAGGGAAATCTCTTCCCTTCTACTGTTAGTACTTAGTACTAAGGAAAAGTTTTCAACGTTATTATCCTATAATTCAGCTGCAATGCTTCAATTCTCATCAATATTGCAACCTTATACTTAAATAGACTCATCTAAGTTACTAATTGTGCTTTCCTTTTTTTATCAGGGTAATTTTGATCTCGTGGGCAACAATTTCCCAGTCTTTTTCATTCGTGATGGAATGAAGTTTCCTGATATGGTTCATGCTTTGAAACCAAACCCCAAGTCACACATTCAAGAAAGCTGGAGGATACTTGACTTCTTCTCACACCACCCCGAAAGTTTGAACATGTTCACCTTTCTCCTTGATGATATTGGTATTCCTCAGGATTACAGGCACATGGATGGTTCTGGTGTTAACACGTACACTTTAATCAACAAGGCTGGAAAAGCACATTATGTCAAATTCCATTGGAAACCAACTTGTGGGGTTAAGAGTTTGTTGGAAGATGATGCCATAAGAGTTGGTGGCGCAAACCACAGTCACGCCACTCAGGATCTCTATGACTCAATTGCTGCTGGAAACTACCCTGAATGGAAGCTCTTTATTCAGATAATTGATCCTCTTGATGAAGATAAGTTTGACTTTGATCCACTTGATGTGACTAAGACTTGGCCTGAAGATATCTTGCCATTGCAGCCTGTTGGTCGGATGGTTTTGAATAGGAATATTGATAACTTCTTTGCTGAGAATGAACAACTTGCATTTTGTCCTGCTATTATTGTGCCTGGTGTCTATTATTCAGATGATAAGTTGTTGCAGACTAGAATTTTCTCTTATTCTGATACCCAAAGGCACCGTCTTGGACCAAATTATTTGCAACTTCCACCAAATGCACCCAAATGTGCTCATCACAACAATCACCATGAAGGTTTCATGAACTTTATGCATAGGGATGAGGAGGTACTATAACTTTTTCTCTCTCTATATGTGTGTATTCAAATATTTGTACACACGCACACCTCAAAATAGAAGGCTTAGCTTGCATTTTAATTCTTTACCCTTCAATATTTTGTGACTTCACTTTTAATTAAGATTGAGATTGCTTGAAATTATGTTAATTGTGTGTCTGTGTGTGATTTTTCCTCCCTTTTATTTGATCTTGCATTCCGAGCTTAGACTAGTTGTGTCGTCTTATCATTGTTTCTTATGCTCAATTTCAGGTCAATTACTTCCCTTCGAGGTATGATCCTGTTCGTCATGCTGAGAAGTATCCTATCCCTCCTCCTGTTTTAACTGGAAGGCGTGAAAAGGTTCGTTTTTGTACCATTTCTTGTATTGTTTAAAAGAACAATTAATTGAGTGCATCTCAGTTTTATATTGCTAATAGGGGATAATACAATATGACCTATGATTTTAGACCAATCTGTTCATATAGTGTCAAATGCACTTTTTTTTTTTTTTTTTTTTTTTTTTTTTCTTGTATTTGTTTAAAAGAACAATGTAATGAGATGGCATCTCTGGTTTATATTGCTAATGGGGATGTAATTACAATATGACCTTGATTTAGCCCAGATCTGTCATATATTCCAAATGCAACCAACTTTTTTTTGGTACTTAATTAATCTATAGAAATTGTTTTTTTTTTTTTTTTTTTTTTTTTTTTGATACTTAATTAATCTATAGAAATGGGACTGGCTCTCTTAGTTTAGTCAGATAGAGTATAATCTTGAATTGGCATTTTTGTCATAGACTGTAATTCCAAAGGAGAACAACTTCAAACAACCTGGAGAAAGATACCGCTCCTTTACACCTGACAGGTATGCTCAATTGTCATGTTTTTCCATGACATTAATTATTCTTTTTGCAGTTTTAGACTTGGATATGATATTCTAATGCATCTTTGCCGTTACATTTTCTTGTTATTTGGTATATTCTCTTTCAGGAAAGACCGGTTTATACGACGTTGGGTTGAGGCCTTGTCTGACCCAAGAGTCACCTATGAAATTCGCAGCATTTGGATCTCATACTGGTCTCAGGTAAAATATATTCACCTTCTGACTTATAAATATGCACACATGCATATTTATTTGGTTAATCTTATGCTGGGATGGGTTATGGTTTGCTTTTAGTTTGAACATCTTGCTCTACGAAGTAAGACTTGACCATTAAGCTATTTTTTTTTCTCTGGAACAAAAAGATCCAAACTAACCTAGACCAATAGGTCTACTTCATACACCCAGAGCATAGGATCTCAATGTTAAGTAAAAAAATATGGAAAAGAAACATCAGAATTCAAAATATATAGATAAAAGAAACTAAGTAAACACCCCTCTAAACAGTAGGACAAGCGTGAGAAATAGCAACTTGAGCAAGAGAATGAGCCGCCATATTAGCTGAACATTATGTTTTTAATTTATGCTGGATGAAAGGGTTGAGATGATATAAACCAATGGTTAATGGTTATTGAAGCATGTTTTATTGTATGGTTTCAGGCTGACAAATCTTTGGGTCAGAAAATTGCCTCTCACCTCAACATGAGGCCAACCATGTGATGATGTTTCTGTTTCTGGTGCTGAGCAGAAGCAATGTCTCATATACTTAAAATAGTGATTCCATCAAATTCTTATTGTACCTTATATATGATATGTGATTAAGAAAAAAACAATGCAGTTTTGTGACACATACTGAAAAGAGTCTTTGTAATAAAGATGTTCTAATTATAATGTGCTGTATGTGGATCTATGTGATGGTAATAAGTTTCACGTGATATATTATTGGATGGTTATTCGGATGGATGGATGGGATGTGAAATTTATGGAATTTAAATTCCATGATTATAAAATTTATGAAATTACATATTTTATTAGAAGCACAAAATTCATGGATTTGAAGAGTGTTTTTGCAATAAAATTAAGTATTAAAAGTGGCTAAGGAACCTATGTTTTCAAAATTGACTGATGTATTTAAATTATGATTTCATTACCAACTTTGGTCATTTTGTTTAAGGTAGGTTCCTTTGACTATCAATTAACTGAAAAATTGGTTTAAATCGCAAGTTAAATTAACTATGAGGTTTTTAACTTATGAATTGTGTTAGGACTTTTGTTCTCTCTATTTTTTATGGAGGACTAAAGTGTTCATATAATAGTAATTTAAGAATTTTATAGTTAATTTTTAAAAATATAGGTCCTCGTGTGTTAATTTAAATGTAATTTAGCGGCCAATATATTTTTGATAGAATTGAGAAATCTCAAATGTGAGTTCCCTTATTTCAAAATAACATATAATTCAAAGGTCCATAACTTTTCCTTTTAAAGAATTTTTTTATATACTCTGTGTCCCAAAAAAAAAAAACAATTAGTTTGTCTTTCATGTGAATTAAAAAAATAGTTAATACGAGAAACCGTAATTTTTAGGTAGTTCTTTTCTAATATATCTTTATATTTTTCCCTAAATCATTCATAATTTAATTTATTGTCTAGTTTAAGATTAAGTGATAGTAATATGAATATATTTATTGAAACAGAACTATATATAATTTGGGGGAAAAAAAGGTAAATCCAGAGGGAATATAAAACAAAAATAATTCTTTTATTTCACATGAATTATGAATATGCCTCATGAACGTATAATTGGAGAAGAAGGAGATGCTATGGGGAAAAAAAATAGTAAATAAATGGCAGACAGTTGGAAAGAATATGAACAAATTCCAATCCATAGTTTGGTTGTGTGCTGTGAGTGGGTCATCACTCTTATTGCCACCAATGTAAGAATATAACAACCATGCAAGTTTGAAGTTTCATTCCTCTCTTTATATATATATATATAGATATATAGTTTGATTTTCTTGATTTTCTTAATGGTTTCCTGAACTTTGCAGGGATTTTATTATGGTCCTGAACTTTTAAATCTTTCAATAAGTATGTCCCCGCCACATAGAATGAGAAGAGCATGCAATCAATTGCGTGTAACAGAGCGAGGACCGGACCGGTTTTCTCTCTCATTTGAGTGTCCAACAACGTTTTTTGTTCTTTGTCAATTTCTCTCTCCAAAATCATTTTGAGAAACCATATCAATCTCCTGTCCTCTGTCAATCCTAACTTTCCTTTCTTGTTATCTTATAAATCTACAAGTATCAAAATGGTTGACAAAAATCTATATGTGGTTTTTTTATCTTCCAAATCCCAAATCCCAGATGGTAAAGAACCTGAGAATTGATTTGAACTAAAATTAATATGTGCAAGAATGATGCATGAGCTTAAAGAACCTGTAATCATTCCTGAAAATAATGATTTCAAGGTTTTTAAAGTCACTGAGATTGAGGTTAACGTTACCAGTGAGGTTGTTTCTTGCTAATGAGAGCTTATGGAGAAACTGGAGCTGTAATAATCTCGTTCTGTTCAACCCTAGAGGGGAACACCCATCAAGAATGACCTTGATCAAGAGAAATGTCTCAACACTCTTCAGATATTGAGATTGAAAAGCTCAAGGGTAGAATCATTGCTTTGGCTACACAAGTAAATATGTCAGAGTTGGAATTGCAGACCAGATTGTGAAAGAAAGCAGAAGGGGCGAGGGGCATATTTGTTTAAAGATTTGAAAATCTAGGCTCATGATAAAACCCTCACAAAATTTAGGGAGCAATTAGGAGGATCGATAAAAGTTCATGGTCCAATTTATGTATTAAACCTTAAAACTAATGTAAGGAATAAAATAGGATCCATTATGCAATCTATCTACTATTTTTATCCTAGTTCGAGTGTCATTTAAAATAGAGGTATATAGATCAACCGATCGAATCAGCCATTAAATTGAGAGTTCATTTGATGAATTTAGTTAGTTTGAGTTGAAATTACTATTTGATTCGGTTTAATTTTATATGAATTAATCGATTGAGCTTAAAACCGAACCAATATAGTAAAAATTGATTAAACTCGATTGATTTAATTGATTTGTTTCAAATGCCAAACATGATTCTGTTCATTTTCATTGTTGAAAATTTCGATTTTGACATTTTCCAACATGATTCGATTTGTCTTGAACCGAACCAAGCGTTTACCCACCACTCTTAGTTTGAAGTGATTATGTAAAAATTATAGGAAGCATTAAACAACCTTGCTTCTAAAAATATTTTTGTAATTATTACCAATTTTCTAAATAATTAATGCTTGCTTAGGCTTAGTTTCTTCTTGAAATATAACTTGTTTGGACAATATTTTTTAGATTTTTTTTGACATCCGTGTACCTAAAAAAATTAATTACTAAAAATATTTTAACGATCAAAGAAAAATTAAATTTTAAAAAAAGTAGCTTATCCTCTAAAAGACAAAAATATTTTTTGATATTAATAAATTTATTATAATCTTATAAACATACAGTATATTAATCCAATGATCATCATTAGCAAATACTATCAATCACCGCTAATCATCACTAGACTGCTCACCAATACTGGTTAATATATTATTATTATTGTATACTATGGTTAATAATATATATATAATTATTTAATAATATATAGTTATATATTTTGTTACAAGTAGAAGAATTAAAACTACTCAACAGCAGCTTATATATTTGATACAAGTAGAAGAATTAAGAACTACTCAACAGCAGCTTGCAAACGCGCTACACCAATAATGTCGTGGTCGAGCCGAGAGAGAGATCGGGGTGAATCAAAGATGTGAACACCCAATAGCATAATAGACGCTTGCTTAGATAGTCAATTCGCACAAAACTTTGCCTCATAGAAGATATAAGAAAAGGAGAGTTGTGATTTCAATTGATCCATCATTTTTCACAATGGGATTGGTTAGTATTTGTTAATGTAACGTTTTATATTTAATAATAAATTTTAAAATTTAAATTTTTATAATTCTAAACATTTTAAGTCTTATAAATCATAAGATCTTAATATTTTAAATAATTTTTAATATTATAATCAAACAATAGTAAATAAATTAAGTTAAAATTTTCAAAGGCATGTAAATGGACTCTTGGTAAATATTTCATGGGAATAACTGTAAAAATAAAAGAAATAATTGATTGTTTCTTAATTTTTTTAAAATAACGAATTAAATGAAAAAAAAAAAGAATTTTACAAAGTTGCATTTGAGATGTGATGGGGAAATATATATATATATATATTTTTTTTTTTCCAAGTGAGAGCAAAGCTCTAAGGAAATATTTTTTATTATTTTTTATTTTGCAGTACAATATTTTAATTTTGATTTAAAGGACTACAACACCATCAATTGGATGAAAAAATAAAAAATAAAAAAAAAAGAAAAGAGGGCAGTAGGCACTGAATCTCAGATAGAAGAAAACTTTTAGAGAAAAAAAAAAGGGAAAAAAAACAAAAGCCGTCCATAAATGCTCAGTTAAATCAAAGTAATAAGATCAAACGGTTGAAATGGAGCACCAAAATAGTTGGTTTTTGACCATGTCAAAAATAGAAATGGTGTGGAGCACAAAAACCAGAACTTGAGAGAGTCCGAAAAGCAGGCACATTCCCTCGCCTTTCTTAAAGCCCAAATCCGTTGAAACTTCGCAACTTTACAATCAAACAAACCCACCAAAATTTTTTTAAAAAAAAGAAAAATCTCAATTCTTTTCACTTCAATTCTCAGAAAATTCCGAAAAGCTCTTAGCTTTCCTGTACTCTGATTGGATCTCATCCATTCCACGTAGCATTGACATTGTTTGATCTCTGTAAAAACCTCAAACTTGCTGATCCCTCCTTCTTTTTCTTTTGAACTTGATTTTATGGTTCGTTTCTAATTGATTTTGTCTTCTTGTTTGAATGTTGATTTCGGGAATTGGAATTTCGATAGAATAATAATGATGGAGAGGGCAGAGTCGGGGCAGAAGCTATATACACGAATGCGTCTATGGGAATTTCCTGATCAGTATGTTATTGAACCTACTGATGGATCTTCTGGTTCTCCTTTGGCTGTTACTCGAGCTGATGGCTCCATGAAGCTCATTGGTTTGTTTCCATTTCTTCAAATTTTTTCCTTGTATTTTGTTAATTGGGTTTCCTTTTTTTTTTTTTTTTTTTTTTTTTTCCATTCTTCAAATTTTTTTCCTTGTTATTTTGTAATTGGGATTCCTTGTTTTTTTTTTTTTTTTTTTTAATTTGATTTCTTTATTTTTTTTTTGGATATTTAGATGGAGTCCTGAGTGCAGCTCTCTTCGTGTTCCTAAGATTAAGACTATTTTTGTGTGGTGGGATGCTTAAGCTTGGGCAGGCTACAACATTTTTTTGTTCGATCAAGATTTTAGTTCCTCAAAGCTTAGAAAAACATTTTAGCTTCAGGAATTATGTGATTTCTGCTGTACTTTTAGGGTCATACTTAATTTTATATCGGAAACGCCGGAATGTGAATTGATCGTTACTTGGACATCTTATCTTCAAAGGTTACTTCTTTATGAAGATTTGCCTTTGTGATCATTCTGTGAAGGAACTCGCATAACTGCTGAAACAGTCGGTAAGTCTGCTGTTTTGCGTTGCTACTGATGCTCTGTATTTGTCTGTTTATGTGAATGAAATTCATTATTTGATGTGTTGTAATTTTTTTTTTTTTTTTTGGATATTAGATGGAGTTCCTGAGTGCAGCTCTCTTCGTGTTCCTAAGATTAAGACTATTTTTGGTGTGGTTGGGATGCTTAAGCTTGTGGCAGGTACAACATTTTTTTGTTCGATCAAGATTTAGTTTCCTCAAGCTAAAAACATTTTAGCTTCAGAATTATTGTGATTTCTGCTGTACTTTAGGGTCATACTTAATTGTTATATCGGAACGCGAATGTGTTGGATCGTACTTGGGACATCCTATCTTCAAAGTTACTTCTTTGAAGATTTTGCCTTGTGATCATTCTGTGAAGAATTCCTCTGCTGAACAGGTAAGTCTGCTGTTGCTTTGCTACTGATGCTCTGTTTTGTCTGTTTATGTGAATGAAATTCATTTATTTGATGTGTGTAATTTTTCCACCAACTTTGGCAGAAAAAGGTGGAGACTGAATTCTCTGCACTCCTTAATGTTGTAGAACGGACTCATGGCCTGTATTTCTCTTATGACACCAATTTAACTCTGAGGTGAAGAACTAATTTACATTAGTCTTATTTGTTTTGTTTTTAGTTTGTTGTGAAAGTCTTAGGCAATAGCTTAAAGTTTCTAAATCATCCTTTTGTTCATCTACTTCAGATCATGAATAAGTAGCTTATGTGTTACTTATAAAAAAAGTGAAAAAATAAACAATGAATAAATAAAATATAAGAAAGAAAACAGATGTTGCAAGGCAAATTGGTTGTGTAAGCTTGGAATATTGAATTGGGCTTTCTATACGTAGTTAATAAAAGTAAAAAGATGTTGCAAGGCAAATTGGGTGTGTAAGCTTGGAATATTGAATTTGGGCTTTCTATACGAAGTTAATAAAAGTATAATTTAATTTCTTAATTATTCTTCAGGACAAAAAATAAATGTTAGTTTGCTGGTTGAAATATCAGAAAGAATCTTGATTGTCAGAAAGCTAATGCTAGTTGGGCTGGTTTATTAATTGATAAAGAGAGGTAAATGAAGGGTAAACCTATCTGTTGATGATTCAACTCTGTGTACAGTTATCTAAATCCAGCTGCTATTTTTGCTCCTACCCAATCTCAGGGAAAAGCACCACTTTTGTGCGGACAGATAATATTCAAGTCATTAAGTTGAAGTATCTTGTTTTTTATCAACGTTTTTTGAGGTGTTATCCTTTTTGTTACAGTGCACAGCGTTTGCATGATTTGGGTGATGAATCTAAGCTACTCCCTCTTTGGAGACAGGTAACATTTGACATTTGAAGTCATTACCTTTCTTCTTCTTCTTCTTCTTCTCCTTTTTATTTTTTATTTAGTTTTTTATGCTTTATCCATTTTTACCATGAATGAGCGCTGGTTCGAGAATGTGGATACCTCCTTCCCTCCTCCCCTTCTTCTTCTTCTTCTCCTTCTTCTTCTTCCTCTTTGCCGCTAGTTAAATAATTGTTTTGCTTCTTGGCATGGTTAAAGCTAATATTTTTTTCTCCCCATGATTTTCAAATCTAAATTGATGTACCTTGTGATCAAATTTCAAATGAACTAAAATTTAAAAAGTATTGCTTATGCCATCAAATGTTTGTCACAGGCAGAACCCAGGTTTCTTTGGAACAATTATATGCTGGAAGTGCTCATAGATAACAAGGTTTGAATTATTCCCTTAGTTCTATTAGTCATATTTTTTTATGTTGTTGGGAGTTTATCACTAACAAGGTCTGACATTAGGTCTTTTTTCTGCAGCTTGATCCATACCTGCTACCTGTTGTCCAAGGAAGTATCCTTGTCAAAATTTTTCTGTCCAACATGAAAACTAGCTTATTTTGCCTATTACATTACCACTATGTAAGTGTCTTTCTATTCGATTGATCCTTGACTGATGATCAGGCTTTCAGAACTTTCAAACTGCCATAGGGAAAGAAATAGTTGAAGTTACTCTCATCGCTAGGAGATGCACCAGGAGAAATGGTATTTAAATCACATTTGTTTGATCTTCCTCAAATTCTTTGTTCTGGCCTGAATCTTGACCTATTGACTTCCCATTTCTTTTATCATTTTTCTGATATACTTGTTTTGAGCAACAAATATGCTGAAGGAGGAATCAGTTACAATAGCTAGGTTTAGGTACTTTTAAAATGCATTTTATAGTGTTATTATTGGAGCCATGGTGAGATTGACCAGAGATTCAAAATTCTCATTGATTGATTGGATTTGACATGAAATATAGAATTTTTACCTTCATTCTTTTCAAAATATTGTTAATTTTCTGGGTTCCTGATAAATGCTGAAGGAAGCATGATAAGAAATTGAAGCTCTTTTCATGCTTCAAATATTTTGGGAGCATCTAGTCATATGCACCTAAACAAAATAAAAATAAGTCTACTAATTTTTCCTGTATCTGATTTCATGAGAATTTTTCTCTCATTGAAGGCACTCGCATGTGGAGAAGAGGAGCTGATTCTGATGGTTATGTTGCTAATTTTGTGGAAAGCGAGCAAATTCTGCAGATGAATGGATTTACAGCATCATTTGTTCAGGTATTCTTTTGTATATATTCTGATACGTGATTAAACTTCTTCAACAGAGTTGCTTTATTATTTTAAGCTTCCAATTTATAAGAAAGGGTCCTGAATGCTAAAGGAATGAACAATGTGGCTTAAATATTCTGAACTAGCCTCAATATATTGATTAGGGGTGTATCCTGAGTTTCCGGTGCTCGGAATTCATGGTAGATTTTTTACACTTACTGCGATAGCTTTAATATGGCACCAGGGATGTATTTTTGAAGCTTAAGTTGCATTGTTGCAACTCATGGATCCACCTCACAACTCACTTCCTTTCCCCTTTTTCATTGATTTATCAGATTCGGGGATCAATGCCATTTCTGTGGGAGCAGATTGTTGATTTGACATATAAGCCTAAGTTTGAGATTGTCAGACCTGAGGAAGCTGTGAGTGTAGCTTACTCCATTATATTGTTTGACCATGCAATTTTCAGACTTTTGTTCCACTTAATTGACTGCTGGAAATTTTTACTTATCCAGGCTCGAGTGGCAGAGCGGCACTTTCTGGACTTGAGAAAAAAGTATGGAAGAGCATTGGCTATTGATCTTGTCAATAAGGTGCATGTTATATTATCTCCTCGTACAATGAGAATTCTGAGATTTTACCCAATAATTTTTTGTGACAATGGTTTAGTCAATTTCATTCCTTGTATATCATTAAAGAGGGTTAACAGGCCATGTTTATACTTGTGAGTTTAGCACAAAATATACATTTGGCATGTACATGCGTTAGCTCGTGAGAGCATGTATATGCATTTGCACTGCTATTTTGTGCCATTTGTTGTTGACCCACTTTCACTCTTATCAGCATGGAGGTGAGGGACGCTTAAGTGAAAAATTTTCCAGTACAATGCAACAAATTGCTAGTGATGATGTAAGGTAGAAATTCCTTCCATATAACAATTTCTCAAATTTTTTTTTTCAAATTTTTGTCTCATGTAATTAATGTTAAAGAACTACTGAATGATGTAGATATCTGCACTTTGATTTCCACCATATCTGCGGGCATATTCACTTTGAGCGTCTTTCTATCCTTTACGAGCAAATTGTGGATTTCCTTGAGAAAAGCGGGTATGGTTTTGTTAGCGGTATGAAAATGCTATAATTGATTTGGTAATAAAATACATGTATTTGCTCGCTATGAGAGACACAAGGAGGTTTTCTCAGTATTGGCTCAACGAGGTTAGTTTTGCTTTGTTGTTTTAATATTTTCTGGCTTTTTTTATTATTGATAGGTACCTTTTGTTAAATGAGAAGGGTGAGAAAACCAAGGAGCAATCTGGGGTTGTAAGGACCAACTGTATTGATTGCTTAGACCGTACAAATGTCACACAGGTAGGTTAATTTCAATGACATAGATACTGTTCCTTCTGGATTCATTCGTAATCAAAACAAATAAGTAGAATATATTTTGCAAATTAGAAGTTGGATCCTCTTGGGTGTCCAGAATGTCGAGATGCAATGTTTCCATGTTATTATTTATGATAACTGTGAATGTATGATATGAACATATCCACTCATTTGTTGCTTGTACAGGAGATATAAGAATTCGTCAGGAAGTGCATACTTCTGTCTCTTGCCACAAATATGCATTTGTGTGCATCTACTGATTTTATGATGATATCTCTGCCATGTATTTGTGCATACATATTCAATTGGTCTCCCAACAAAGATAAGAGAATTTTGCAGGAAATGCATACAATACTGTCGAACCAGTACCTTGCAATTGACAATCTTTTGCTAAGAAAAAAACCACCAAATTTGTTAACCTATCAAAACAAAATTAAATTTTCTTTTAATTTGTATTTTCCTTTTAACTGCTATTTGCGTGCATTTCATCAGTTGATTTGCATTTTATGTCATCTCCCATTTTTCCCCATTTGTTGGATTATGTGCTTCTTATAAACATATTAATTTTTGATTGCAGAGCATGATTGGTCGAAGGATGTTAGAAATCCAACTTAGAAGAATTGGTGTTTTTGGTGCAGAGGAAGCTATTAGTTCACATCCGAATTTTGATGATTGTTTTAAAATAAGTAAGTGCACTTCTAGTTTCTGCCTGCTTTTTGAGAATGTTTATGTAGCTCAACAGTCAAAATTATTGTCTACTACTGTTAACATGGTTCCATAACATTTAGGTTTCTATTGTTTGTCTTTCTTCAGTGTGGGCCAATCATGGGGATGATATAAGCATTCAATACTCTGGAACTCCTGCTCTAAAGGGAGATTTTGTAAGGTATCTTTCTGTGCATTTATTCAAAACTTTTTTAACTGAAAACTAAGGTGTATGCATTCTTACACCCACATTTATTGAAGAACAATGGCACAAAGCTTTATGACTATTTCCTGAAATGCCATTTGTAGATGCATGCCGACCTCATCTACCTTTATATTGGTGTGAGTTATATAATATGCCAGTTGGTCAGGCTTATGCAGCTGCCTGATAGAAATAATCATTTCGATATTTTTGAAGTAATTTTTTCTTTTTCATGTCTGTCATGGATATGTTATTCCATATAATTGGAGAGATATTAGTAAACATAATGCCAAAATTTAAAGCCAGAGGTGGACCAAACTGTTTGCGCTTCTGAAATCTTGATAGTACTCATTAGCTTGACCTTCCTCTACTACATACTACCTCATTGAATGATGTAGGACAGGTTGAAAAATCTGCCTTTTCTATGGTAGTCAAATTTCTACTGATGGATGAGAGTTGGGGTTCAGATTTATTGGCGAATTAGAAGTAGGAGGTTGTATTAGGGTTGATTAGAATGAGAAAAAGGAAGAATTGGTGGTTCTACTTGTTCCTTAAGTGATGAAGTGTTATTGAACTACACGTTGCTTTGCTTTTTATCATTATCTTTTAATGCAATATGATGAATTGTGCTCTTTTTTTTGAGTTGCTCTTACAGTTGACTGTTTATGGCCTTTTATTTTGTCATATAAATTATGCCATTGCATTCTCTCTCTTTCACACAAGTATGCGTATATGCACTATTTTCTTGCTATTAGTGCTTTGAAGCCATTGAAGAACGAACAAAACCTGCTAACATCGACATCAACTGTTATCATTTACGATCATGGATCTTGAGAAATATGAGGTGTAACACTGAATTTTACTGTGGCATACTGACACCCTGCATATTTTCTTTTTGTTCATTGCAATTCCTAGTTTTGATGCTTTTACTTAAAAAGATTCATCACATGCTTAAGCCTCTGCTGTGGTTATGATGGCCATGTTTTATTTTGTTGATATTCTTATGTGTTGCTCACCGCAAACTTTCGCTCCTGTTGAATTGCAGATGTGGCCAGCGGACAGCCCAAGGAATCGCTAAAGATGGCTGGAATGCCCTTGCTCGCTATTACTTTAATAATTTCTCTGATGGTACAAGACAGGTGTACATCCTTCGCACTATCCAAATTAGATATTCACAATTTCAGAAATAATGGGTATTTATTATAATAAGAATTAAGCTTTTCTGCTCTTGTGTTGGGAATATGCTCAGATTGCAACTTCCATGAGTTTATGTTACTACTAAAATGTGTTCCTTCAACTTGATTTTCTTGCATATCTATAAATGAAGTAACTTCCACAATCTTAGATTTCTTACAAGTGCCTGATTTGTTTTTTCAAATTACTTTTTCTTTGAATAAAAGCTATCTTGAAGTAAGGTTTAGATTTACTGTTATTTGTGAAGAGGGCCATCTCTTCTATAACATTTTCAATAATTTACTTACTGCAAATTTTCATTTTTGGCATACCTGTGAAGGACGCAATTGATCTTGTACATGGGCATTACATCGTTTCTGTTAGCCGGGATATGACCCCTCCATCTCAAGCAGGAGGCGTTGAGAGTATTGCGGTTAGTGCAAGTCAAATAAGAATTTATTTTTGAAAACGTGTTTTATACATCTCTAGACTTTCAGTGTCATTGTTAATAAATCTTACAATTTACAACAGAACATCTGACTGCTATCATTTCACTGTTAAGCATATTGTAAGAATCTATTATTCATTGGCCCATGAAAATGCTTCCTAACCTTTGATCCAAAATCTGCTTTTGGCATTAGCAACTCTAAACTAGCCGTCCAGCCCTCTGTCTGATAAGGGAGTTGGATTCACCATGGTCGATGATGATGGATATGGACTAATTGCTGTTTCTCAGAGTTGTCTTTACAGTTTTAACCCTTAACTTTTGTAGCCCATGAAATTGATTGTGAATGAGCTCATGATTCTTACGTTTCTAATTTTGTTTAATGTGCATTTCCTTGCCTAGATTACCAACCTCAGACTATAATCTTAAATTGTCTTTTCAGTCTTTTCCGCTGGCTTTTTCGTTGATCTTGATCGGATCATTCTTTGCCCTGATGTCACTTCGGCAAGGTGAGTTTCCTACGCTTGTTTAATATATAACAAAATGTCCACTAGTTTGTCCTTTTAAAAAGAAAAAAAAAAATTGTGTTATAATTCACGGAAAAGCATTCGTAGCAATGTTGAGAACTTAGTATGGAAGGGTAATTCAAAATGCAACTTTGCTAAACGATATGTATGTTGGAAGTCTATTCTTGCAGCTTTAAGAAACTTTATGGTAACTTTCTTGGATGAAACAGTTTGACATTTTTCCTTATGGCTGGGAAAGGTTTCTACCAATGATATTCACCTGTTATTGTGAATTGTCTGGATGCACCTACGCATGGGATTAACATTTGTAAATGTTGTCTTTCTTTTAGTCTTGCTTTCTTGTCTTTTATAAAGTTAGTGTTATTATAACTGTGCACAAGGACATGAAGAATATGGATTGAATGATCAAAAAAAGGAAAGAAAAAAACAATCAAAGATTTACTTGTATGTATGTGCACAGATGGCATGTGAACCTATGTATAGAGATTTTTGGTTTTTTTGGGGAGAAGGGGGGAAGGGAGACAATCTAGTGTAGGGTTAAATGAGCTGAGCAGAATCGAGCTTGAGCTTGCCAGGCTCAAAGCATGGTTTGATAGCTTTTGCTTGGCTCAAGGCTCGATGAGCTTGGAAATTCTAAGCTCAAGACTCAAGTTCGGTTCAATTCTAACCTGTTTAATTTGAGCCAATAAAGATTGATAAGACTCGATGCTGATAAGGCGCAATAAGCTTTTGAGCTGAATATTATTAGGCTCGAGCTTGGCTCTTTTTGCTTGAGCCCGAACAGCTCGCAGTGCGCTCTGCTCATTTACACTCCTAATCTAGTGTATCTTTAGTAGGCTCTGATTTTGGATTAGTTTAATCCTCTTTCCTTTTCATCATAAAAATAAGAAATAATCAAAGAATTTCTCCCACTTGTCATTTTTGTTGCCATTATTATGAGGTAGATTAGTGTCCTAAATAATCTTAAGTTTGTGAGACAGAAATAGAATTCATGTAAGTGTGAGTTATAAGAATTATAACTGGTGGATTTTTATCTATGTTCTTCCATATCATGCACATTAAATTTCACTTCAACCAATGACTGTATATTAAAATGCTTGAGTCTACAATACTTGAGCTTATAAATGAGTGAGTATTAAACTCATCTTGAGCAAAACTACTTGGCTTGAGTTATGTCTAACACCAACTACTTATAAGTACTTTAGTTTATTAATATAATTTGGGACTCATTTCCCAACAATATAATGGTACAATATATTTTCTAATGTTGGCTCTTTTTTCCATCTTCTGTGCAGTTCCATATGGTTTTCGGTACTTTTTCTTCTCAATGATGTGGGCAAGCTTTACTGCCGGTATTGCAGCATTTGTTAAGGCACATGGACGAGTTTTCTGCAATCGGCCTCGTCTGCATAAGCCTCGGCATTGATTATTGTTTAAGAACACCTGGAAAATATCCCCTGTGAGATTCTTAGCTTGGTGCTTATTTTCATTCTTTCATAATTTTTTTAGCCCACGTAGCTTTGATACTTGATCAATTGTATCAGGTTGTTCCATGATTCCCATTTGAGCAGTTGGCCTGATGCCAATTTCTTCTTTTTCCTTTTTTTTTTCCCCCTCTCTTTCATGTATCATAGGTGTTTCTTTTTTCCTTGTTCAAGGTCGAAATGTTTAGGTGGTAGTTACAAGAATTGTTTAAACACAATTTTTCACTTACCTGCCATGGCCAAAGTTGATGTAGTAATTGTAATTCTCTATAACACTTAACGTCATTTTTATCTTTAAGCAATTGAAAATTTTCAGCTCTTGCTACTTTTATATTGGATTTGAGGCTATTGGATTGCTGTGTTCTCTCTCTGATTGTATTGTATTGTGAAAATTGTTATTTTGGATAAGCTCTTAGACCAGAAAATAACTAAAATTACAAGAAGTGCGAATAAAAAAAAAGATGCAGAAAAGAGAGAAACCCAGCAGCTCAAAGAAAACAGAGAAACAAATAATGGTGAAAATAACAGCAGAATATCAATGTTTGGATTATTGAGCATGCTCTTTAAACTAGATGTACTTGTCTGCATATGGTGGCCAGAAAAGGTGAAATTCAATCTTATAGACAACAGTAAGTCCACTGAGATCCACTGGAGAAGACGTTACGTACCCCTGTACGAACAAAAAGTCGCCGGTGCCTCCCACAACAGGATGATTAGCAGGCTTGACATTGTGCGTTCCTCCGACAATGGAGATTGACCCTTTGTGATGCTTCAATCTGAGTGTGATCTTAGCAACAGAGATGCTGGTAAGCCCGTCAAGACTAGATGTTACAGAAGTTCCTTCCGCAATTCCAACGAGTTTGGAAGTTCGGTTAGGTGTGATTGTCATAGGGTCCTCAAAAACGAATATAGTACCGAAAGGCAACGCAATTTGACTGAGATTTGCTCCTGCAACACCATTCACTACGATATATCCAGTCTTATTGATGGTTTCATGTTGATAGAGCGAAAAATGGAGGGACTTGAGTCCATGGTTGTGGGATGTGGAGGTAGCCGTAAGTGAATGAGCTGAAAAAAGCAACACAGAAAGAGCAAAGAGATGCAGAGATTGAGCCATTGCTTTGTCTTAACCAATGCATAAAAGAAGAGGTTCATTTATAGGATTTTGGTGCAGAGACGTGATTGACCATTAAATAAAGACTGGAAATTACTGTCTCAACAGAGAAGCTGAACCAGTCAAGAAAACATCAACCGTTAAAAATGTCTATATAGAAGCTTCATCTACCAATCTATGGACTAAAAAAGAAGACCTTAATGCGAATGAAATGGTGAAGTGTGAAAAGAAACAAATAGGTGAGACTTCATTTTCAACCTCAAGAGTGCTATAATAGGTTGCACACACATACGACTCGGACGCTGAATATATTAATTTTTTAAAAGAAGTAAACCGATACGTTTAAGACATGTAATACTAAAAAACTATGATTTATTAATAATACATATAAATAAACAATTATTTATAATAAATAATAAATATAAAATAAAAATGCTTAATTTCTTATTTCAAGATAATTAGTTAAATTCTTAAAATTAGTATCATTAAAAATCGTAACATTTCTAGCTTATTCAGAGATAAATTGACAATTTAAAGAATTTCAACATTTTTAAAAGAAATTAAATTAATTCCCTGATGATATTTTACATTTCAATTTTCAAATGTGTTTCTAAAATATCTTTACAAATGTCCTTGAAATGTCTTCAGAGGTATTCTTAAAGTGTTCAAAATTAATAAAACAATGTTTATAAGTGTCTGACTCGTGTTCAAGGATATCCGAGAGGTGTCGGTATCCGACATGAGCACGTTGTTATATCTATGGTATCCGCCATGGGTAAGTTGTTATATCTATAGAACTGTAATGAGTTGAAAAATATGCAGAAAATCAGAATGCGGTCTAAAGCAAACTTTTACCTGCTTCTATTGTTTATACATATTTCTTTTAACCTGATTGGTGAGTCCATGGAGTCTGCACAATTAAAGCTACTTCCTGATCAATTAACTTCTGAATAATCTCCGTGGAGTTGAAAATTGACCTAAAAGCAATTTGGAAATGGCTCTGCAGAGACTTCACAAACTTGAGCAATCAGTAACTGCAGAATCGTTAGCTACTGTGATGAGAAAATTTAATGGCAAGTGGTTACCTATTTATACAGGTAACCTTCATTAAACTAATATGACAATTAACATATATTCTTGACCTTCATTTAACAGTCACAACAAAACAAACAGAAGAAATACTAAGTAGGGAACAATGGGTTTCAAGCTGCAATAATCTAACAAACGGAATACTTAAAAAGGAATTGAAAATGTTCAACACGGAAATGACAATATTGCCAGAGAGACCAAAAGAAATATCAATTGTACTCTGGAGAAGCATATTGAAGCATGTTCCACGGCAATTACTAAATAGAAATGACACGAAGAAGATCCAATCCTTTAAGATGCCTTAAAAAAAAACTATGTTGTCAAAAGAATACAAATGCTCATATACAACCTCAGGATGTACAATCATGTCACAAACCACAAAACTCAACAAAAAAAATGATATTTGAGAGCTCAAATTTAATGGAGGGCGGTAGGTTTACACTAAAGTCCTTTTATTCGTAGATTCCCCCCCCCCCATAATTTATAATATGAGTACAAATTCAAGAATTTTCACAATAATATGAAGATGGGAATAAATTTCATTGAAGCAAGCATTTTTATGGTTTCATTACTTCACTGGCTTATGCTTACATTATGCCATGGCATCGCTGCAACTGAAAAAAATGCCCCTTTCTTGAAAATCTAAGGCTTCTAAAGCTTCCTGACTTCCAGAGGAATTTAGTGGCAAATGCACAACTATTGAATTCAATATGAGATAAGATACTGTTCTTGAACATTAAATTTGTTACAGCTGCTTCTTTTTCTTCTCCAAATAAGAGTGGTTGCGTTGGAAGTCCAATATTGCCCAAACCAAGTGCCATAAACCAATTTCTGGCCATAATGCATCAGGAGAATACAACAGGCAGTTACTAGACTGCCAAAGTAAGAAGTTGCTAAGACGGGTCTCTCCAGAACTTCGAACAAGAATGTCAGGCTCAGGAGCTACTGCCATGTACATGTACTTCTCAATGTCTACCAGTTTTATCATAGAACACTCTCCTTGCATCTTCTCACTCTCTTCAATTGGAGCCACCCCATGGCCAGTTCTATTTGCCATCACTGCCTGATCTTCATAGGATGTGTGCACTGCATGCATGACCATGCTATTTTCAGTGTCAACTCCTCCAACTTCTCTAATCAAACCACTGCAGTTTGCACTTGCCGCTGTTGCTTGAGATTCATCAACTTCATCTTTCTGGAATTCTTGAAAACCATGTGGGGTGACACCATTCATCTTCTTACAATCATCTATTTCTTGAATGCCACCATTAGTAGCCTTCCAAAAGCTCAATGGTTGAATTTCCTCCCATTTATTTTTACAAGAATCTTGAACAGCATGTAAAATCTCATCACGTGAGGTATAAGCTAAACAGATTAAAAGGGTACACTTGGTGTTATTAGCAGTAGCCCTCATAACCTTTTCGGCAGCAATCCGGACATTTTCACTCAAAAGTTTCAAATTACCTATAAAATATACTCTGATTCCATATTGCTTCGCCATGCTTTCTTCCTTAAGCAACTCGTCAATCTTTTCTAGCATCAGATCCATCAGATCCTTAACCTCATCTGGCCGCCTCTTAAAATTATCAATGCTAAAGGCATAAATAGTTACATACTTTACTCCCAATTCATAGCAGTACTTAAGTATGGATATAAGAGACTCAAATCCAGCCCGATGACCAGCACCTAGTTTCAAGTTCCCCTTCTTAGCATACCTCCGATTTCCATCCATTATAAAGGCAAAATGGCTGGGGATGGGTCCCATGGATAGAATGCGAAATAAGCATATTCTTAAAAGACCGCCTATGGCTGGGGATGGGTCCCATGGATAGAATGCGAAATAAGCATATTCTTAAAAGACCGCCTAAATATCCATAGTTTCAAGTTCCCCTTCTTAGCATACCTCCGATTTCCATCCATTATAAAGGCAAAATGGCTGGGGATGGGTCCCATGGATAGAATGCGAAATAAGCATATTCTTAAAAGACCGCCTAAATTTCCAAATAGCTCACTCACTCTACTACTGTGTTTTGTCATTTCATTGAAACCCATATTGCAGGAGCAAAACTAACCTGTTAAAAAAAAGGGAAAAAAATGGAAAACAGTTAATACTGGAAGAGTCAGTTCCTCTAGATTCAGTTAACAATTGAGAAAAAGTACCATACATGTAGTTCATATAAAAATGTGGAAGTAATCACAAGTAATTATGTATTAGTCAGATGAAATTGCACAATGTAGAAGCGCTCATATGAAAGTGTGGAAGTGTTAACTACTTCTGAATGGCAAGATTAAGCTTTTAGAATACATGTGTTGTTCACTTGTTCTCTACAATCTAACAAGATGAATTTCTACCCTACCCCCTTGGGTCATACAAAATTACAGGTTTCCATATAATTCAGAGAAATCAGACCCAAGCAAAAACAATATCCGCTAGTGTATGCAATAGCATACAATAGATTGTGGACAGATCAATTAGGAAATCTCAACCCAAATAACTAACTGCAGCAATGTAACAGACACCACTCAATGATGGTGACCCAAGTAACTCAATCCTCAAGCTTCGCCCAAAGCTACATTAGCTGAACAAAAAAAAACCTTTCACCAACATATTGCAATGGTGAACTATTGAAGGTGGTCAATAATGCAAACAAGCTACAACTCAAAACAAAATTGTTGAATTCACCCAGAAAAAAAAGGCCACCTCATGGGTCAAATCTCTATGCAGTTACTATACATATAGAAAACAATAGAAAATCTGAAATTAGCTTTACCTTCAAAAGCACTGTCGAATAAAACCAGAATAAATTAACAGTAACCACAACTAACTTTCTTCCACAGACATGCAAAATTGGAACAACAAAATCTTAAACATTGCTAATACTAAATGACAATAAAATAAAATAAAAAACTAAGACAAAGAATCAAGTAAATAGAGAGTGCACATGGGTTACCTTTGATCTCCTCAGATGAACCCAGCAAGTGAAAAAGAAATCACAAATCTCTACCCAACTGGATTTGAAATCTGTCAATTTCATCAAACACTCAACACACATTAGTTTTGGTTAATGACAAACAATAAAATAACTTTAGATAGCTTAACATAAGAGAATAAACAAAGGGAATAGAATAATATAACCTCGAGATGGAATCAAGAAAAGACACATGTTTGGTAGTAATGACAACAAAAGAAACTTTAAACGATTCAAAATTATTGAATTTGAGGCTCAAAAGAAATTACTTTTAAAAGAGTCCAATTTGTCATATCTGGGTATGTTTTCTAGTGGCGGCTGGGGCGGGAAATTTCCAGTGGCAGATATAATATCTTCCTGACGGACGCCATAGCAGTACCAGTAAGAGGAAAACAGTATCGGTAAAAGGAAAGGACTTGACTTTCACCTCAAAATTAAAGTGAACTATGGCAAAGCCCAATCGAAGCCCACAAACTAGCGTAAGGTAGACTTCAGTTCCGTCTTCTACCAAACGACGTCGTGTTTTTGTTGGATCAGGGATTTCCGTAAAATAATCTGTAGTAAAATATTTTTGATTACTTTTTCGTTATTTGGACTATTAAAAAAATAAATTAATAAAAAATATTTTTCTTATCAAAATGAAAAGAATGAATTCTCATCTATAAGAGAGCATAACATTTCGGATATTAACAAACTTATATAATTTTATAATTGCGTATTTTTAATTTATTAATTATTGATAGTCATTAATTTTTATTATTATTAATATTAGCTCTTCTCATATTTTAATAATAAAATTTTTAGAATACAAAATTTTTATTATTATTAATATTTTTATAGTCATATATGTTAAAGATTTTAATATTCATTTAACTAATTTTCAATATAGCAATTATATATCGAAAAATAAGTTATTTATAAAATATTTTTAAAGAAATCTCTTATTTTCACCAGTTAGCTAACGAAATAACCAAAATGACCCTCTTTAAAATGTAATGAAGAAACTAAAGCTTCTCTCTTTGCTCGCTATACTTCTTTGATAAGAACTAGGAATCTTCCTTCAAACTAAAGCTTTTAATTCTGACTTGGTTCACAGTGATCGATTCTCTCTTAGCGATTCCCCGAAATCTAGCTGCTGCGGGAGCCACCGATTTCTCGGGTATGCAAATTCTCGATCTTGAAAAGATTTGTGTTAGGGACAGTCTGTGTTGAGAAAACACCACCTATCGAGTTCGACGTTTCAAGAATCGGGCCGTCGCCTTGGGTTCTTTTACACAGAGTTGAGGAAGTTAGGTAGTGGAAACAATAATCTTTGGGTTTGCTTGGGAGATAACAGGAAAGTGATGAATGTCAAGAAAGAAGGTGTTTAGACTAAAATTGAGGCTCATAGAATCGATTATTTTATATTAAAGGAGGGGATTTGGAGCTTTGCTATGAGGTTGCCATGCATTCTTCCAAGAAAACCAAAGATGGGCTACCAACTTGGCTTTTGGAGGGAGCAAAATGATGGTGACGGGGAAGGATCAACAATCTGAGGTTTGGCAAAATGATTGTGCACTTCTTTTTGTATTATAGGTTTTAATTAGATTCATACAATTGTAAACCTACTTAATTTATTCAAACTATTTATTTTGTGACCGGTTCAGATCCCTTGTTGCTGCATAATTATTTCACAATGGTTCTTGATTAGATTGTTGAAGTTGATGAGAGATTGACACCTCGAAATATGGTTGTCTTCATAACTTTGATGCCACATTTTCAGTTGCATAACATACATGGATAGCATCCTTAATACTCATAACTTAAAAGAATATAACATCAAAACCACAAGATGAAGTAAAAATATCAAGAAATGGGGTTATTCTTGCACAAAAATTTACAAAAAAAAATCATTTCAATTATAAAAGAAGCAACTTGATCATAAAACATAATATTTAAAGCAAGAAATTATCAAAGTTTGAAGCATAATAATGAAAAAGCAAGTAAAAATCGCCTAAAATATCTAAAAATAGGAAATGAGCACAAACCTCTCAAACAAAGTCTTAAAATCCATAACATCAAGCTTGGATAACTTCCTTGGCCGTAGATTTTGGATTTTTCTCGACAAAAATGTGATTTTTCCAAAATCACACTAAATCCCATGAAAATGAAAAGATAGTAAATAAATAAGATGTATGAGACATGAACAATGCATTTCTTGCTATGATTTTGAAAAATCTTTAAGATTTATAGAACAGAAAAAGAGGTCGTAGCATAAAAGAGGGAAAATCTTACTTTTAAAAGTTTAATCTTGCAAATTAAACTTTAGAACGGTGGTATAGGGTTTCAGTCCTCTATAATATTTTATTTTGGTGAAGAAAAATAAGTTTTGAGAGGAGAGAATTGAAGGTGGTTTGGTTAATGGAGAGAAAAAAAGGAGAAAGAAAGAAGAAAAAGAAATAAAAGAGAGAAATGGGAAGAGAAGAAAGAGTGTGCGTTGGTTTTGGGTGTGTGCATGAAAAGAGAGTGACTTTGTTTTGTCTTTTTGCTAGTAGAGTGCATTAGTTTAAAACCCTAAGATAATAGGTGTATATAAAATTATTAATCATAGGAATTGGTGTTTTAACTATTGGATAAATAATCTTTTTAAAATAAAATTTTTTGATTTTTGCATGCAGTCAAAGCATAAATCCTTGCTCTTGCACAATTGGATAAATAATACATAGGTGCAGACACCGATCTTTATCTTTATTATATAATGATGTAGATTTAATTTGGTCCTTTTTTTTTTTTTATTCCAATAGGTAGAATTTGACACTATACACATGCATGATATATTTTCTAACTGTCTCGCTTAAATTGCACTGTGTTACTAAAACATAGTCTCTATATATAGAAAATTATCAAAATGTACATATAACACTGTAACTCACGAAAATTATAATAAATCATCTAGAATCATACTAATGTAAAATTAAATTTAAAAATGATTTAATGCATGTTAATGACATGTTTAGAAAATGCGAATGTGACAGCTTCCTTTGCCATCTTATACCTAAAGGGTATGCATTGTCTTTTAAATAATCTATCTCTGCTTTTACGTCATTTTATTAGCCAATTAACAGCAATAAGACTGATTTTGGACGGAAGGAGCGTGTATTAGATTTTATATATAGAAGGAATAACGTGTTAATTTGGCTATAATTTAATTAGCGAGTTGTTTTGTCTTTTTCTTTAAAATAAAAGAAGGCATAACACACTTATTTGTATGTGATGGCTTGTTGTTGGTTTTTGCAAATGGAACCCATACTTGACATCAACATACCCCATGGAATTATGATATCCTATACTAGAGTGGCCATGTTCTGAAACTGCCGGTTCTAAATAATTTAAAATTGAAACTGAACTGAAAATTGACAGTTTCGATTTCAGTTTGAAACTGACTGGTTAAGGTTCTGATTTTGGTTTCTTAACGGTTTCAAAATTAACGATTATGGACGATTCTCTAACCAATTTTAGAGCGGTTAGTATAATTTTAAAATCAAAAAATCTAATTTACACAAATACCTTTAATATAACTAGGCATTATATAGTCATAGAGCCATTTATAGTTGTTAGGAGGCCAAATTTGGAGATTTTAATGAAAAATTTTTTGAAAAAATAAAATAATCGGTTGGCACCGCCGATTCTAATTAGTTGTCAAAACCTTCAGTTCCGATCGATTCTCAAAACCGCTGATTCACGGTTCTAAAAAACTTAAAATCGAAATTGAACTGCAACTTTTCAGTGGTTCCGATTCTGGCCGGTTCCCATTCCGGTTTCAAAAACTGGAATTTGGCCACCCTATCCTAGACTAGACGCAAAATATACGACAAGGTTTTTTGTGCAAGTGACAATAAGTGTTTGTCGTTTCTACTTTCTTCCAACGTACTAGTGTATATATATATATATATATATATGGACTATGGAATTTCATAAGAATGTATTTTATTTTCATATTGACTGAGATATGCTCCAAACTTGACTTTCTTTTATAATAAAAAAAAAAATAAGTTTCAGCTATATTTTTTAATAGATTTTGATGGATTAATTTACGGTAAATCGTTGTGATTTATACTGGTGAAAAAATATACATATTTTTTAAAATTTTTTTAATAGTATAATAGACAATTAATTTAATGATTACCGTAATGAAAAAAAGAAGAATAAACTATAAAATAAAAATAAATTATTTTTTTGGGGACCGACAAAGTATAAAAATTTCATTCAAAAATCTATCGATAATATATATATTACTTTTTAATCTTATATTGCCAGTTTTACAAATAAAATTTGCTTGAAATGCAATCCATTCAACAGCTTTTTGGTCATCTTTTTTATAATTGAAATTTTTTGATGGTCCAAAATTCATTGTTAAAAAAAAATTAATTGTTTATTTTTTTTTTTTTTAAAGTTCTTTTATTTTGTTTTTCAAAACGCTTTGGAATGCTAAACCAACTAGTCAAGTGGATCAGGCCCACCTGTTGTCACGAAAATGCAACCCTAAAATTACAGACAATAAACAGCCTCCATTTCAGTTTTATAAAACAAGAAACAGAGCCTTTCCTCTCTATCTCTAACTCTGACGCATAAATACAATTACTATTCGTCGGCTGTTGTCACGAAAATGCAACCCTAAAATTACAGACAATAAACAGCCTCCATTTCAGTTTTATAAAACAAGAAACAGAGCCTTTCCTCTCTATCTCTAACTCTGACGCATAAATACAATTACTATTCGTCGGCGCTGCCGCCGCCGCCGCCTCCTCCAATTGGTCGGAAACTGACGTCATGTCCTCTAGTAATAACGGCCGTAGCTCCGCCATCCTCTTCCACTTCTTCCAGCAAACTATCACTACCGCGATTATTCCTACTATTTCCACCATTATCACAATTACGACTGTTCACTAAAAAGTCACAATCTTTATTCTAGTCGATTCTTATCTATTGAAAGTTTTCTTACTCGTTTTCTGGCATTCGGGTAGAAGAGAAAAAAGAAAAAGATGGCTGCTTTGAGTGGCTATGGTGTGTGCTTGAAAGAGTCTGCTCTCCAGCTGCCGCGTTCAGTTTCCACCAATTACTACAAGAGGTCAAATCTGATAATATTATATATTTTTGTTGTGGCTTATGTATGTTTATTTTGGGTTTTAGGTGATAAGCTTTTTGCTAGTAACTTTTATTTCCTGTTCTTAGCTGATGGTGCTTGCTTTGTTTTCTTTTTTCTCTTTAATAGGAGGAATGCGAAATGGAGTCGCCCTCAAGCTGCTATAATTCCCAATTTCCATCTTCCAATGCGTAGTTTTGAAGTTAAAAATAGGTAAGCTATCAATGGTGCACTCTCGTTTGGAGAAAAAGATTTTCTTTTGGGTTTTTGGAGAAAAAGATTTTCTTTTGGTCAGTGTTAGAGAATCGGAATTTCTTGGATCCATTTTTTAAGGCTAAAAAAAATACTTTCTGTTTGTGTTTGGCTGATATCTCCTATTGTAGGATATTGTTAATATTTGTTAGTGATAGTTCATCTAATTTTTTTCCTGGGTTCTTAGCAAAGAGTTTGCTTCATTTCTAAGATGAGAAGCAAAAAACTTGGGAAAAACTGAAGTTTTATTTGATATGGATCCCAATAAAAAACAGACATATTAATTGGTATATGGACCAATAAAACCAGACATATTTAATATGGTAAAAACAGTGGTAATCAGACAAAAAATGGAACTGTCATTGGAGCAAATCAATTCCCGGAGTTTATTTTCCCGGAGATTTCTTATGGTTGTTGAAATTAGAACTTGAATATATTTTCATAGAGGAATTAGAATGTGGCATTTATAGCGTTCTGAATGGCCAAGTGAGATTACAGATGATCAAATGCTTAGATTTTGGTGCTAGGTATAGGCTAATTAAAATCTCTCTATTTTTAAATGTGGTTTGATTGATAGTCACCTCAGTAGTATATAAACCATGGTTTGCAGGAGGAGCCATGGCCTGAATTGAAAACATTATGAATGCACTTATTTCTGGAGCTGATAAAGTGAATGATCTACAGGAAGATTCTATAACAAATGTTGAACTCATGAGGATTGGTGGTGCTGTTCTAGTCAAGTGCAAAACCCGTTAATTTTGCATCCTTTGCATTGGCTTTTATATCACATCATGCTTGTGTACCGCAGATGTGGCTGTTTGACCGGTTTTCATTGCATTTTTGTTTGTTGAACTGAGTTTTGAGAACTACTTGCCAACAACATGCATGCTTGGTTGAAGAATTGATGCCACAAAATTATATGCTCTTTCAATGCTTGCAGGACATCATCAGAGGAAATAAAGTCCCTTAGATTGATAACAGCCATCAAAACCCCATATTTACCTGATGGTAGATTTGACCTTGAAGCATATGACGCTTTGGTGAATATGCAAATTGTTGACGGTGCTGAAGGCGTGATTGTTGGTGGCACAACTGGTGAAGGTCAGTTGATGAGCTGGGATGAACACATAATGCTTATTGGTCACACAGTTAACTGTTTTGGTAGTTCAATCAAGGTGATTGGAAATACTGGAAGCAACTCTACAAGGGAAGCAATTCATGCTACAGAGCAAGGGTTTGCAGTTGGAATGCATGCTGCTCTTCACATCAACCCTTACTATGGAAAAACCTCTGTGGAGGGCTTGGTTTCCCACTTTGATAGTGTGCTACCTATGGGCCCTACAATTATTTACAATGTGCCATCACGAACTGGCCAAGATATTCCTCCAGGTGTGATACACAGTGCAGCACAAAGTCCAAACTTGGCAGGTGTTAAAGAATGCATGGGTAATGATCGGGTGGAACAGTACACAGAGAAAGGAATTGTGGTATGGAGTGGGAATGATGATGAATGCCATGATGCTAGATGGAGCCATGGGGCTACCGGAGTGATTTCTGTTGCTAGCAACTTAGTCCCAGGCTTAATGCGCAAGCTCATGATCGAGGGGAAGGACCCTGCACTAAATTCAAAACTTTTGCCTCTCATACGATGGCTTTTCCAAGAGCCAAACCCTATTGGTTTGAACACAGCTCTGGCACAACTTGGAGTCGTGAGACCAGTTTTCAGGCTGCCATATGTACCTCTTCCTCTGCCAAAGAGGTTCAGGCTGCCATATGTACCTCTTCCTCTGCCAAAGAGGATAGAATTTGTGAATTTGGTCAAGGCAATTGGGCGTGAGAATTTTGTAGGAGAACAAGATGTCCAGGTTCTCGAGGACGACGACTTCATGTTGGTAGGTCGGTATTAGTCAGTTTTTGCTATTCAGGACTTTTTGCTTGGATTTTTAATATGACTAGTAAGTTTTGCAGTTTCAGTTACAATAATGCTTCTTGTTACATTGTTGAATCTGAAGCTGAAAATATAGTCTTTTAACTTCTTGTTACTGGTGTTTAATGTTCAAAAAGATCTCTGTTTGGATTATCTGGTGTCATTGGTTGCAAATCATCTTGGCTCTTGGATGAGAAATGTTGGTATCATCTTACTTGCTTCTAAAAGCTCAAATGTGATTTTGCTGATTATGTTAAATAATTGTATGTAGTGTCTTAATACTTACTGTTTTATACTGCTTGAGTGGTGTATTGAAATGTAAATGCTTGAACTTTGAACCAAATTGTTTGTTCTTGAGAAATTCTTGGTCAAGTGGAATGTAAATCAAAGTGTTCCTCTTTCTTTTTTGGTCTAGTATAAACGAATTTTATAAAATTTCATAATTTTATGAAGTTCATTCATAAATGAATTATATTTCTATTTATAAAATAATGAATTATTTTCTTCAAATTGGTGTATTCTAGAGGAACCTGAATAGTTTCCCAATTATCTTGGATTTCATTTTTTTTTTTTTTTTGGGTAAATTGGATTTAATTTCTTTTGACAATGCGCCAAAGTTACTTTGACAAGTGGTAAATTACTATACTTTCATTAATTAAATCTTGATATAAACAAAAGGATTTAATTTCTTTTGACAATGCGCCAAAGTTACTTTGACAAGTGGTAAATTACTATACTTTCATTAATTAAATCTTGATATAAACAAAATTAATATATCAGCTTTTAATCTTACAATAAAATTCTATTTAATCAAATATTTGATTAATTTTAGAAACAATTTAATATAAATTCATGGATACTAACACAAGGATATATTAGAAAAAAATGAAGCAAATCAAGACATTAGCGGTAACACAGTTGGAAGATTGGCTATATCTTAAATTACTCCACATGAAAATAGTTTGGACTTTCTTTTCATTTTCAAGTCATCATAATAATATTCCATAGTCAAGCATAGACTTTTGAATTTTGGCATTCACAGTCATATTACAATGACAATGATGTGTGAAAGCTTTTTACATGCTTACGAAAAGGTGACATTTCCATATTTATTGTATTCTTATATGTTCAGAAGAACACAAGTGTCAAATTGATGCTATAAGTCAAAATAAATAATAACTTACTCTTCTCAGTGAGCTAATAAATAATTTTCTGAAAGATAAAATATAACTGAATTCCTGATTAACCTTAAGTCCCTCTATATCTTAAAAAGTTCTTAACTTATATTTTAATCTCACTATTAGATCATTCTGTCTAATAAGTGAGCTTTTTACCATTAATTAGACACACTTTTTGGATGGAATATGCTCATTTTTTAGATGGAAAAAGGTCACTTTTTGGATGAAAAGACTCGATAAAGAGATAGAGCATAAGTTAAGGATATCGTAACTATTTCTCAAATGTAGAAAGATTTAAATGTTAATTTGAATATAATATAGGAACCCAGTTATATTTTACCCTTTTTCTGAATTATGTGTCTTTGCTGCAAAAGAGATGGCCTTTGGTTTGGCATTTTTTGCCCCTCAAGAACACCTCAAGCCATGTCTTCAGAAGCGGCATACCCAGAATTAGAAAGCTTCAAATATGCTTTAGAAAGACAACAGATTATATTCAAATCAACCAGAACAAAGAAAATCACTATAAAACATTTCCTCACTCTATCTACAGTTACATTAGAACAATTGGCAGCTACAACAAAATTTGCTATGAACTAAAAGAGATCACTAAAAAAATGATGATTACTTGATCAAAGGTTTACAGAAACCAAAAATGAACTGCATAAATGTTTTCATCTAAACATTTAACTTGTTGGATCAAACATATCTTTTACCTTGTTTTTTGTCCACTGGATTAGCATCCTGCTTGTGTTTAAGGGCCTCATCGCCTCGAATGAAGTGGAGAACGATTACGGGGTGATTTTTGAATGCGGTGAGAAGTGGAAGAACTTGATGAACCAGAAGTATTTTTAGTCCCCTTTGGTTTTTCCTTGATTGCATCTATTTGTTCTAATGCGTCCACAACTTCTCTCATTGAGGGTCGGCTTTGAGGATCTGGTTCGAGGCATTGTAAGGTAAGTTGTGCTGCTTGTAACATTGCCTTGGAGGAGTATTGGCCTTCTATTCTTACATCCATCGTGGCTTTTAACTTTTTCTTATATGGGAGAATTGGCTTCAACCAATCAACCAAATTTTGCTGCCCATTTGGACGCCTCCTATCGAGTGCCCTTAAGCCTGTCAGCAACTCAAGCAGCACCACTCCGAAGCCATACACGTCACTCTTAACATATAAATGGCCTGATTATTATTGCAAAAAAAGTATGTCAGATAATTAAACTATAACAACCTATTAGAACAGAACTCCAAATGCTTAATTTTTTCTGTCTTGTCCGTCAAACTCCATAATCAAGCATATACTCAATTCTTGATTTTACCAATTATACATATATATGTGTGAGTGTATGTGTGTGTGTCTGTGTAGGGAAACACAATTTCGCACTTTTATTTTATTACCTGTTGCAATGTATTCAGGAGCTGCATAACCATAAGAACCCATAACCCTGGTTGTCACATGTGAGTCTCCACCTGAAGGCCCCAATTTTGCCAAGCCAAAATCTGATATTTTTGCATTGTAATTCTTTGAAAAGACAACAAAAGAAGAAGAAACAACAATGTCAGTAAAACATTTGAATGCTTACACCTAAAATGGAAGCTTTCAAACTCCCTGTCCCTTTCTCTTGTTTAGAATTTGAAGCACATAAAAAGAAGACAGCACTTGCTTTTTGGAAGTTTACTAAATTTGTAGTGCTATCATCATAATGTCGATACAATCAGAAGTGTAAAAATCAGTATTGAAGTATCGCATTGAGACCGACCATTTGGTAGCATTAACAAGTTATGAAAGGAAATTTAGAATCACATCAATCGATTTCTATTCTTTCAAGAAACAGAAAGAGAAATTTATAAATTAGGCCTCAGATTAAAAAAGAAGCAAAAAGATATAATCGTATATAAACTAACCCCATCAAGCAGAATATTTGAGGCCTTGAAATCTCTGTAAATGACTGGCTTTTCTGAGGTATGAAGAAAAGCAAGACCTCGAGCTGTTCCAATGGCTATCTTGAGCCGTAAGTCCCATGACAAGGGTTCAATGTTAGGATTCCCTGCAAAAACAAACAATCCAATAATCAACGGAAATTATCTAAAATTTAGCAAATTCTAGTCTTTCTTTCTTCAAAAATTTCCCCTCAATCACTCATTTTTATCAATTCTTACTTCTGAAAAGATGATTCTCCAAGCTTCCCTTCTGCATGAATTCATACACAAGGAGTAGCTCTTTATCCTCCCAACAATATCCTAACAATTTAACCAGGTTAGGATGTGATAATCTTCCTAGAAAGTTCACCTCCGACTGCATTATCCAAAAGAGTTCAAAAAAATGCAGATTGTTAGCATTAATAAGAAGGGCTATATTGCATGGATTTAAATTCTCCAAACATCAAGAACAGCTGCCCCACGAAGCAGAAGCTAAAAGGCTTTGTATCAAATCCTCAATTCTCCTTCCCTATCCCGTCAAAATAATAATAACAATAATAATAATAATACTAATAATAAAGACGAAAAAGGAAAAAAAAAAAAAAAAAAAAAAAAAAAAAAAAAAAATAAATAATAACTAATAATAAAGACGAAAAGGAAAAGAAAAAAGAAAAAAAAAAAAAAAAAAAAAAACCTCAAGCTAGAGCAATTTATGCTATATCATAACTTTGATCAATTGTGAATCAACCAAAAGCATTACAGTTTCCAGCGTTTTTCCTTAAAAGAGTTCTTTCAAATATGACCTTATAAAAATTGCACATTCCTTCAATTGTCACTCCATTATTACGGTATGTTAGGCAATGAAGGTGAGGATGACCTTATGAGCAAGGCAACTTGCAGACATTACCACAATTAATGAAATTGCAGTAAATTGAAAACAAAATGAAGCTGCAGGTGGGACCCATTATGGAAAAATGATTGAAGCCAACCATAAACACAATACATAAAACACTTTGCTTCCCCCACCTTTATTCCCTCTCTTCTTCTTTTAATTAATGGTCAAGAGTCAAGACTCATCAGAAACAAGAATTTGGAAAAACAGAACAATCAATAAATGGAAAATAATTCATATTTGGAAGGAATATACTAGAATTGAAAAATTAGAATCAAATTGGAAGGAATATACTAGAATTGAAAAATTAGAATCAAATACCTGCCACTCGTGAAAACCTTGATAGCAACCGTTAACCCAGTGCCTGTTTTGGAAGGTGCATAAGTCTTTTCATCAATCCACCCTTTGAAGACTTTACCAAAACCACCTTCACCCAAAACAGAATCTGATCTAAAATTTCTTGTGGCACCCCTCAAATCAGCAAAGGTGAACTCTTTCAAGTTTGGTGCCTCCAATATTTGACCATTAGAGTTTCCATCTTCATTCACTTCACTTACTGCAGCAGAGAATTGGCTTTTCCCTGCACTGCTACTTGTGGCTGAGAACTCCATGGTTGTGTTATTGTTTGATGACCCTTTCAAACCAAGAGAACAAAATTCAATGGATCAGCTTCAAACCCAAGAAATAAAAAAGCAAGTGCAAAAAAAAAAAAAAAAAAAAAAAAAAAAAAAAAAGAGCAGGAAGAGGTAAAAAACATACCAGGTGTAGGAGGATTAGTAGTGCTGGTGATGATGGAGCTAGGATTAACATCATGAGAAGAAGATCCAAAACAATTGCCCATGTTGACTTTCAAGATTCTCTCCTCTTAGATGCTACCACTATTACCAAATATGCTACTAAGATCAAGAAAACAAGTTCATAACAGTAGTATTTTGTTTTTCAAAACGCTTTGGAATGCTAAACCAACTAGTCAAGTGGATCAGGCCCACCTGTTGTCACGAAAATGCAACCCTAAAATTGCAGACAATAAACAGCCTCCATTTCAGTTTTATAAAAGAAGAAACAGAGCCTTTCCTCTCTATCTCTAAGCCTTTCCTCTCTATCTCTAACTCTGACGCATAAATACAATTACTATTCGTCGGCGCTGCCGCTGCCGCCGCCGCCTCCTCCAATTGGTCGGAAACTGATGTCATGTCCTCTAGTAATAACAGCCGTAGCTCCGCCATCCTCTTCCACTTCTTCCAGCAAACTATCACTACCGCGATTATTCCTACTATTTCCACCATTATCACAATTACCACTGTTCACTAAAAAGTCACAATCTTTATTCTAGTCGATTCTTATCTCTTGAAAATTTTCTTACTCGTTTTCTGGCATTCGGGTAGAAGAGAAAAAAAGGAAAAGATGGCTGCTTTGAGTGGCTATGGTGTGTTCTTGAAAGAGTCTGCTCTCCAGCTACCGCGTTCTGTTTCCACCAATTACTACAAGAGGTCAAATCTGATAATATTATATATTTTTGTTGTGGCTTATGTATGTTTATTTTGGGTTTTAGGTGATAAGCTTTTTGCTAGTAACTTTTATTTCCTGTTCTTAGCTGATGGTGGTTGCTTTGTTTTCTTTTTTCTCTTTAATAGGAGGAATGCGAAATGGAGTCCCCCTCAAGCTGCTATAATTCCCAATTTCCATCTTCCAATGCGTAGTTTTGAAGTTAAAAATAGGTAAGCTATCAATGGTGCACTCTCGTTTGGAGAAAAAGATTTTCTTTTGGTTCAGTGTTAGAGATAGGATTCTTGGATTCCATTTTTTAAGGCTAAGATAGGATTCTGGTATTTTTTAAGGCTAAAAAAAAATACTTCTTCTGTTTGTCTGTTTGGCCTGATATCTATTGCAGGAACATTGTTTAATATTTGTTATGTGATAGTTCATCTGATTTTTTTTTTCCTGGGTTCTTTAGCAAGAGTTTTGCTTCATTTCTAGATGAGACGCAAAAAAAACTTGGGAAAAACTGGGAAAGTTTATTTCATATCGGACCAATAAAACCCCAGGACATATTTAATATGGTTAAAATATCAGTGGTAATCAAGACAAAAAAAAATGGACTGTCAATATGGACCAATAAAACCAGACATATTTAATATGGTAAAAACAGTGGTAATCAGACAAAAAATGGAACTGTCATTGGAGCAAATCAATTCCCGGAGTTTATTTTCCTGGAGATTTCTTATGGTTGTTGAAATTATAACTTGAATATATTTTCATAGAGGAATTAGAATGTGGCATTTATAGCGTTCTGAATGGCCAAGTGAGATTACAGATGATCAAATGCTTAGATTTTGGTGCTAGGTATAGGCTAATTAAAATCTCTCTATTTTTAAATGTGGTTTGACTGATAGTCACCTCAGTAGTATATAAACCACGGTTTGCAGGAGGAGCCATGGCCTGAATTGAAAACATTATGAATGAATGCACTTATTTCTGGAGCTGATAAAGTGAATGATCTACAGGAAGATTCTGTACCAAATGTTGAACGGATAAGGATGGGTGGTACCGTTCTAGTCAAGTGCAAAACATGTTAATTTTGCATCCTTTGCATTGGCTTTTATATCACATCATGCTTGTTTACGGCAGATGTGGCTGTTTGTCTGGTTTTCATTGCATTTTTGTTTGTTGAACTGAGTTTTGAGAACTATCTCGCCAACAACATGCATGCTTGGTTGAAGAATTGATGCCACAAAATTATATGCTCTTTCAATGCTTGCAGGACATCATCAGAGGAAATAAAGTCCCTTAGATTGATAACAGCCATCAAAACCCCATATTTACCTGATGGTAGATTTGACCTTGAAGCATATGATGCTTTGGTGAATATGCAAATTGTTGATGGTGCTGAAGGCGTGATTGTTGGTGGCACAACTGGTGAAGGTCAGTTGATGAGCTGGGATGAACACATAATGCTTATTGGTCACACTGTTAACTGTTTTGGTAGTTCAATCAAAGTGATTGGAAATACCGGCAGCAACTCTACAAGGGAAGCAATTCATGCTACAGTGCAAGGCTTTGCAGTTGGAATGCGTGCTGCTCTTCACATCAACCCTTACTATGGAAAAACCTCTGTGGAGGGCTTGGTTTCCCACTTTGATAGTGTGCTACCTATGGGCCCTACAATTATTTACAATGTGCCCTCACGAACTGGCCAAGATATTCCCCCAGGTGTGATACACAGTGTAGCACAAAGTCCAAATTTGGCAGGTGTTAAAGAATGCATGGGTAATGATCGGGTGGAACAGTACACAGAGAAAGGAATTGTGGTATGGAGTGGGAATGATGATGAATGCCATGATGCTAGATGGAGCCATGGGGCTACCGGAGTGATTTCTGTTGCTAGCAACTTAGTCCCAGGCTTAATGCGCAAGCTCATGATCGAGGGGAAGGACCCTGCACTAAATTCAAAACTTTTGCCTCTCATACGATGGCTTTTCCAAGAGCCAAACCCTATTGGTTTGAACACAGCTCTGGCACAACTTGGAGTCGTGAGACCAGTTTTCAGGCTGCCATATGTACCTCTTCCTCTGCCAAAGAGGATAGAATTTGTGAATTTGGTCAAGGCAATTGGGCGTGAGAATTTTGTAGGAGAACAAGATGTCCAGGTTCTCGAGGACGACGACTTCATGTTGGTAGGTCGGTATTAGTCAGTTTTTGCTATTCAGGACTTTTTGCTTGGATTTTTAATATGACTAGTAAGTTTTGCAGTTTCAGTTACAATAATGCTTCTTGTTACATTGTTGAATCTGAAGCTGAAAATATAGTCTTTTAACTTCTTGTTACTGGTGTTTAATGTTCAAAAAGATCTCTGTTTGGATTATCTGGTGTCATTGGTTGCAAATCATCTTGGCTCTTGGATGAGAAATGTTGGTATCATCTTACTTGCTTCTAAAAGCTCAAATGTGATTTTGCTGATTATGTTAAATAATTGTATGTAGTGTCTTAATACTTACTGTTTTATACTGCTTGAGTGGTGTATTGAAATGTAAATGCTTGAACTTTGAACCAAATTGTTTGTTCTTGAGAAATTCTTGGTCAAGTGGAATGTAAATCAAAGTGTTCCTCTTTCTTTTTTGGTCTAGTATAAACGAATTTTATAAAATTTCATAATTTTATGAAGTTCATTCATAAATGAATTATATTTCTATTTATAAAATAATGAATTATTTTCTTCAAATTGGTGTATTCTAGAGGAACCTGAATAGTTTCCCAATTATCTTGGATTTCATTTTTTTTTTTTTTTTGGGTAAATTGGATTTAATTTCTTTTGACAATGCGCCAAAGTTACTTTGACAAGTGGTAAATTACTATACTTTCATTAATTAAATCTTGATATAAACAAAATTTGGATTTAATTTCTTTTTGACAACTGCGCCAAAGTTACTTTGACACAGTTGGTAAATTACTCTATACTTTCTCATTAATTAAATCTTGATAATAAACAAAACTTAATATATCAACTTTTATCAATCTTGATATAAACAAAATTAATATATCAACTTTTAATCTTACAATAAAATTCTATTTAATCAAATATTTGATTAATTTTGGAAACAATTTAATATAAATTCATGGATACTAACACAAGGATATATTAGAAAAAAATAAGAAAAATTATAATTTAATCATATTAACTAAATTTTCTTAATTCATATGGAAGACAAACTATGACAAAAATTATGTAATGATATTTGTTGACTAATACTTCATTACAACTCACCAAATCTAACTTATGTGTTAACAAATATTTGAAAAAAAATGTCATTGTGATGATAAATTGATAAATAAATAGGGAGTGTCAAAGAAGGCAGGAAGGAGGGAAGTTTGACCAATAGCAAATCAAGACATTAGCTGTAACACAGTTGGAAGATTGGACACATGAAAATAGTTTGGACTTTGGAAACTCTTTTCATTTTCAAGTCATCATAATATTATTCCATAGTCAAGCATAGACTTTTGAATTTTGGCATTCACATTCATATTACAATGACAATGATGTGTGAAAGCTTTTTACATGCTTCCGAAAAGATGACATTTCCATATTTATTGTATTTTTATATGTTCAGAAGAACACAAATGTCAAATTGATGCTATATGTCAAAATAAATAACTATTAATAGACTTTTCTCAGTGAGCTAATAGACAATTTTCTGAAAAATAAAATATAACTGAATCTCTGATTATCTTTAAATCCATCTGTATCTAAAAAATAATTATGATGTTTCTAACTTATATTTTAATCTCACTATTAGATCATTCCGTCTAATAAGTGAGCTTTTTACCATTAATTAGACACTTTTTGGATAGAATATGCTCATTTTTTAGATGGAAAAATGTCACTTTTTGGACGAAAAGACTCGATAAAAGAGATAGAGTATAAATTAAGTATGTCGTAACTATTTCTCAAATGTAGAAAGATTTAAATGTTAATTTGAATATAATATAGGAACCCAGTTATATTTTACCCTTTTTCTGAATTATGTGTCTTTGCTGCAAAAGAGATGGCCTTTGGTTTGGCATTTTTTGCCCCTCAAGAACACCTCAGGCCATGTCTTCAGAGGCTGCATACCCAGAATTAGAAAGCTTCAAATATGCTTTAGAAAGATAACAGATTATATTCAAATCAACCAGAACAAAGAAAATCACTATAAAACATTTCCTCACTCTATCAACAGCTACATTAAAACAATTGGCAGCTACAACAAAATTTGCTATGAACTAAAAGAGATCACTAAAAAAATGATGATTACTTGATCAAAGGTTTACAGAAACCAAAAATGAACTGCATAAATGTTTTCATCTAAACATTTAACTTGTTTGATCAAACATATCTTTTACCTTGTTTTTTGTCGACTGGATTAGCATCCTGCATCTGTTTAAGGGCCTCATCGCCTCAAATGAAGTGGAGAACGATTACGGGGTGATTTTTGAATGCGGTGAGAAGTGGAAGAACGTGATGAACCAGAAGTATTTTTAGTCCCCTTTGGTTTTTCCTTGATTGCATCTATTTGTTCTAATGCTGAGAAGATTTTTGAATGCGGTGAGAAGTGGAAGAACGTGATGAACCAGAAGTATTTTTAGTCCCCTTTGGTTTTTCCTTGATTGCATCTATTTGTTCTAATGCATCCACAACTTCTCTCATTGAGGGTCGGCTTTTAGGATCTGGTTCGAGGCAATTTAAGGTAAGTTGTGCTGCTTGTAACATTGCCTTGGAGGAGTATTGGCCTTCTATTCTTACATCCATCTTGGCTTTTAACTTTTTCTTATATGGGAGAATTGGCTTCAACCATTCAACCAAATTTTGCTGCCCATTTGGACGCCTCGTATCAAGTGCCCTTGAGCCTGTCAGCAACTCAAGCAGCACCACTCCGAAGCCATACACGTCACTCTTAACATATAAATGGCCTGATTATTATTGCAAACAAAGTATTTCAGCTAATTAAACTATAACAACCTATTAGAACAGAACTCCAAATACTTAATTTTTTCTGTCTTGTTCGTCGAACTCCATAATCAAAAATATACTCAATTCTTGATTTTAACAATTATATATATGTGTGTGAGTGTGTGTGTGTGTGCGCGTGTGTAGGGAAACACAATTTCGCACTTTTATGTTATTACCTGTTGCAATGTATTCAGGAGCTGCATAACCATAAGTACCCATAATCCTGGTTGTCACATGTGAGTCTCCACCTGAAGGCCCCAATTTTGCCAAGCCAAAATCTGATATTTTTGCATTGTAATTCTTTGAAAAGACAACAAAAGAAGAAGAAACAACAATGTCAGTAAAACATTTGAATGCTTTCACCTAAAATGGAAGCTTTCAAACTCTCTGTCCCTTTCTCTTGTTTAGAATTTGAAGCACATAAAAAGAAGACAGCACTTGCTTTTTGGAAGTTTACTAAATTTGTAGTGCTATCATCATAATGTCGATACAATCAGAAGTGTAAAAATCAGTATTGAAGTATCGCAATTATTATGGTGTAGTTTACTATTTCATTATAACCTTTGTTTTTGGCGCAGATGTTGTAAAATTTGCACGTTGAGCTGCATTAACCTTTATATGTCTTAACCGAATAACGAAGAAAAATCATCATCAATTATCTCAACATTGGTGTCACTGAATGAACTATATGTAGAGTCCTCCACTTAATGAAGAGCTGCATTACCAGATGTATTGAGTTCCTATACAGTACCAAGAAATCTATGAGGATATTTTTCTTAGTTGCCAATTGTATATTCTTTGAAAAGAAACAAAAAGAAGAAAGAAACGATACAAATGTACAGTGATAAATAACTATAGTGTGAGTATTGCTTTGTTTCAAATCACATAAAAATGGATATAACTTTCAAAGACATCACTACCTTGTCCCCTTTCTCTTCGGTATTGAGATACTGTTTGAAGACAACGAATGAAAATCAATGTAAGACACAGCACTTGCCTTTTTGTTGTGAAGTTGTTAACTTATAATGATGAATCCTTGATCACTGCACTAACACTATGCACAATTATTAGTAGAAATGAATGTAACAATAGAAACGTTGTAAAAATCAAGTAATTGACAGTATCGCATGATTATCTAATACACAGGAAAGGACAGAATTGACACCATCAATTGTCAGGTAAGCATATAAATAGCATACTTTTAGATGACAAAGAGGAAATTTCCTAAGAAAATCAAAACATTCAATAGCAAAACGTCGATGATTATACCCTATCACGTTGTCTAAAAAGAAACAGAACGAGACCAAGAATATGATGTATAAAAAAAAATTGATAGATCGAGACATCTAGGAGTCACAATTGAGAAAGTAAGCAGACAATAGCAAAAGACAGAATATAAAAATACGTATGAAAAATATATCTACACTGATTAAACACCCATCAAAAGAAGCACAGTGACTCAGATTTCTACGAGGGTCACTTTCGGAATCCATCACAAGTCTGTAAAGGAACATTGACCAGATTGGTTTACTGGAAGCCTATTGCACAGGAGAAAGAGCAGAGGGAACCTTGAAGGATGCTGAACTTTAAAGCTCAATACTCCAAAATAGACTATCTAGTGAGAGATTCTCTGTTAATTTAAGGTCTTTCGATGGCATTCAAATTGCGTTTCATAAATCTGTTCACAAGATAATAACCTAAAAATTTCCCTAGATGAGCAAAAATAGCACTCACCACAAAAATGATGAGACTCTGAATGGAATAATTCATGCCTGGAAATAAAATTATCTAAAATTTTAACGCAACGAAAAATTACTGAGACTAAAGTTCACTTTTCGTTCAGTATCAAAAAAAACACTATGTGTCTCTGGCAATATCTCAGATTCTATCACTAGACCTCCATAATATTATCCAATTCAAACTGTTCCTTTATAACTTCTGAAAAGATGAGTTGACTCTAAAGCTTTCCTTCATGGCATGAATTCATACAACACAAAGTGTAGTCAGAGGTCGTCTCTTTTAGACTAATACAGCACTTATGACAATAATGTACACAAGTACAAATATTTAAGTCCAATGAGTTAGGGAATAGATCAGAAAAATGCAAAGGTTTCTATCCCTAAGAATAAGTTCGAGCCCTCCTGACTCGCACAATTATGGGTCAACCACAAGAGTTCAAAAACCAAAATGGCAAGGATGATAGTATTCGATTTATGCTAGATTGCAGTACAGAGAGTGGTCGACTATTTGCATGGATTTAAAAACTCTCTCGCGCTCATGCACACATAATCAACAGTAAGGCAACTATCAGCTAGCATCGCCTATCGTAAATCGCAATTCTGAGACACAGTGTGTTTTGTATAATACAAAATCTCTCAATTCCTCCCTTCCCTATCCCGTTCAAAATACACAATGTTATAAGTCAAACATATAATATTTAAAATAATATATGGAAATATGTAGAGAGAAAGAATATAGAGCTTAAAAAAATAAACATAAAATACGATTTCCATAGACTAAGATGCAATTGTAATATGAGTGCTTAATGATAGAACATCACTCAACTCCACACTTTGACTCAACTTGTCGAATAATCCAACAAACAGCCCATCTACCAGCCTTTCCAGCGTTCTTTTTCTTCCCTCTAAAAGAGTTCCTTTCAAATACGCCCTTAACTCTGGGGCACACTCTCCTTCAATTGTACTCATTCTTATGCGTACTGTCTACGCGCAAACACTGAAAGCTGAGCGCATCGACCTTAACGCACACGCGCCACTCTGCAGCACATTAACCCAAATCCTACATGAAACACTCCTGCCCACCGTAAATTCGAACAACAATGAAAGCCCTCGCCAGGTGGGACCGCACTTATGGAAACAATGATTGAAACGCCAACACCAATCAAACAACAATCGCACATAAAAAACCAACACACTTTGCTTCCCACTCTTATTCCCCTCTTTTCTTCTCTACATCCTAATGGTCAAGAGTCAAGACTCCACTCCAGCAAACAGCAATTTGGGAAAACAGAACCATAACTAAATGACACAATAATCTCCACTATTTGGAAGGAACTATACCCTAGCAACTTGACAAAACTAACAAAGAAATCCAAAAAATATTAAAAAACCCCTTGCCCTCTTGAAAACCTTTTCATCCACTTTCCTGAGTTCTCACTTTTCTTGCAATAGCCAACCGGTAACCGCCAGCTGGCCTGTTTTCCGGAAGGCCTGCATAAGTCCTTCATCCAATCCCACATCCCCTGCAACGACTCTTACCCAAACCACCTTCCAACAACACAGAAGAATCTGATCTAAACTTTCTCTTGCTGCACTTCAAATCGCCACAAGGCTGGAACACCTCCTTCAAAGCTTCTGGTGCCACCAATTACATTTGACCATCTACCGAGTTTCCATCTTCCATTCACATTTCCACTTGCTCGCACCGCAGAGAACTCTCGGCTTTTCCCCTGACCTGCTACTTGGTGGCTCGAGAACTCCACTGGTTTGTGCTAATCCTGTTTTCGACGCTGACCCTTTCAACCACAGAGAACATATAATTCACATCCGTTTGTGGAGTCAGACTATGAACCTCAAAGAATAGGAAAATAAAAAAAGCACACGTTTGAGAAATCATAAGATATAACAAGAAACTTCACATGGAGAAGAGCTGTGAATTATAAAATAACGTATAATGCAAATTAGAGGTCGTACCTGAGAGAAGCGGTTAATATTAATGGAATAAATGTATTGAGGACTGTTTGGAGTTAGGAAATGAGAGTTTGTTCATGAGATAGAAAGGAGTTGGTATACAACAGCTATAATCTATGAGTAAGGTAATAAGAAAATCTTAAAGAGCACAATGTCGAAGACCACATTTTCTTATGTTTGTGACTTAATTAACAAGAGGTTACTCGCTTTCTGATATGATGGCAATCACCATAATCCTTTGGTTCTACTAATGATCCTTCTTTGTAAACAGTGAATTTTTCCTTAAAGAATTATATGCTCAACGGGTAAGAATCAAGAAAAAAACAAGTTCAATTGAAAACGAAGAGACATAGGAGTATGGGAAGAATTAAATTTCTTCTACCTTAGGAAGGAGACATTGCAGAATAAACAGACTGTGTGTCACACAAATAGGAATCTTTCATTTATAGGGAAAGCAAAAAACACCGGAGAGAGAAATAGTGAGACGAGGAGAATCTGCTTGAAAAGCCAAGATAAAAAGAAGTGGAAAGTGGGGTTTGTTGCTTTATAGAGGACTGTATACTCAATGAAATTATAGGTAGATAATTATTGCACTAGATAGGTTATATAGTTAAGTTAACACTAAAATCGAAGCAATTAATGCTACAAATGAACCTCTTGCGCGATCACCATTATTATGAAAAATCTTATATATTGATAATGAAGGTAAGGAAAGAAGGATGAGATGGACAGAAATGTAAAGTCTTTAAGAAGTATGATCTTTTGGTATTTCTCTCTACGCCATTAAGTTCTATACACTGCAATATGGCAAAAAAAGTTACCACTCGAAAAATCATTCGACCGCTTTTTAGTGCTTTTGTGTTCTTTATTCCCGTAACTATGAGATTTTATTTACATATTAGCGAGCTAAGATAGCGGCCCAATTCATTATCTTATGTAATTTCTCTATTTCAACTCACAGAGTGTTAGACGAGGTCATAGCCAAGCAGATATATTCTATGAGCAATGTCACATCTACTGGTACGAAGATAACTGACTATCGTTTAAATTCAGGCTAGGTCCTGTGGTATTCTAAAGGTGAATATCAAATAAACGTGATTAGAGTAAGAAACTCTAGGAGGCCTGTGGTGGGCTATAAAACGCTCTGACATTTAACCAATTTTGTCGCAGTGACCTAGCATTGTAATCCCAAACATGTCACCAAAAAACATGGAACCCAGTGTCCTATTGCTCTGTGAAAACATCTATTGGAATTCACCAGTGTTGTCTTAAGGCGCTAAGAACTAGCCATGGATGTGATCTCCTCAATTTTGCCTTGTCCAGCAAACAGTTAGCCGTGTGCGCTATAAACTCTAATAGATCTTATGGCACAAATTCGAAAAACAGATCTATCCCAAGACCAGTTGCACACGCGATACCGTGGTGCTAACTCATAAGCACAAGCCATTAACACATAAGGTATTATTTATGACCCTCCAATAGCCGTTAATGGGATAGTGGGTCTCCTATGACAATTTTGAATGTTTGGCACACTTATAATCAATGTTGTAGATTGTTGGTGAACTCATAATTTTTGCAATAATTTGGTCCCCCAATTGGGAGTGACCCTAATGGTCTGAAATTTACGGTCAAACAGTAGACCCCAATTCTCACATATTGTGACAGATCATATTGTAATAATGGGCACTATAGTCATAAGTATTTTTATTCTCAATACCCTAGAAATCTTCGAATATACTGATATCCAGAACATAGTAATTTTCTAGGTATTGAATGGGCCACAATATAATGTTCCAATAATATGTTTAAGTTAACTTCTAGTTACCTATCTCGAATTCATTTCTATGAGCAATCAATATCATTTATAATTAGAAAACTATTTACACACGTTGTTGATATTATATAAGGAGATGAGAAGATCTTATCCACTAAAATTCTCGGTAAACAAACGCAAAATATAAGTACGTAATAAGTAGTGCATCGATTATCTTTATTAATCATAAAGCTTTCTTTATTACATTAAATTTTGAAACAGAGTTTGAAGTCAACTGAAAGAGCCACTAATATCTTTTTCGGCTATTACAAATACTACATAATTGAGAATTCTATTGTATAAGAGTTTATAGTGTTCTTTATTACGCACATTTTGATTTTGAGTCCATTAAAAAATTAACTTTCTAAAAAATAGACAGCTCTATATTAAAACAGATATAGTATGTTCGGTTCTAAACTACTTTCTATATTTGAAAGTGAAAGACTTGATTTGTAATTAGAAAGCTGGTATTTTGGAATTATTTAGTTTATTTTTATAAATATATTCGTGTTTGATTGAGTTTATGAAAAACGCGTTGTTTGTTTAATGTGAAACAAGAAAAGGCAGTGTCATATTTTGTACACCTTAGCTTTCAAAAAAGAGATTATGGTAGTTTCGTTAATATGAAAAGTTAACCTCATGTAACGCTGTATTTTAGTTTTGACTTTTTTCAAAACATATTGGTCCACATTATTTCAGAATAAAAATCCTTATTTCTTCTCCTTAAGAACAAAGTCTTACAACAACAAAACTATGTCAACAAAATTTATTTTATTTTTATCACATTTATTTGAGTTAGCTTGATCCTTGTTTTTATGTCTTCGCTTTATTTAAGTTTTGAGCAAATTATTTTTAATCCTTAAAAATTCTTTTAAGTGATATATTGAATTTACCAAACATAAGAGTCATAGGGAAATATTTTGCATATTTTGATATATTTAGTTTCAATTTTAATACATAAAACACTTTGCTTCCCCCACCTTTATTCCCTCTCTTCTTCTTTTAATTAATGGTCAAGAGTCAAGACTCATCAGAAACAAGAATTTGGAAAAACAGAACAATCAATAAATGGAAAATAATTCATATTTGGAAGGAATATACTAGAATTGAAAAATTAGAATCAAATACCTGCCACTCTTGAAAACCTTGCATACTTTCTGAGTTTAATTTCTTGATAGCAACCGGTAACCCAGTGCCTGTTTTGGAAGGTGCATAAGTCTTTTCATCAATCCACCCTCTGAAGACTTTACCAAAACCACCTTCACCCAAAACAGAATCTGATCTAAAATTTCTTGTGGCACCCTTCAAATCAGCAAAGGTGAACTCTTTCAAGTTTGGTGCCACCAATATTTGACCATTAGAGTTTCCATCTTCATTCATTTCACTTGCTGCAGCAGAGAATTGGCTTTTCCCTGCACTGCTACTTGTGGCTGAGAACTCCATGGTTGTGTAATTGTTTGATGACCCTTTCAAACCAAGAGAACAAAATTCAATGGATCAGCTTCAAACCCAAGAAAGAAAAAAGCAAGTGAAAAAAAAAAAAGCAGGAAGAGGAAAAAAACATACCTGGTGTAGGAGGATTAGTAGTGCTGGTGATGATGGAGCTAGGATTAGCATCATGAGAAGAAGATCCAAAACAATTGCCCATGTTGACTTTCAAGAGTCTCCTCTTAGATGCTACCACTATTACTAAATATGCTACTAAGATCAAGAAAACAAGTTCATAACAGAAGTATACATAAAGAGGGCGTTCAATCCCTTTTGAAGCAAACACCGAGGAGGAGCCAGCCAAGATAAAGAAGTGGAAAAAGTGGGGTTTGTTGCTTTTGGGTTATGATTATGTTTATGATATATTATATATAAACACATATGTAAAATGAACTTTGTTCTTTTCTTATTTGAGGGGAAGGTGAAAGGAAGAAAGCTCTAACCTTTTTCTCCTAGTTAATATTGAAATTCACAAATTTTGTCGTCTCTTTGTTTTTTCCTAACTGATTTATATAGGCTAAAGGGCAAATTCTATCTTTTTTTTATTCACTCGCTGGCAGCTGCCGCTATTTGCATTTGCAACGACAATATGACATGTTCAGTCAATAACGGAAGAGAACAGAGCCGTGTGCTTAACCTAACCATTGCATATTCTATTCCAACAGTCAACTGAACCGTGTCCTTCTTAACCAGCCATTACAGTGTTAGCCCAATAGCCAATGGATGTGGATCTCCTCAATTTGCTTTTAGAACAGAGCCGTGTGCTTAACCTAACCATTGCATATTCTATTCCAACAGTCAACGGAACCGTGTGCTTCTTAACCAGCCATTACAGTGTTAGCCCAATAGCCAATGGATGTGGATCTCCTAAATTTATTTGCTTTTTGCTTGTTGACTAATTTTCATGGTGCCTCGTCTTGCCCTTGCATGATATTGATATGCATGTATTATTTTCCTGATCTTGAATACTAACTAACTAGTATTGGTATTTGGCAATATTTTCAATTTTTAGTTATTATTCCTCTTGATTTATTTGGACAAAATTTATAATTAGACTATTCCGTTTATTTAGATAAACTTACTAAATTTGGTAAAAACCAAAATATAGTCTATATTGTCCTTTATATAGCTTTCTTTATTACATTAATTTGAAAATATTGAGTCCAAGAGCTATCTTCGGCAACAACTTTTTAAGTAGTTTTTAGCATTTTGATGAGCCAAAATCCTAAACGCTATTTAAAAAGTTGTTCGGTAATATAGCGTTTGAATTAGTTTTTATAGGTTATGGTAGCGTTATGTGAACATAGCGTTTGTACTAGCTTTCAGAGATTATGGTAGTCGTTATATGAAAAGTTAACTCATGTAACGTTTAGTTTTTTACATGTCATAAAAAACTTCTCAAACAGCTAACAGCTAAACGCTACTAAAATAATTAATAGCTACCTAATTTTACCGAACAGATCTAAAGTATAGAAAATGCATTGAATGTAGCTAAATTTCCAAAGCAATGTTTTTATACTTTTTTTCTTTCTCTTCATTTTGATTAAAAAATTCATGAAAAATTCATTTTATGGATGTAATTTTTTTCTTACAAGATTTTTATAATTCCTTCTAAACAATGGTGCATGACTTGAATACTGCACACATTTCAAGCACTCTTCATTCTATTGGAAATTGGTTTGCCCCTGTTTTTATAAAATTCGAATTTTTATATATTAAATTTGTTGAAATGGAGAATATGTTCGCAGCTTTTTTAATAGAGCACGAATTTCACATTCCTTATATTTCAGATAATAGCACATTCGATATTTTTTTTTTTTCCCCTTTATAATTTGATGTGAAAAAACTTAGATGTTAACTATTGTTAAGTAAAATATAAGGAGCGAACTATGACCTAATAAAGGCATGATAATGCTTAGCATGCAAACTATCATCATGCTTATACCAACATTATGTTTTGCCAGAGTGTTTGTACACGTGGCAGACTACCTTGACCGTGTTTTATGGCAAATTATCACGTCAATGATTTTTTTTTTTTTTTTAACTCGGCTTTTTAGCTTGCGCAAATGGGCAATTTGGTTTTGAATTAAACAGAATCATAAAAACTAAAAATCGAAAATAAATTTTCTTTGAAACTGAATTAAACTGAAATAAATATAAAAATCGAATTAAATTGATCGGTTTGGTTTGTAATATTGGTTCGATCAAACGGTTCAATTTTATTCAGAAAATAAATATTTTGAAATAACTTATCCAAAGACCGAACTGAAATCATCGAAAATTTCTAACTAAAAATTGAATAACCGAATCAAAAATAGAAAATAATTTGATTTGATTTTTGATTTTTGATTTTTGATTTTTTCCAAAGTTTACTCACCCCTATTCAGCTTCCATTGAAGTTTTAAATTTGAGATCTTTTAGCTTTATGTAATGGCTCCTTTAGAAGTCACCTATGGTCATTACTTTGATGATCTCTTTCAAGAAATATCAAAGTAAAACTCAAGTATATAATTTTTTATCATATACCTTTCATGATAAAAATTATTTAAAGGTGAACTCTTCTTTTTATATGTGGCAATTTACATAATTCTTAATAAATAACTAGTCATTTTATTAGTAACGTGATTATCTCTTCGTGAGAAAATATAGATAATAATCAAAAATCAAGAATAATAAATTATAATTTACTTTCATCCATGAATTCATACTTAATCTATTTAAATATAAGATAAATAGTATATTTTATTTAATCTATTTGTGCCATGCACAAAAAATAGCATCGAGATAAATTAAAATCACATACAGCTCAATTGACATTACATGCTTATAAGTCTATACTATTCATTTGACAAAAGAACATGGTTTTGAGTATTTTCAAAATAAGATATGTGCCATTATTTTATTTTTTATTTATTAGAAAATTTTACGAGCCAAAAGAATATTACGGTCTATATAAAAGAGGTAACATTTTCTTACTTTCCGCGTAAGATATGCACAAAACTTACCATTAGGGCAAAACGGGCAAGAAACAAGTATAAACTAGGCTGATGGCTGATGTTGCTGATGCACCAAACTGTGGCACTAGGACTAATGGAAGTTTCTTATTATCGCTTTTTCTTTAATAAATTTAATCTTCACATAGCATAAAATTCACATGTAAAAGTTAAAAGTTAATAATAATAATACATTTAATGGAAGCTTCTTATTAAGCTTTTTCTCGAGTAACTTTCTTCTCCACGTGGCATAAAATGTTAAAATTTATTCAAAAAATTATTATCGAACACAATTATAGTCGGCTGATCTTATGTGAAAAATAAAAGATTATGAGTTCTCTCGATAACCAGAGTTTTTAACCGATGTGTTTTATAGTAACGTCATGACTACAACTTCTGATATCACATGATTGATTAATGAAAAAGTATGAATTGTAGTGCGCATAGTTGTCATTGGATGCTTTCCTTTTTATGTCTTATAAAATCCTAAGAAATGGAATATAATTTTTTTTTTATAAGGAATAATAGTTGTATTTTTTGTTGGATACGTGTTTGAAATATTAATTGAATAAAAAATTAATAAAATTTTAAATTAAACAAGAGTAAGCTCCCTTATTCATGGATGGAATTCTAGTATGATTGTGAAAATTAAAGAAATTTTTTCTAAGGGAAGGCACGAAAAATGATAAAAAAAAAAAAAAAAAAAAAAAAAAAAATGATTTGATAAAAAAAAAAAAAAAAAAAAAAAAAAAAAACCTATCAAAAAAAAAAAAAAAAAAAAAAAAAAAAACCTTATCATTCAGATGGATCTCACAGTGTTAGAGTATTTTGTCATTTTTATAATGTATTTATGTATTTACCAAATTGAATGGATGAAATTATAATTATATTTGAGAGATTAAATATTATTTACTAATAAATTTTACGTGTATTGACAATATATTAATTGAGGTGGTAAGCGATTTTAATTTCCATAATAATGAGAATACACTTTACGGACAGCGCGAAAAACCTTTACTATTTATGGTGTGATCAGGATTTAATAAATGAACAAATATATTTTGTTGTTTGGTCATGGAGGCACTAAACTTTTTTGGAAAGTAAACAAATAGAACTTCTTCCTTACATTATTATATTATAAGATTCCTCGAAAAACAATATTATAAGATAAACATTGAAAATGAAAGATTAGGTCAATAATAATACTAGTAAATATTTGTAAAAAATATATTAATTTAGATCCTGCCTTGAATAAATTAAGCATAATAGATTTTTCTGTTGTGATCCATCATTTTCTTCATTTTTTTTTATTTTGGCAACAAAAACTATTGTTTTTTTTTTTGTTAGAGTTCGAACTCTGAGTATGAATCTCTTTGAACACTCGGATGGAAGTACTTTATCCCCTTTATAGACCTACCGGTGTAACTCCAAATTAATTGAATCAATAGATTTCAAATACAAACTTATATATATATATATATATATATTTTATTAAATATTTTAAGTTTACCAATCGGTTACCTTTTTATTAAATATTTTATCTGAATGGAACTTTTTCATTGATAGGAAAACTAACTCTCCATTTTCCTTAAAAAAAAAAAAAAAAAAACTTAAAAAAAAAAAAAAAAAAACAACAACTCTCCCACTTATATATAAAAATTATATCCACTAATGTAAAAATTCAACTTTCTTTGAAAAAATAACATTCAAAGTATCAACCAAACATCAAAATTTATATTCTTAAATCACTTTTCCGTGTAATTTTATCAACCAATTACCTTTTTATTAAAGGTGAAAAAATAATAAAAATAAAAAATAAATGAATTCAACAATGTGAAAGTGAATTAAAAGTAAAAACAATTAAATAAATTAGAAATGTGGAATTGATTTTTTTTTTTTGAAATGTAATTCATTAATAATAATATATCAAGAATTACAAATAAGCATATAACCAGACATAAAACTTTATTAGCTAATAGAGTTCGTTGATCTTCTAACGAAATAAAAAAATTCATATCCTTTTGAATAAGAAATTAAAACTAAAAAATATATATATAATATTAGATCTTTTCGCTTGGAGTTGATCTTGACAAAAGATAGAAATCTTCATAATAGCAACTAGTTCATTAATTGATTTGAACATGAAAATAATAACTTCTCTGGATCTTCTATAATTAGATTGATTTTTCAATGATTTGCAACATATGATAAATACAGATGAGTTTCTGCCACTATGTGTCAATAGTATCAATAGAAGAATATGCCGCATTACCATGCTCCATCGATTGAAGATTTATATCTGCAAATCAAGATTTAAAGTATCCAACCAAATAAGAATAAATATTATAATTTTATTTAATTATAAAAAAACCTTCACAAGAAGGGACTACCCTCACAAAAAAAGGGAAAAAAATTCTAAATATGAAAACAACCAACCATAACAAAATAAAAGAACAGATATGTTATAGAAAAAATAAATATAAGTTTATTAAAATAAATAAAAAAAGATTAAAAATAAAAAAAATAAAGAGAAAGAGATAGTAAAAAATAAGAAGTAAGAGGTTAGTACCGATAAACATCAGCTGCCGTAAATTAAAATTAGGATTACAAAACTAAAGGGAGAGAAATAAATATAGAATTGATTTAGAAGTCGGTTTCCATGACCCATTTGGAGTTGAAAGGTCAAGCGAGACCAAAGAGCGTGGAACTTGGTTTTGATGACCAAATTTCTTTCTCTTCTTGTCATCAAGTCCTACACCAAATGGTTAACATTAATAAAATATTACAATTTTTTTAAAATAAATATAAGTAAAATAACTTATTATGTTGGTTTGAAGGAAGAAATGAATCTAATTTTTTAATTTTTAGATTTTGGTTATGTATGTGAACTCCCATACTTATGCTTGAAAATTTATAAAATTGCTTTTAATTTAATAGTGTTTTGGTTAATATTGTTATCCATTCGAAAAATTAATTGACTAAAAAAACGTGAATGTCCTAAAATTAGAAAGCACACGCTAAAAGTCTTCGTTTCTTTTTTTTTTTTTTTTTTAAATTTCTCGAAAAATTAATTGACTAAAAAAAAACCGTGATGTCCTAAAAATTAGAAAAGCACACGGGCCTAAAAGTCTTCGTTTCTTTTTTTTTTTTTTTTTAAATTTAGGCAGTTCGCGGCGAGATAATTTGAAAAATTGGCTTTTAGCGTGTTGATCATATGTCAAAACTCTTCCTACTCTATTAATTTGTGTAGCATTTAAAGGATTGAGGGAAACTTTTTATAAAATATTTTAAAATAATATAAAATTAACATTTTAGCATTTAAACATTTAGCATTTAATTAAAATTTTTTGATAATCATACCCATTATTTTTTTTCCTCCGAAACATTATTTTTTTTTTTTTTTTTTTAAATTTAGGCAGTTCGGCGAGATATTTGAATTGGCTTTTAGCGTGTTGATCAAGTCAAAACTCTTCTCTACTCTATTAATTGTAGCATTTAGAGATTGAGGGAACTTTTTATAAAATATTAAATAATATAACATTTAGCATTAACATTTAGCATTTAATTAAAATTTTTTGATAATCATACCCATTATTTTTTTCCTCCGAATCAGATAATTAGATAACTAATGTCGTTTTTATCATTTTAAATTAAAAAGTTATTTTTACCAAATACTCCTAATTTAAACCGATATATAAACTGCTATTTGCTAATAGCTAACAACTAATATAGCAACTAATAACGCAGAAAGTACATGGGATTATAACAATCTTGACCGGTTTCTAAAGCTATTTTAAATTTTCTATCCTAAAAAATTCATCTTGAAAATAATTTTGAGACGTGATTAGTTATTTGATTAAAACTTGTTATTACCAATCCAAAGTTTCATTTTTTTTCCTATTCTACTCCTAAAATTGGTTATTTTTAATCCATTTAAGAACTTTGAATTTAATAAGCCTCACATGTTAAGTTTAGAAACGGATTAATGATTGAAATTAGTTGATTTTTCATATCTTCTATTCAAGGTTCTATTGATTTTTTTTTTTTGATTGCAATTGATAATTAAAAAAGAAATTCTTCTTTTTTTCTCAAAAAAGTTTATCTTTTTGGTAAATTTTAATTTAATAGATTAAGAGAAAGTTCAAAATTGCAAATCTAATTTATGAAATAGACAATAAAGCAGCCTCCAACAACTTTTATCGGCATGTCAAACTCAACTACATGAATTAATATTGTTCCCCACTGCAACTACACAAAAGCCTCCCATACACTATCAACCCAACCTTTTCCCTTCTAATTTGGTTTGGTCCTCAATCTACCAATCTAGTTACAACAGAATATTCGAATCGAGCCAACTATTTTTTATTTGGTTCGGCTGCCATATAAATAAGTTTCGGTTTGAATAGATTATGATTTGGATAGATTACTAATAAATAATAACTTGGTTATTCAATTGCGATGCGGTTAGTTGTAAATGATAATGGTTGTATCCGGAATAACCAGATTAACATTTAAATACATAGTTGCTTTAGGAATAAAAAATTGGAGACAGAAAATATTACTATTGGAATATTTTCAATTTGGAAATTTCCTTGTAGTCGGTTTGAATTAACCATCTGAAAATATAAATTCGATTATTCGAGTGACAGAGAAAACCGCAAACAATCAGCTGCTTTGATTTTTATTAAATACTGTTTAGATCAGTTACTGAATTTGTAAAATTTGACTATATTTGGCTTGAGTAATTCAGTTTGAATCGGTTTAGATTTAAAAAAAAAAAAAAAAAAAAAGGTTGCTGATTAAATTTCTAACATGACATTATATCAAGAAATGGCTCAACCTTAAAAATACAAAAGTTGGTGGCTGTAAGTGGTAAGTTGACATTATTCCGAAGGAGTGGGAACGATGGTGGTGTGGGATAAACATGGCATGGCAGCTTCGAAAAAACCAGAGAAGAGAAAACCTACAGAGAAATTCAATTCCCATTGGGACTAAAACCATTTAGTGACCACAAAGTTTGACCTTTTTCTATAGAGAAAATTACACTATGATCTCCATGGTTTACGGTCAATAACACTGTTTTATTTTTAAAAATATACCAATTTGTAATTATATTTTGCTTCTAATACACTATTTTATTTTTTAAAATATACTAATTTGTCTTTATATTTTAGTTCTGATACATTATTAGGTCATTCTGTCCAATTTTTATATTTTTTCCATTAAATCAACAAGAAAATGTGAGGGTTAAAAGAGAAATATTAAAATTTTATACTTAAAAAATCACAATTCGATTTATATGGTTTGAGAAATACAATTAATCTGTCCCTATATTTTTAAAATATACTAAAAGTGACGAGATAAAAAAAGGTATTTTCATCATTTCATAAGGCACCTAACAGAAAAGAAAAAAAAAATTAGACGGAATGATTTTATAGTATAAGGAAATTTTAGTCTATTTCCTAAAACACAAAGAATGACTGACTAGTTACATTTCTTAAATCATTGGGACCGTATTATAATTTTCTCTTTTCTATATTTGATCTATCTCTCCACACTCCATGTGTTTTCTAAGTGGAAGCATACATATAAGAAGGGTCAACAAGTATACACATAAAGAGGGTTCATGAGCATATCAATAGCAACAATTTATTCACACATGAAAATATGAAATCAATTAAGCGGCTGGTTCTTTTTGAATCCTATGAACTTAACAAAGAAAAAGAACTATAAAAAAAAAGAAGTGAACAGTGTTAAAAAGTAAAGGAAAGAAAGAAAACACAACCAAACAGGTAGCAACAGAAGAAAGTTCCAAGTTTCACACATAGATGAATACCTGTCTGAAATTCTTACTGGTTGTGCACAATCCTTCCTTATCTTATAAAAGCATCATAAACCAAAACACATGGGAAAAAGAAAAGGTTAGTCTTAGAATATACTTATTATAATAGTATCTTATAATATTCTCTATAAAATGTAGCAAAATTCAACCATTTCTAACAATCCATATGCAAACTGTTTGGGCCAACTTTGAGAATATACTTGACCAGTTTCAGTCCAGGGTCTCATTCAACAAGCAGAGATGACCCACAAAACTGTGAGCTAGAAAAGCCTGACTCAGATGGTCTGGCAACAGAAATCCATAAAATGGGATTTCAAAGGCAACTGTTAGCCTTAGAAGCAAAACTGTACATATGGTATTGAAAAGTTTGAACTTTTTGAATATATAATTCTGTTCATGTAATCCCAATCCCTCTGAGACACAGGGAGTGACTTATGGGCTGCCTTGGTTTCTAAGAGCTCTTGCTCGGTGCCTTCTCTTGAAAACATCTTGCCTGAATCTCTTGGTCTCACTTTGTATTTCAATGAAGGGTTTCCTCTCTATAGTTTCTTTTTCCTTCTCCAACATCTTTTGCCTCTTCGCCACAGCCATTGCAGCATTCTCATTCTCTTGCTTTTGCCGTTCTGCCTCTTCCTATACAATCTTTTCTATCAACAAGCAAGTACTACGTGCAGATTCAAATGAATGCACACACATGAATATGCATATATTGACATTAATCCAACAAAGCACTGTGTTCCATAATTGTTCAGCAACGTATAACATTGTTCATAAACATGAAACAGTTCAGCCAGTCATTGTGATGTTCTAAGCAAATGTTCTTATTGGTTCTCTATGAAAATAGGGAAGGTAGTAGCCAATTTATAATCTATTTGGGATTGTGGTTGAAACTGCTTTTTCAAAAAACCAAAAACTAGCATTTTAAATGTTGGAAACATGGTTGCAAGTGTTGCTTAGTAGTTTGAAGCTTTTATAATCAAAACATGTGAAGTTTAGCTAAAAAAAGCTTTAATGACCTCTAAATAATATTTCCGACACAGTGATTTTCTCAACAATACCTCAAATAACAATGCCAAATAGAACCTTAATGCGCATGAGCTTCAAAAAAGAGAAATCAGGCTAAGCTACTACGATGATTTTCAATTCATAAGTGAAGCAGGATAATTCAATTTGGTACATCTCAAAGGAACAGAAAAGACCTGGAGATTATGGATAAGACTGTCAAGGGATTTGATCTTCCTATGCGGCCATCGGGGGATGCCAAATTCCCTACACTTCTTCTTGAGCACTGTGAGTCCAACTTTCAGGTTTCTTGAAGCTTCTGCAATAGGAAGACCAAAGTATTTGACAAGATCTTCTAAAGCAATTCTAGCTATGTCTTCAGTAGCTGCTCTCTTTTTCTTCTTTGCCACAGAACTGCAACTTTCCTCTGCATGTGCAGCATTACAGTCAACTATAAAAAAATTAAACATGTTCTCTATAATTAATCAAAAAATCAGTTTCGTGAAATTTATTGGAAGCAAGAACAAAGTATTTTAGCAAAACAAAACTATAACCTTTAACAAAGGTTACTTCAGTTTTATTAAAATGAGTTTATTTAAGAACAAATAAGAAATAAATCATCCTTAGAATGATAAGCCACAAATTTTAAAGAGCTTGCTCAGATATTGGACCTGGTGCACTTGGTTCAGTTTGTTGATCATTTGATAGTTCAGGGGTAGCAATTGAATAAGGAAGACAGTTGAGATCCTGATCCAATACAGGCAGACTTTTCTTAGATTGGCAGCAATCACCTCTTGCCCTTTCGCATTTTCCCTTTGATAAAAATTGCAATGACTCTCCGTCTGCTGTTCTGCTGCTCAGCTTAAAAATTAATTGGAGATCATTGGCCAGTGTTGGGATTGATTTCAGCTTGGGATTTCTGAACATATAAAAATAATTAGAAATATATAATCAAAACGTCTCAATTGATCAAGATATGTTGTGTTGATAGTAGATTTTGCTTACCTTGATCAAAACGACTAAAAGAACGAAGTTCTCATTGGACTATGGAAATTCCCCAAACTTAATGTGCACAGATTCAATAAACAGTACTAAAATATAATAATTTCATTTGATATCTAAACTGAAACATAACAATTTCCTAACTAATGGAAATGTGTTAGTGTCTTCTTCAACAAAAGAAGCATATACTTAGAGACAAATAGGGAATGGTGTATACCCTTAAATTCTTGAAATGTATAAGACAGTTTGTGAAAAAACATCAGTCATCAACAAGAAGAAGGCACTAGTATTGAAAATTTAAAAAATTACTAGGCCTAAAATGTACCAGTTCAAACCCTTTCTAAAAGATTATAGGCTTCTTTATCCCTACTCTCCTCCTGTTACAATTTAAAGAACCCCATTTGATATAACATTAATCAAATCAGTAAATTTCCTCTAATGCACCAAAGCAAGTTCACAAAACTTACAAGACAAAAGCCCTAGCACTCACTAGGACTTGAATATCCAAATTGAAATTTGGGGGAAAATGGGGGAAATCTTGGAAAAAAGATATAAAATTATAGAAATTGAAACAATGGGTTACCTAGAAATTGAGAGTAAAGAAGGAATGTGACTCAAATGAGGAGGATGGTCTGCATGAAATGCAAACATACACTGCCACAAACCAATCACTTGCCCTTCAAAAAGCTCCATAACTTTGAATCTCCCCAACATGAGAAGTGGGTTTGCTGCTATTTCAATATATGGGTTATCAACAGAGAATAGGAACTCTCTCTGAACTTCCTTCTCCTTCCCATCCTCCAATCGGTACACATGCAAACACCTAATCAACTCTGCAAAACCCACACAAAAACAAGCAGTCAAGAAATGCCAAAAACTAAAAATCAAAAATCAACCTCATTTTTGGGATAAAGATTTCATTTTTATTAAAAAAATAAAAAAGAAGAAGAAATCATAAATAAACCTGTGTTGATGGTGTTCTGAAAGACTAAGAGAGCTGTTAAGGAAATGTCTTGACAAGAGTCTTCCATGAGGAAGATGAAATCATGATTAGATTAGAGAAAGGGAAGCAGTTAGCAGGAATGCAGTGCGTAGATAGAGTTCATTGAACCAAACAAGAAATGGATTTAGACACTGCAAAACTATAACAAGTTTGCATGATCTTTTTCAGTTGGTTTAAGACTTTAAATTTAACCTGCAGGTCCAGCCAACCCATATTAAATACAACAGCTTCTCTCCTTTTTGCTTTCAATTGTATTTTATATTTTACTCTCTTTTTTTTTTTATTCTAATAGACTCCACATAAATTCAAGTTCATGTTTTTGTTACTTGAAAAATTAAATAAATCTGAACTTACTAAAAATGCAAATTGCATATCTAAGACCTTGAAATTATTAAATTTTATTCATCAAATTTTTAAATTTTTAAAATAGTATATATTTTCATTCAATTTCCCCATCCAAGCAAATCTATATATATATAAGCATTTAGCTTTAAAAAAAGAGTATGTCGTAAATGAGATGGTTAAACTGCGGAGTATAAAATTCAATGATCTGAGTTCGACTTGAAGTCTTGTTATTGAGTATTGATATCATCGTTAGAATTATTAAGTGTAGATATCATCATTATGATTTATAATCTTAGAATTAATATGCAAAAAATATCAGAACCAAACTATCTATTGATTTGTGTGATAAGTCAGAAAATTAAAATCAAAATTGAGTTATCTCCACCACTATTTTAAAATTAAAAAGAAAAACACTAATTCCTATGCTCTAATGTGAATGGAGAGGCATGAGCATAGGAATGATGGTAGTTTTGTTTGATTGTGAGGTGAATCATTTACAGTGTCCCTTAGACTTCCCATAACTGTCTACCTCTATATGTATATCCAGTAAAGACATTCCAAAATTGCTTAAATACTGTATCAATGGCAGAAGGAATGTACTTTTTTTGTGAAAAAAAAAATATTCTCTTACCACTAATTTAAAAATTAATCCATTTTGAATCGGACCGCGATGGAAATACCAACACATTCACTCGATTCGGCAAACACTTGCATTTCGACTACTAAATCAAGTGATATTAAATCATTTTAATATATATATATATAAAGGAATTAAAACAAATGTAATTTCACTAAATTTTACACCAAGATTGAAATTATATTATGGAAAGTAGTGCCAGAAATCTAAATATGCTATATATAAGTGCCAAAAATAAATAAAAGAAATGTTTTGTGCAATCGCATTTTCAAAATCCCAGTTGTCTTGCAATATATATAGTTAAATCTACATATGCAAAGTCCAATAAGATCGACCAATCAGCAAATTACAAAATTATAAATTTAAAATTTAAAATTATCACCATTGGATGAAGAGGTGATTGTGGATATGTATATAGTAAAAATGAATAAATAAATAAAACTGATAGTTAGTCAGAGGGTATTTGGGTCAAAGAAGAAAAGAATATTTGGGTCACGAAAGCAATACCAACTACCTCAACTGCATGTCTGAGAAGTGGCAAAAGAAGTTAGGAATAGGAAAAGTCGCATTAAGAAATTTACAGGAATGCCATTGGACCCCCTCGATTGACGTGCTTGGACCGTTAGGACAGTTGAAAAAGTTTAGTACTCAGCTTTGTCTTCTTCTCAGTGGCTTTGACTGCAATTTGTTGGGCTTTGAAAAGCCCAACTCTAGAAGTCCATGCCCATGAAGAACTTGGGCTTCAATTGAGCCCTAATTCTAAAAGGAATACCGTACGATCCGCTTGAATATGAACTGAGCTGTGTTAGTACTCTTCCATTTTAACTTGAGAAACGGCATCACTTGTTATTCCACTTGAAAAAGTCTTATAGATGTTTTATGTGATAGGAATATATCAATAGGACAACAGTGAAAACAACAATCTTGTATGGGAGTGAACATAGAGTTATTATCTATCGTTGGCCGATAGAATCAGTCCAGGCCTGAGAGCGGTGGTTTATCCTATGACGGATGTCAACAGTTAAAGTCCACTTATCTCCAATTCGTGAATGTTGGGGTCAACATGTTCATTAAATGAATGATATAAAAATATATATTTTAAGATGGAAGTATGGTCACACAAGATTGGTCAATATTAGAAATGACCAAATTAGACAAAAGATGCAAGTAGTAGAAGTTGGAGAGAAAGGAGAGAAGAATGTCTAAGATAATATGACCATGTGCTACATAAACTAATGCAATACTTTGGTAGATGAATGTAATATCAAATGCTTAACATGTTCATCAGATGAATGTTATCGAGGGGCCTAATGCATAAATTTAACCTTGAATTTTCACCGATTATTTTTGTGGCCCATTGAATTTTGCGGACCCATCATGACCTTAAATTTTTATTTTATTCAGTAGCTATGCACCTCACCACGTAGGATATACATAGCGTGCGTTCAATCACTTGAAGGAGAGTGAGAACTTAATTTAATACCAAGTGTGTCCAACGTGGCACTCCTCCTTCCAAACTCAAACAACCCATGCACAATCCATAGGTTACCAAAATAAAACTTTCTCTTTACCTCCTCCTATTATGGATCCACACTCTCCATTTCAGTCTCTGTTAGAAACTTAAAATGAAGACTTATAAGGATTTAAAAAATTTCCTCCAGCTTATCATTTTCTTTTGGCTTCTATTGTCGTTTCTTTTGACTATTAAATAAAAACTATCATGAAATCATTCAATTTTGAAAATCAGCGATGACAACAACAGTGATATAAGTATACCAAAGAGAAAAAGGAAGAACAAAAACCTCAACTGTACAATTAGGAAATCTCTAATAGTAATACCACAACGACAAAGCTTCAACTCTCTCTCTCTTTTTATTTCTAATACTGATTTTTTAAAATTGAAAAGAAAAAGGCAGTTTCAACTACAATTAATTTATAGAATGTATAGTGAATCTTGAGGATAGATAAGAATTGAAAATATCATTGATGAATTGATGAGAGACTCAAGTTTTTCAGATCGCGAATCGTGAAATACCATGAAAAAGTTATAAGAGATGTCAAAGAAAAGCGGTGACTGGCATAAAATCCGCGAGAGACCGTCACTAGTATTGATATAATTAGAATATAATTTATTTATTGGTTTTACACGTCAACACGTGTGTGATACACGTATTTATCAAGCACTGTAGAAGGGCACAAAGCTAGTTAAATTTTTCAGTTGAGAGATACAAAGAGTCATTACTAAAGTTAAGTGGGTCACAAGATTCTTTGTTATGAGTTCTTGATAAAAATATGCATTTGGCCAATAAAAATAGAAAAGAAAATGAGAAAAAAAAATTGTATATGTTCAAATTCGTAAGTATGATACTTTCGTAGACGAAGTTATTAAATGGAAAAGAAGTATTTCTAACCGTATGGAGAGAAGTAGTTGCAAACAAATGGTTTTTAGATATTAATGAAGATTTACTGTAAACGGAACAAAATGAAAATAAAAGATTCATCTATCAAATAATCATTATTATTTGTCTTTAGGCTTAATTTATTCATTATTATAAACAAACGATTTTAAAATTTTTCATTTTCCAAAATTACTTTTCACAAAAAATGTTTCAAAATTTTACACTTTGCTTTTAATTGTAATTGTAATTGAACAGTGCAGCTATTGAAACAAAGCTGACTGAATAAGCGAGGTTTGGAGATTATATTTCTTTTAAACGTTCAAGTAAAAGAAACCTATTCGGTCAGTTTTAAGTTGCACAGAATGGCACAACCGACCTGTCTTCTATGTTTACACAGACAAATACTCGAGCCACTGAACAACCATTGAAACCAAAGTTTATGGTTCAGGCCAATCCATGTCGATCGGTCGGTTTTATTCGCTTTTTATCCAGTCCAAATTACAGCCTAGTGCTAAGGCTGCTACTTGGTGAAGCATGATCACAAAGCCACAGATCCGACAAAAAATCATCGGACTTCAACGACAAAAAAAAAGGTTAACTGAGTTGAAGTCTGCAAACAAATAATTTATCACAAATTTGTGTCTCCAAATCAGCTCTTTTCTACTTCACAACAAAACGTGGTGCAATTTTCAGTAACTTACAAGCAAACAATAACCTACGAAGTTTCTCACCCAAATTGAGGAAATAAGACTATTGGTAGCAAAGCAGAGTCCAGGAAAGCACCTCTAGGCTCTCGGTCTTTAAGCTGACTCACCATGTTGTTCAGAATTCTCTGCTCAGGCGAGTAACAATGCTCTGACATTACTCGATCATGTGACAGGGAAACTGTATAGTACAGGAAAACACCACTATGTCTCTCAGCTGAGCCCAACATCATTCTCAGAATCCTCAGGCGAGACTGTCTCTGGGAAAAACTCTTCATTTGGATACATCTTCTCAAACAGCTGTGGAGTACAAGCAAAAGTGCCGAATTATTGTCAGCAAAGATAATTCTGATAATGTTTTAATTGCAGTAAATAAAATTTATTAAATAACATGAAATAATTTATGGGAGACGAGTAAATGAAACATTCATATAGTTAGACCAGAAAAGTTGCACATGTTCTTCAGTCATTTTAATAAATTGGCATAAATGTTACTCTTGACCAATTTATTAAAACAGGGCATTCAGAAAACTTGCCAATGTCAATACATTAAACTGATAACATATTGAAATAGACATTTTGGGATAATAAAAACTTATATTCACCAAAAAATGAAAAGGAAAATAAAATACCTTAATAGCTGAATCTAAGACATCACCATAGTCAAGCTTTGCATCAGGCATGGAAGTGGAGCTGATAGAATCAAATTGAGCCTGAAGTATAACAAGAAGGAATCAAAAGTCAAACCCATGTCAATATCAATGCTTTGGGATCTATAAACTCCTCCTAAAGTTCATAAACATTTATATATCCAAACTCTACATATTATCCAGACAGTTGGATTCTCTAAGTCAATCAGTCAGTAATGATGCATGAAGTAAAAGCATGTTGACCTCAAAATAATTTGGCAAGGCTTATATAAACCAACCAGTAATCAATACAAAAAAGCAGATTGAATCTCCAGACCTACTAGAGGCACTGAGAAAACTAGGAACCAGCACAATAAGAAAGTCATACGTCACTCAAGCAGCAGTCTAATATTTCACTGTTAAAAGCTTAAAACAGTTATAGCAACCCCAAGTTGAAACTTAAATTACATCTAGATAGTGATGACAGGCATCAAGGAGATGAGATGAGACAGTGAAACGGGATTGGAACAGCAGCCAAGGAGAGAGAACAGGAAATTAACCAAGAAAAGGAGGAAGATAAAACAGAGAAGAATTCAAAATTAATGAGATAGTGAGAAAAGCCAGAAAACAGAGAAGAATATATGAGGAAAAGCAGAAGAAAACATGACAAAGAGAGGAAGGAGAGGAAGCTCTGGAACTCCAGATCTTTTCTTGCATATAAGTGTCAACAAGCCCTTTTTCAGGCACCTATAAGTTCCAGAACTCAGTCATTAGTCACTAGACAAGTTTCAAGTCTCTAGCCAACAAAACCTAAACTTATTAAGTGACCATTGAAGTGTAATGGGCATTCCCCCGACGTAAGTTTAGGAATAAGTTTCACTTAACTAACAACAGATGATATATATAAAATTATATCATTTTTCATTAGAGTATCAATTGTAATCCTCATAACTAAGCTCACTAACTGACAGAGGTTTAATTGAGTAAAGCATGATCCTGTTAACTATTTAGCTTCATCTTGTAGTTATGATTATCTATAGAAATCTTAATACATAGAAAAATCTAAGCCAAGGAAAGAAGCATACTGTAGTCAGCTCTTGAATATACAACGCACTCCAAAGTAATATGGGCTTTGCTACCGCATTCTCAGTTTGATCTAGGGAACTAGTTTCAGGTTGTCCAGAATCAGGACAAGTGAGAAGTGCATTCATGGCTGCATTTAATAGCTTCTTCCCCTGATGGACATCATCACACAAAGCTGAAAGATACAGTACAAACCTGAAAAGCAAAAAAGAAAAGATAAAAGATTAATAAAAGGAACAGGAAATTGCCAACTCTGATATCACAATATTATGAAGAAAATTAAACAACATTTCCAATCATGGTTTTCATATACCCAATGCTAGTCTCACCAAGGAACTGAAAAAAATAAAAAAAGAGCTAGGCATTTCCCAAACATAATCTCTTGGATCAAGCAGCCTACTCACAGGACTCCAAAGCAGAATCCAATATTGTAAAAAAATTACCAAGAAACTGAAACCAGTTCAGATTCATTTTTCTTCCTTTACATCCAAGATTTTAAATCTCACAGTTGTCAATGCTTTAGGACATCCTTCTCAGAAAAGTCCATGGAACTCTAAATTGAGCGACGGTCCAGTCTTCCACTTCTATTTTTGTATTTATCTTCCTTGACTTAATATAACTTAAAAATCCTATGATATTCATATTTCAGTTTCAGCAAGAGCTTTGCTTTCAGATGGTAATATATATCTTTTTTGAGGAATAAATACAAACTTACGTATCTGGAGGACAAACCGCCAAACTGCCACCTATCTGGAGGGCTCGAATTGATGTCATCTGCTCAGGGTACAAGGCTAGAGAAAAACAAATTTCAAAAACATAAAAGGGGTAGTTTTTAGTCTTCCTCTTAACTGCGTCAAAATACAAGAGTAAAATTAGAAATTAATCTTACATCGAGGAGGATATACAACAAGAAAATTTGCTATATCTGGCTTCAAGGAACTCCTTATAATGCATATTCCTCTAGCCACCTTCTGTTTAACATCTCTCACACATAAAAATTGAAAATTTTCATGCGGAGAATCCAATGGAGAAGCTGAGGGTGATGGAACTGTCAAGGATGGGTCCAGGACGAGCTTCTGGCTAAATATGTCCTGACCAGAAGCCAATCTTATACCTTTGTACCCGCCGCTACTCTAGAAAATTTTAGATCAAACTATAAGATATCAAAAGTAGCACTCATTTATATCATTCATATATTAAGCAAACAATAAGCATATTTTGTCACCTTGTCCATAAGCAAAGCAATCACTGGCATTCGTAAAACCTGTATGAAAAAAGTTTCAAATGCAGATAAGTATATTAGCTTTAAAAGCTACAACTTTACATTTTCACTTTATAAGAAAAATTCCATATGGAACACTATCTACAAATTCATTACTTCCCCTTCATTTTGGGATGGAAGCAATATGATAGTTATCTGGGGTTCCATACACCCTCAAAACCCAAATACACTTAGAAGTACCGAGCTTTAAGCAACCCGAGGATATTAGAGAATCAGATATTCATTTGATTGCCAAAAAGGCACAATTAACCTGAATCAAAGCCCATATTTGACCAAAGGGAAAAAAAATAACAGCACCAATGAGCGTAACTTACATAGATACTGCCTTTGACTGCAGCACGGCGACAAAAGGCTGGTGGCATTTCCCCTTGACCATAAATAGGATAAATAAAAGCCCCAAGTGCATTCGTAAACCTAAAAAGTGAAACATTAACACCAGTTAATAAAGAGCAGCAGTGATCCAATCTAAATTGCTGACCCAATTTGTAAAAGTTTTCATCCTACACTTACTTCTCAAGGCATACATCAAAAAAGGGATATCAAGAAGATTGCATTTCTGGCATCAATATTGTGCCAGCAACAAGTACAAATTGCTCAGATTTGAAAATGGAGGATAACTGGCAACATCTATGACTTAAAAAGATTGAAGTATGAACCTGCCAACTGATGATTGATACGTAGCCAATCGGTCTATTCCATCTTTTGTCTTGAGTAAACCTTTACATGCTCCTATGTTGTCTTGATCATAATCTGCCATGGCAATAGCATAAAGGATAATCCTGCAGAGAGTAAAGGGGATAAAATAAAGTCTCCAAACTGAATTATGCTCTGTAAAAGATATAGTACTATAATTGGCCAAAAAAAATATAGCAGCAATCTACAAGAAACAGAGCAATTCCAACAGACATTTTGAACACAAGTACAGAAGTGTGATTGCCACTAGTTAGTTGAATATATCATTTTCAGTTTGTTATGAGACTTTCGGATGCAGAAAGTAGAACAGAATAATATCAGTAGACTGTCAGCAAATATGCTATTCAGAGATTGGAACAAACCAGTTTGAATATAAAGTAAAAAAAAAACAAAAAGTTTTACTAAAAATAGACGAAAATGGGTATAGATATAAAAAGAACTCTCACTAACAGATAGATAAAGATCACAAAGCAGTCTGTACGATTTAATCTTGGAAGACAACTTCATTTTAGTCAAGAACTCAACAAAAGGACTCTCCAAATCCTCCACTGAAATCTTGCTACTGCTCTCTGCTTCTTCTTCTTCTTCTTGATTCTCATTTCCTCCACTGCCACCACTAGCAGTGGCAGCCAATTGTCCTTGCACCAACTTAAAAAACCTCATCAACCGATTCTTCTCCATCAAGCTCAAGCTCTTATCTTTGAATATAGAAGCCCTTGAATCCGGCACATTCCATAAATTTCCATTCTCATCACCTACAAAACTTGCATCTATACTCTTGAACTCAACGTATTGACTTGCTCCTGACTTTAACAAAAGATTAACGGACTTGTCCGCACAAAATAAAACCCTAGGTCCGGATACATCAAGATTGAATTTATTAGAGTGTTCTTGTAAAAGTTGAGCGGAAAATGAGGAAATTTCGACGTCCGAATACAGCGGCCGAATGGCAAGATTTACGACGGAGAAATCATCGGCGTTAGCTGAGGTGGTCGAGGAGGTGGGAAAAGGTGGTGGAGTAGAATTGGAATTGAGGAAAGAGGTGAGGTCGGGGATGGAGAGAGAGGAAAAGTGGGATCCATAGAAGTGGTTATGGTCAAGGTGTAGTACTGATTTTCCAGAAGCGGAGGCTGCGGCCGCGATCACGGATTCTGGTAGGCCAGTGCCGACGACGATTAGGTCGAAGGTTGTTGGATCAATTGGAGGATAAGACGGAGGTTCACTCATGGTGGCGCGTGAGCGAAAGTTGCTGAGTTGATGTATCACATAAATAGGAACATGTACCTCCACATTTATATTCAATTGATTTATGCTTTTTTTGGTTTTTGCTTATTCTATTGGTAAAGTGAAAAAAAATAAAGCTAATTGCAAAATAATGATAATAATAATTAAATTCAAATATAAAAAACCAATTTTTGATAAAATTAACTCAAATATAAAATGATGTCTTATGTCTAAATAATAATTTTTATTTTTGATTTGAAAGAAGAGGTAGTTTATATTGAATTACAATCTCAATTTCATCATTTTTTTAACAATATAATTCAAGTCATTTAATTTCCATTTAAATCATTTTTTAAAAAACATTATTTAATTTTATTCCATAAGCATATTGTGAATAATTAAATATTTTACATAATACTCTAAAAATATTTTACATAAAAACAACAGAGGAGATCAAAAAATAATTAAAAATATTTAAATATATAGGTAAGAAAAGAAAGTGTATTTTAATGTAATTTAAGTTTAATTGATGTAATTTAAATTTTTTAAGTTAGAAAACGAACAAAAGCTTAAAAAATGACGAAAGCTTACAAAAATTTACTCCCTTTAATGAGCCGACCGTCAAAAATGCCACCGAGTCAGAAAATAATAATATTGTAAATTGAATTCTTAGAAATGATTTATTTTCTTTCTCAATGACTTATTTTTTAAAGTAACAATAATTGGATTCACGAATTAAAATTTTTTTCAAATATAAAAATTGACGGAAAAAAAAAATAATAATAACGACCAAAAACACGTTGATCCCGCCATATCATGAAGAGAGCCAACGACCGGAATTGGTAAGACGACAGTAAGGGAGTCTCAAACTCAAGCTTTATACCTTTACTTTGATCAGCTTAAACTAACAGTTAACTTAAGACAGGAAAAGAAAACATTATCACAGTCTCACCATTAAAACTAAAATCCATCCTTCGAGAAGCAAGTATAAGAATATTCTGAGCATACAACCTAGTAAAGAGTAAGCTTTAGCAACACAACTGATTCATGTAAAGATGGCAGTGAATCATCGCTGGCCTGAAACCGAGTCAGCGAATCCTCGACTCTTCATTGCCTTGATCTTGACTCGGCTCTTCTGGCTTCATCTGGTGTTGAAGGAAACAACTCCACATACCTTGATCCTATGGTCATCTTATCCTTGCTCATGGCTCTTTTTGCTTCCTCAGCAGAAACAAACTCTACGTATGCCTCACCAGTAGCTTTCCCATCTGGGCGACACGCAATGTGTATCCTTTCTTCAACCAGCTTGAATTCTTTAAAGAAATCTATTATTTCGGGTTTTTTCACAGAGAAGGGTAGTCCTCGCATCTTCAAAATCTCAGTATATTCCAATTGCTCCTTATCACTGAACCTCTTTGCTTTAGATGGTGGTGGACTTCCATGATAATCAGTGTCATAGATTCCTTCATAATTCACCTCTGCTGCAACAGCATTGTAATAATCCTGCCTCTTGCACCTAAAAACTTCCACATATCTACGGCCCATGTTCTGTCGATCTCTCTGTAAAGCAAACTCAACCTGCATAGACCCTGCAAAGACGACGAAAGCCTCTCCTGTGAAACGTCCATTCTTATTGACCAGCAGCACATCAACAATATCCAGTCCAGCAAAGAATTTGAAGATGTCAATGTCAGTGCAGTTGAAAGGAAGCCCCCTCAGACGAACCACAGGAAAGGGAGGAGGCTGAAATCCTCCACCATAGCTGTAGGGCTGGAAGCCGCTCGGACCACTGCTCACTGCGAAGTAGGGATTTGATTCCATCATTCTTTGTCTCTTTGAGCCGACCTCGTACCCATCCGAAACCCCCCCGCCTCCCAACATTGCCCTTCATTTATCCACACCCAAAAGAAAGAAAAATCCCCACTCAACCTGTTAATAAAACCAAACCCAACCCACACTTCCCTGACACCTAATATTCCTACAGTTTTTTCTTTAAAAATAGAGGTACCATATTTAACATCCCTCCTAAAAGAAACCATAGATAAACCGGAAATGCAAGGCAATGCAAAAGTATAACATTTGATCACCAGTGGAAAAAGCAAGACAAAAATATATAATGTTATCTCTAATGGTAGTAACAAAATCTCAACCAAATGATGCAATAAGAAAGGATCAGCAAGTAGAGCATCTTGAATATATATATCATTATTATAATCCTAGTGCAAGATAACGTATGTGACTCGACTCAAATTCACATTGAAAGTATGGGATTTCAACGTAGGTTTTACATGAACTTATGCTCTCTAAAACTACACCAATTACTTCAATACACAGGGTATATGTTTCTCCCACAAAATACACTACTTTCTCATTCATTCGCCAGCATATCAATGAATGGTTTCAAAACATCTTCATAAATAACTACGAAAATTGGATAAAAATTACCATCCTAAAAACAATTAATTATTGAATCCGATACTAAATCATGTCCAATGTTTAATTGGTTTTCAGATACATACGCACGAGATATGAAGGAAAATATTAACTAGAAAAGGTTCATATTTTTCTTTTTCTTTTTCTTTTTTAATTTCATTTGCACACAAGAGGAAATTTATATTCTTTAAATTTATTTTCCCGTTTAAAACAAAACAAGACCAAAGGACCAATTCGCAAATCAAAGTTCAGTCTTCAACCTAATGATCAATTATCATATAATTCTGATTTCACAAACACATATAACAGACGCAACAAAATTTCCAGCAAATTTAAAAATATATATATCAAATTTTATACACTTACCCTCTCGATCCAAACATGGTTGCGCGTCTTTGAAATCTTTAGGAGGCGCTGTTCGATTCTCTGTGGAAATTAAGGAGATTCGGAACTCCGATGGGAAATTGCGTTTATTTGTACCCAATTTTCAAAACCCTAACGAATCTCTCGCTCCGTCGCAGGTTGAGGAATGGAGAAAATACAAAGAAGAGAACCCTAGCCGGTAGGTTCAAACAAAAGAGTAAGACCACGAGTATTTTCGCTCCTACACCCCCGTATCGACATTTTATTTTGTTCCCCGTTTTAGTCAAATTATACTTGAACCCCCCAATTTGTTTTTAATTACAATTCAGACACATATTTTGTCAAAATTTGTTATACTGTCCTTTTCTTTTTACAATTACAAAATTAGCTTTATTAGTTTACATTTTACAACTTTATTTTGTCGTGTATATTACGGAATAAATTTATGGTGTAAAATAACTCAAAATATATGAAATTCAAAAGATTTATTAATTATGTTATAATATTTTTAATTTTCTACACTACATACTTTTTCCTTTCTTTGCAAAGAGTAAGAAAAAAAAATGTGAGTTTTAATAAGGCTAAATCACTAAAAAAAACATCAACTTAAACACATTTGGTAGATTTAGTCTATACTTTTAATTTTAATTATTACCTAACTTATTTTTCCTTGCCAATTACAACTTCTGTTTGGAATTCGTTTATTTGTTGCTTATTCAACTACACGCCAGCACACGTCCATGTGGCCCATATCCATGCGGTCATTCTTTGGCCTTTTCTCATTACTTTTAGAATCTCTAAGGGGTGTATTGGATTATGATTATGATTAATGTAGATTTTTAAAAGAATCATTGAGTTTGACAGAATTGAAGTATTTTCTAAAATTTTCATAAATTTCATTAGAATTTTATGAATTTTGATTGACTTTAATGCAAATAAAATTATTTTTATATATCAAATTAAAATTAATTTTAAGACCTAATTACACAAATTAAAAGGCTTTAGAACACAAAAAAAAAAAAAAAAAAAAAAAAAAAAAAAAAAAAAAAAAACCCTAATTACATCCAAATTAAAAGGCTTTGAACACAAAAAAAAAAAAAAAAAAAAAAAAAAAAAAAACTAAAAACAATGAGGAATGCAAAAAGTACATGCAAATCATTTTCTCCAAAATAAAAAAAAAAAAAAAAAAAAAAAAAAAAAAAAAAACTAAAAAACAATGAGGAATCAAAAAGTAACATGCATCATTTTCTCCAAAATCTTTTTTTTCTGTTAAAACTTTACCGCCAGAGACCATGAAAGGTTTGCAATGGCTAGCGTCGTCAGCAATCGTCCCGCGCTCCTGTTAATCGTTATATTAAACGGTTTCCATGATGGGTACCCTATCCATTATTAGTAAAAAAATTATTTTAATAAGTTCGAAATTTAGATAGTTAAAGATTTGTGGGTACCCTACCCATTTAAGAGTTATTTTCATCGGATTTTGAATGGATACGGGTATAAATATTTAAACGAGTTCGAATATGAGTACTTAAGTTTTTAAACGGGTTTAAAGAGGATACAGATAATAAAATTTTAAAACGGATGCCTATACAGCTAGTTAAAATTCTTGCCCCGCTTCCATTCTATTAAAGAGGTGTAGTGGTTGAGACTCTATTATATTTTAAAAGATTTTTGAAATCTTTTGATTGAATGATGAATTTATGGATGACTCTTTTATTCATACCTAGCACTTTAAAATCCAACGAAATAAATAATTTTATATAATCCTTTCAAATCAGTAATTTTTTGAATACCATCAAATTTGTATGAATTTTAAATTGTCATAATTGAATAGTATCATATTTTTATGAATTTTATAAGAGTATAAATTGAATACCATAAAATTTTAATACACTCCAAAAAAATCTAGATTGAATACCATTAGAATTTTAAAAATTTTTTAATAGAGTCTTAGTCCAATACACCCCCATAAGTTAGAAGATTGCTTACCACCATGCAGGCATTCTTTAGCCTTTTATCTTTACTTTTAGAATCTCTAAATTAGAAGATTGCATTCTCAAGACAATCTCCTTTTCATTTCATCACAAGCTTGAAAGAATTTGATGCAATTTTACGATTAATAAACTCTTTGACGAACTCTAGGCCCTTTGTAGCACCCTCGGTAGCTCGCACTAACTGCTTGCCCTTTTTCTCTGAGCTTCGGAATCTGGACAGAAACTAAAATTAATAATAAAAAATTATTCTAGGTATTGATTGATAAAATTAATAGTATTGACAAAATAAAAAAAAAAAAAACTCAAAAATTCAAAATTTTTTTATGATTAAGCCTTTTAATAATTGTGTTGGTTAAGAAATAAAATAGAAAAATAAAATAGGAAAGCAAATTGATATTTCAGCTCCATTTATTTTAAAAAATAACTTACTTTTAGAGAATATTTTCTTATTCCGTGTGTCAATATAAATCAGAAGTTGAGTTGAGCCAAAGAGCACAAAGGAGTGCATGAAACCAAAAATAAAAGAATTTACTATAATGAAATTTAAGGAGAGCATAGAAATGATGAACAATGATGTTCATTGTCTCAGAAACAAATAAAAATCCATCTGCCACACACTCAGAGCACATCTTTCTCCTTTTTCTTGCTCTAAGTTTTCCAGAAGTACAGAGAATGTGTTACAAGAGGCTAATTTTCAACTTACTACACCAAAACTGGATTTATACAGAATAAATAAACAACAAAAGTTCAAGACATGGGAAGAAATGATGCCAAATTCCTGAGCCTTCTCATGCTTTGAATGTAATTGGAGAACAGCATTACTTCTTTTTTTTCTTTTATGGCGAAGATATGCAAATCGTTCAAAATCCTCAGTCTACTAGAAGACTTGACAGACAAATTTGCTAACCCTGGTAGATAATATCAACCAAGGTATAATTCCAACCTGCAGTAACAACAGAACTATTAAAACAACATAAATAAATAAAATTCCATGTCATTTATTGTCAAATATCAAGTAATATGCAGATCCGAGTCAGATATTTTTGGTCCCTATTCCTATGTGTTCATCTAGGCCACAGAAAGATCATGAAAACCCTAAAAGAAAGATTTAGCTGAATTAGATCCTTAAGCAAAATCTTCTCCACAATTAGATGCTGTGATCACCATATAATCTAAGAGAAAAAAGGATAACAGTTGGTCAGACCCCTTGTAAAGTGAACATTACGGAGTAAAGTGATGAACATGTCAAACACGTCTGTTTGAGCACTCACACTATCTTTTGATTATAGATTACATCTGATAGAGCTTTGTAGGCCATCTTTGGAAATGCTCTACGTATCTTCATTCTTCCACCGCATGCTTTTTATTGCAAAATATGGCTCATTGTATGGCTAATATTTATGAGATTTTAAGTTGATGTTTCTCCCTTGAGGCTCTATGGTTACCAAATTTTGTGAAATTTTTTTACGTCGTTTTATTATGGCTAGGAGGGCCTTGATATTTTAAGTAATTTTCATGTTATCCGAGCGAATGAGACTTAAAAAGTAGACTGATTTTGGAAAATCCAGAATTGATGGGTCTGCAAGACTCGTTTCAGTAAAAGATTATATCCAAAATATTGATTAGAAAGAAACAGAGAAAAAGCAAAACAGTATTCAAAATCATTACCAGTACATTATCATTTAAATGATGTCCAGCACCCAAGGATAGCAGCTTTCCTGAAAACAGTCAAATAGAATGGGTCAGCATAATTAGAAATTAATTGGAACATTGTCTATGGTTCCTTTATTTGCTCACTGATTGTATTGTGTTTTTTACCATCCTTCTCCCTGTAGTCTCATCAATTATGAACGCGAAAAAAGAGGAAGAGTGATAAAAAAAAATATGATGTAGAGATTAGTGAATGTAATGTATTACCGAAGGGCTGCACCAGCTTATGAGATATTGCAGCAACAGGAGTCCTCCAAAACCAGCAAGTCAGCAGGACATACGTTGCAATCTGAATACCAAATTAATTCATTCAGGTCTCATTGAAGAAACCAAAAAATTGTAGACAACTCTAATACACTAATTACAACCTTTAAGATAAATACTATTTTTAGGTACAAATCATAAGACAGCTTCATCTGCTTCTTGCGCATTTCTTGACCTGGAAGGCAAATACAGTTGTTAAAAGCTTATACTCATATTTGATAATAATACAAAGCTTAAAACTAAAAGGTTCAAAGGAGTGCAAAAGCTTATGGCACCCAGGCAGAAAACATTAAAAGGTCTCCATAAGACATGAATCTCTCTTTGTCTCTCACGCTTCTATTCATGGGGACAAATGAGTACAGACATTATAACTAAGAAAAATGCAAAAAGAAAAGTAAACAGCAGAGACACAACAAATAAATAAAATCTCGCGAGGAGATGGCCCAGGATTTTGGCTTTTCTACATTAATTTGGCAAGGCAAGGTACCATTTATATGAAAATTAATGTCACTTTTCAGACCTGACAACAATAGTTGGTAATCAGAGAAACTGACAACAATAGTTGGTAATCAGAGAAAAGAAGAAGAGTTGGTAAGATGATGCAAAAGAGGTTTTGTTCTAAAAACTACATTTGTAGCAGAATGCAAGAACAGATACGCCTAAACCAATACCAACACACACACACACACATATATATATAGCCATGACTATCATCAGGCGTATTACAAGAAGATGGAAACACTTGCTGAAATAAATAGAAAAACATAGAGCATAAACTCTAAAAGTGCTGCCAGTCTATCATTAATTTTTCCACAGATTTATAAAACACACGAGTAGATGGCTTGAGAATTATGTAACTAATGCTTTAAGCATATCTCCAATGGAAAATACATGTCAGCAACTGCAAATAGCCTTACAATTTGCAAGTTCCTTCTCCTTCGCAGCTGCCAATCTCCTAAGTTTTGCAGCTTGAGCAAACGTTGATGGCCTGCGACAAAAACAGAAGCCAATTATACAGATAAAGAATACATTCTCCAGCAAAGTACTGATTCAAATTCAACAAATAAAAAATTGCCAACGCTAAATGCTTCTGGAACTCAACCTAATTTATATCCTTTATTATAAGCTCTCAAACATATCTATGGAGGTTGGCATGATTGATTATGTATTAAATCAACAAAATTTCTAAGGCTAGTGTCAATTTGGCTCCAGAAATATCAAATCAATGCCAATTACCCAAACTACTAAATGATGCAAATAACGGATAAAAGAAACCTCAATCAACACAAATCACTCACTGTGAATAGGAGGTCGCCTCTTTCAAAAGACGCTTTATTTCTGCACGCAACTGAACATCCGAATCACTCCTAGATGCTTTCTACAAAGGAAGAACAATTTCCTTCAGGAAAAGAAAAATCTTAAACACAATTTACATCAAGGGTCCATTTGCATATACATTCTATTAATTAATGGCCAGATCCTTATTGTTGCAACTATAGCGTATAAATCAAACAATAGAATCGCATATGAAAAACCAAAATCCGTTCAAATACATATTGAAATTACGAAAATTAGAATGAAACGTACCCTCCTCAAGTGTTCGAGCCACCTTGTGAGCAAGTGGAAAAAGGCAACAACGAGAAAGATTACAGGAGCCGCGAGATAGCTTCCGTGTTGTCCTTCTCCGGTTTCTTCCTCTGCCATAATTAATTAATTATAATTACGTTATGTTCTTCTTCTTCTTCGAGAAAAAATCCGGAGATTGGTTTTCTGTTGATGAATGAATCAGGGGTTCTTTGCCATGCTGATTTCTTTTTCTGTTACTGTTCCAATCGGTTCTGTTCGTAAACGTTAATTCTCCAAATTGCCATCCATATCCAGTCGCCACGCAACTTTTTCTCCTCCTATATTTTACTCTTTTTTATTTCTGCTTAAACGACGTCGGTTTCATCCTGTCAATATGGAGAATTATTTCATTTTGTATTAGTTACATATATATTTGTTACGTATGTATGATATGTTTTCATGAGATTCTATAATTTCATAAACAAATACAATAAAAAATTTTCTAATAACGAATTTAACATGAAATAAAAAAAATCATTCAAAAAATAATTAATAAATATAATATAATAATTACATTAATTATGAAAAGTGAAAATTCAATAAAAGAAAAATAAACATAAAATACTTAAATAGTGTGATAAAAATAAAATCTAGAGACTCTTATTTGCTTGTAAAAACAATAAGTGGACATGCTTGCCAAATCACATTATTTTCCGTCTAGTTGATTAAGCACGTTCATTGTTCTCGTTTAACACAATTTTGTGCAATCCTTAATTTTTACTTTGACCTGTTGGATATTTTAATTTCTAAAATCACATTTGTTTAAACACATTATTCTGTAAATCATCTATATTATATATAAAAATAGGAATATGGGTAAAATAATGGAATTTCCTACATCACACTTAATAAAATTTCAAATATTCTAAAATACCCTTAATGACGGTCAATTAAAAAATTACAGTTTATTAATTGATTGGATATAATTTATAAAAATCATTTTTTCAGCCAATCATGTGCACCCTAATTATCTTCTCACTTATGTGAGGAGTGAAAAGTTGAGTTTGAATCCTCTCGACCACAAATGTTTTCACCAATTTGATTATTGTGTAGCCTACAGTGTTATTTCGGCCCATCAAATCTCCTAATGAATAAAAAAATATTTTTTAAATAAATAAATATAAATAATTAAGCATTTTAAAATTTTAAGTTTTATCTTTATCAAAATTATTTTTTAATAAATATATATGATAAATAAATAAATATAAAATAATTAAGCATTTTAAAAAAAATTTTAAGTTTTAATCTTTAAATCAAATTTTATTTTTTTAATAAATATATATGATACTGAGATTTTGAAAATTTTTATTTATTTATTAAAATATTTAATTCTTTTTAGAAATATATATATATAAAAAAAGAAAGAAAATATTTCTTTTCTTTATGTTTATATGGTCTGATTGGATATTTTTTAAAAAAATAAATTTTTAAATAGAATATATATAATATTTTATTTAGGAAAAAGATAAAAAAAAAGAAAAAAGTATATGATTTTTATTAATGTTTTTGTTTTTTATGTTTGTAAGATTTGATTGGATAAATTTTTTAAAAAATAAATTTTCAAACAGAATTTACATAATTAAACCTGATGGTAAACAGTTTGAAAATTTTAATTTAAAAAAAAATAATGTATTATTAATATATTTATATATCTATATGCATTGAAGCATTTTTTTTTTATTAGGTGAGTTGCCAATTTGATTGTTATGTAGCCTCCAAGATTATTTTCACTATCAGGCCTCCTAATGAATCAAAAAAATAATTTTTATAATAAATACATATATATAATTAAGCATTTTAAAATTTTAATTTTTATATTTGCTAAATTTATTTTTTATGAATGTATATGATAATGAGACATTTGAATTTTTTTTTGAAATTTTTTTTTTTATAATTTTTAAGATATAAGTATAAAAACTTAATTTTTTTTATTAATGTTCTTTTTTTCTTTTTTCTTTATGTTTGTATGATATGAGTGGATATATTTTTAAAAAATAAATTTTCAAATAGAATATATATAATATAATATTTTATTTAGGAGAGAGATTAAAAATAAGAAAATATTATATTATTTTTATTTTTATTTTGAAAGAGAGTATATTATTTTTAAATATTTTTGTTCTTTATGCTTGTCATATTTGATTGGATATATTTTTTAAAAGGTAAATTTTCAAATAGAATTTACATAATTAAACATGAGATGATAAACAATTGAAAGTTTAATTTTAAAAAATTATATATAATATTTTATTGATATATTTATATATCTATGTACATTGAAATGTTTTTTTATTAGATGAATTTTAAAAGAGTTTTATTCTTAATAATAAATTTTTATTTTTTTTCGTTACTGAGCAATTTATAACTACTATCGTTTTAATTTAGTAAAAGATTTATATCTTCCTTGCAATAAATAGATAGTTTATTGATGGTTAAGTATTTTTAATTTTCTTGATATTTTTTTCTCTTACATCCTATATCTGTTTAACTTAAAAGAAAATAGTGTTTAAGAAATTGAAAAAAAAAAACTATAATTATATATTTCTGTTTTAATCACTTTTTGGATTTCAAAAATTTGTATGTATGTGCATATATTCTTTTTTATGATACACTGGTGTCACGACCCGATTCCATGGGCCGGACGGACCCGGCACCTAGGGCCAGGTAAGCTTTAAAGGCCCCGAGGCCCGTAGTAAGCCTGAAATACTAAAATTTGCTATCTTATCTCGGTATAAATTTCGACATTCAGCTCATATGATTATGAAAAATAAACCTCAATATTTTATTATTTCTCAGCCCAAGTTTATCTTCTACAGCATTCTATAGTTCCGGCCCAATTTAGAATACATCACATTCTAATATGGGCTTACAGAATTATTTTCTCTATGTTAATACACGACTAAATATATATAAATCCTACAAATGCAGAGTCACTAACTGTGTGATATACATAGCTTTTTATACATACAGTTACATGGTAAAATACTTATGGAACTAGGGAAAATTTCTTTATGCCCTACGTCGAAGAAACATAGCCTAAATTGAATCGAGCTTAAATCGAATTAAAGAGAAAATTACTTCCTGAGAAGTCAAACAAGACATGTGAGTTTTCTAAAGAGTAATAATTATTGCACAACACACATTCACACAAATGTGTAAATATATCAATCTAGTCGTCCGACTAGTATATGCTCACGCATATAGTCATACAAATGGCATAGCAACAGCACTCACACTTATTAACAACTTCACATAATCACATCACGTGGAAATTGGTCAGTGGCGTCACCGAAACGCCCGATGAGCCGTCCTCCAACATGGCCCATCCTCTCCTGACGTGTGCACCAGGAAGCCAATCCCCCCATACATGGCTGACCGGTCTAATCCTCTTGACGAGCCCTCTCATGTTTTTCCATTCTCTCTTTTCTTTTCCATACCCAATACCAACAGGAGGCAACCGGTGGGTCTCCATCCATCTAGCATCACTCAAGCGCTCACAACAGGAGGCCACCCTGCGGGGCTGCGATCAAACTAGACTGTCCGGTGCGCAAACGACGAGAAAGCCAACCGTGGTTAACAGTAGGTAATTGTAGGTGCCACGGGGAGCGCCCGATCTCCCCCATTTACTCCTACAGAACAGAATCAGGAATCCACATAACAGAATCAGGAATATAACAGAAATCAAAACCCCCCCACTACCAAGGTCGAATATAACAACGCAACACAGCTCCTCACCCAAAACCCCAACTCCCATCGGTGCCCCACACCCTCAACCCACTCCTCCACACCACCCCCACTCCATCACACAAACAAAGCATGATTATCACAACACAATAATCAAACATTGCAATTTAAATGCGGACTATTGATCGCAGTTGAATATCGTAATGCAATGCAACATTAGACAATCCATTCTCAATTGCAATTAAAATAAGTAAATATAAATAAAATTACACAATAAACCAATGATGAAAAAATAAATACTTGAATATTAAATGAATAATCATGATCATTTAAAATAGTCAGAGCACTTTATTTATTACAATAACAAGTTATAGAATAATCTAGAATAAACTTATTAATTATGTTGTTATTAAAATTTTAGTCCTAAATTTTCTATCAATTTCGGCAGCATCTCCCCTAAAAATAAGACTATCTTACCTGCCTGTTTAAATATCACAATAATATTATATATTTATCAATCAATACACACAGCCCATCCATCGGGTAATTCAAATCAACTCATCCCATCCGCCATAATTTTATTTTTCAATCATTCGATCAATCATCTCAGACGGCCAATCAACTTCAAGCTACAGATATCATCCATCACACTTACATATATACACTTAATAATTCCAAATCAACTAATTAACAATTTATATTAACCTCCATGCGTGATTCAATAAGATTGTTAATTGCCCCTATAACTATTTACTTTAAATTATAACTTCTCCTAACAATATTTATTAAAATTCCTAAATTAACTTACATACCCTATAACTATTTACTTTAAATTATAACTTCTCCTAACAATATTTATTAAAATTCCTAAATTAACTTACATAAATATTAGCTAGGAATTCTTATCTCATTAGCAAACCTCCTAATTATAATTATAGCGCATGTAATTTATTTGTCAATGTTCTAAACCAATTTGCAATTACGTTATTCTAAAGAACCTAAACCAGTTAACTGATCATATTCGCTATCGCAATTACCACATACTAACCAATCTAATCTATTTACAAAGGACTACAAATGTTCTATGTATTTTTAAGCTATTCCAATACCTACTTTCTTATTATTCAACTTAATCTATTTAATTACTCAATTCAATTCATTAATCAATTAATTCTTTTTATATGTATAAAAATTGAGAGTTTAGTCTTAGAGCGTACCAATTGAGAAGCGGGCGACGATTCCGGGATCAGCGTGAAGGCCAATTGAGAATCGGCGCGACGATTTCCGGGTCAGGGCGTGAAGGAAAGAAAAATTACTGTCTATCGAGGCTCACCGCGAGTGTCGCGGCCGGTCACTGGACGGCGGCGCGTGTGCCGCCGCCGTGCACGGTGGCCGAAAAGTGTAGAGAGCGCGCAGAAAATTGGCAAGGTCCACACCACCCGACTCAATTTTTGTGAGAGTGCGCGAAGAGAGTGCTCTACAATTGTATTGAGCCAGTGGCTCGTTTTGCCGGCATCGGAGCTCCACGAGAGCCACTTTTCAAGCCGGCCGTCCATGGTGTCCTTCAAAATTCAAAGCAAGAATCACACATTGGTGGTGGGAGGGAAAAGTTCCATGGGGAGGAGAGGAGAATCGGATCGACGCGTGTTCTATCAAGCTACATGCCGTCGGCAGAACGGCGTGAGCGCGGGGAGATCTTCACACGCCCGAGCGTGAGTGTGCTGGCCTCCTTCGATCATCGACCTCCATTCGACGAACAAGACCACCCAGTGAGTGCGCGTGGCGTTGTGCGAGAATGAAGATAAAGCTTTGGGTTGCCCTGGATTTTCCGGTGGCCCGTCGACGAGAGAACGAGTTGAGCGAGAAGAGGGAGGGTGCGTGTCGCAGCGGCGAGAGAGAAGGAGGAGGGAGAGAGGAAGGGGAAAGAAAGAAAAAGAAAAGAGGAAAAAAGAAGGGAAAGGAAAGTGGGCTGGGCCATCTCGGTTTTGATTCGAGCCGGCGTTTGGTCCGAGGTCAATTTATTTTTAGATTACTTTAATTACGGTTTCAGTAACAGTTTCCTCCATTAAACTAAATAAAAAATAAAGAAACATATAGTTAGGTAAATCATATTTGATTTTTTAGGAAAAATTAATTTTATCTATATATAACCATACATAGAGTAATTGGCTGACTTTCATTTTATTACTCTGAGAAATTTAACTGTTTCGAATTGCAAGTGTGTGTGCGACGAGTTGGATGGTGGTTGGGCTTGCGTTGCCCAATGCAGAGAAACCTTGAACTCAAATTAAAGATTGTTCACTATTTACGGCCCAGTTACCGTCAAAAAATTTCAAAATTTCTTGATTAGAAAAAAAATTCAAAGGTTTTCGAACAATAAGAAGAAGGTGGTCGAGGTGTTTCAACTGGGTTAAATGAAGGGTGAGCGTGTGTGCGGAAGAGTGGATGGTCACTATTTACGGCCCATACCGTCAAAAATTCAAATTTTTGATTTAAGAAAAATTCAAAGGTTTCGAAAATAAAAATTCAGGGTGTTTCAACTGGGTAAATAATACTGTGTCAAAGTGATTTCCATTATAAATGCAGATCATTTCCTCATTTTTTTTCTTTGACTTAACAGTGAAAATAATTTATTATTATTCTTCGTTATAGTTTTATATAGATATTGATTTAGGGTTAAAAGCAGGGGTTGGAGATGTAGTGATATTTTGATTTTCTTTTTGAGCACTTATTAGGGTTTTAAAAATCTATATTTATAAATTATGCACTAAAGGATTAGGTCTAAGGATTGGGTTGAACTTTATTCTAAGATCACTTCATTACATAAAAATAGAATTAAACACATAATAAGTAACATTGCAAGTAATTTGTATGACAAAATACAATACAAATTAACCACTTGTATTTATTTTAATATAAATAAAACTTATGATTTATATATAAAAATAAAAAACGAGTATATAATAAGTATAATCAACGTACAACGCACGTCATACAAAAGACTAGTTATGTTAAATGCTTCAATATGAAAAATTAGTCGAATAAACACTAACTATTAGATAGTTGAAAATTGTGATAATTATTATTATTTGCATATAAAAGTAAAACACCCGAAAATAATCACTTCTAATGTGAAAAAAAAAATATAATATTATCAAAATTTGTAACTTAAACGCATAATAAATTACCTGCAAATTTTAAAGTGCTATATATTTTTTTATAAAAATTTTGAGATGAATTTATATATTTGGTCATATTTTAATATAAAACATGATGGATAGAATTAAAAAAAAAAAAAAAAAAAAAACATGATTGGAGTCGTAGAATTAAAAAAAAAAAAAAAAAACAAAACTAAGCTTCCCATGCATTAATTGTCAATCAGTCAAAATAAGATTGACAAGACAAAAATGTTTATATTTTTCGGTCAGTTCCCACTAAAAAAAAAAAAAAAAAAACAAAACTAACTTCCCATGCATAATTGTCAATCCAGTCAAATAAATTGACAAGACAAAAATGTTTATATTTTCGTCATTCCACATTAGCAACCAAATATATATATATATCTACTGTTTATATAAGTTTACACTATGTTTGGATTGGTGGAAAATAAGAGAGTAAAGAAAATTATTGAAAAGAAAAATAATATCAATTTTCTTTTATTTACTTATTTGGAAATAAAGAAAATATGAAGGAAAGGAAAATATAGAGAAAATGAATTATGGAATCCACGTGTCATTTTCTCACCAATTTGAAAGGAAAATTAAAAGAAATTAATTAAAATTATAATTTTACCCTCTATTTATTGTATTTTATTAAAAAAATAAAAGTCAAACTCATAATTTTACTATTTATAAACTCATTTTCCTTTCTTACTCTCCTATCAAATATTCAAACATCAAGAGAAAAAAAATCTTCTACATTTTTCCTCTTTATTTTCTTTCCTCTCTAAATTATTTATCCAAACACACTATTAGCGAATTAGAAGAAGCAGTGGAGAGAGAATAAATGAATCAATGACGTGGCAGAAGATAATCCCGCGCAAACACGAGGAATTTAATTTCCCTTTCTGCGATTTTCCTTTATTTACCTTAAAAATCTTTTTTTCCTTTTCTCGCTCTCCCCTCTATAATTCTCACCTCGTCTCTCATTTTCCAATGTCTCCTCCTCCCCTTCCTTTCCTGAGAAAATCCTAACCAAACAAGCAGGTAAATTCCTTGCAGCACCGAGTCCGACCGAGTTGTACCATGTTTTTCAACGGTCATTCTTACTTGTTTTTGTTTCTTTTGCAGGTTTAGCCATGAAAGGTGGGAGATCCAAGGCTGAAACCAAAATATCAAATTCTAGGTCAGTAATTAGAATTAATAATACCTAATTTCGATATGTAAATCTAAAGCTTAACATCGATTATGAATTTTGGATTTGTTTTTTCAAATTAGATTGAAGCTAAAAAGTGTTAGCGCAAAAGCGTCAAAGAAGGCAGCGAAGGATCCTAATAAGCCAAAGAGGCCTGCAAGCGCTTTCTTTGTTTTCATGTAAGTAAAAAAGAATTTCTTAAACCATTTCAATTTTAACATTATAATTTATTTGTATCTCTCTTTTGAAATTTTGTTTTCTTTCTGGATATATAAAAGGGAGGAATTTAGGCAGCTTTATAAGGAGCAGAATCCTAATAATAAATCTGTAGCTGCTGTGAGTTTTAATCTCATCTAAATGTATATAAATATGTTGAAAATGTATTTTTCTTTTTTTTGGGCTTGATGTGTTGAATTTGAATGAATTAGGTTGGTAAGGCTGGTGGAGATGAGTGGAAATCTATGTCAAATGCTGTGAGTATTTCATAAATATGTCAATGGAGTTTGTTTATTTTAAATTTAAGATCACTGGTTCTTAAATGATGTATGAAAATATGATCTTTGTTTCTTGAATTAATAATAGGAGAAAGCTCCTTATGCATCAAAAGCTGAGAAGAGAAAGATTGAATACAACAAAAATATGGCAGCTTACAATAAAAGAATGGTACCATATATTTTTCTTGTTTCTAATTTTAATTTTTGTAAGAGTTAATTCAATGAATTGCTGTTTGTTGAAATGGTTGCATTACTGTGGTAATTTATAGGCTAATGGGGGATATGGTGATGAAGAATGTGACAAGCCTAAATCTGAAGTGAATGATGATGAAAGTGAAGAGGTTGTTATTGCTTTACATTGCTCTAATTCGATATAATTTTGATTGATTTTATAATAAACTAAAGTTTTTTTTTTTTTTTTTTTATGTGGGTTGCATTACTGTGGGTTAATTTATAGGCTAATGGGGGATATGGTGAATTTGAAAGAATGGGAACGAAGCCTAAAGTTCTGAAGTGAAATGATGATGAAAGTGAAGAGGTTGGTGTGATTGGGCTTTACATGCTCCTTATTCGATATTTAATTTTTGATTGATTTATATAATTAAACTAAGTTTTTTTTTTTTATTTTTGGTTAAAGGCCGTAATAAAATATGATGTATACTAAAAATTCCTTCAATGTATACTCGCTTCATAAATTTTTTTTTTTTTTTTTGGTAAGCCGTAATAAATATATTATACTAAAAATTCTTCAATTATACTCCCTTCATACCAAATTATATGTCGTTTTAGACAGGGTTATGCAAATGAGCGGTTCGGTTTCGAACCGGATCGAATTGTAAAAACCAAAAATAGAGTTACTTTGAAACCTATTCAAACCGAAATAAATTTAGAAACCGAACCAAAATGGCTGGTTAGGTTTGATAGGCATCAGTTCGGTCAAATGGTTTGGTTTTACTCAGGAAATAAATATTGTGAAATAACCGATTCAAAGACTGAAAATCAAAATTATGGAAGATTTCAAATCGAAATCAAAACCAAAAACTGAATAACCGAATCAAAAACCAAAAATAATTTGATTCGGTTTGGTGTTTGGTTTTTTCCAAAGTTTACTCACCTCTGGTTTTAGATTGATAATTTTTGTATACAAAATATAAGTGGTTTTGATTATTTAAATATTAAGAAATGATGTTTTTTCAATGTTATTTAAATTAGATATAATAACTATTTGTATAAATTATCTATTTAATTTGATCAAATTACATTGGATTTTCTTATACTTTTAAGAGAAGTAATTAAATTTTTAATTTTTGTAAAAAACTTTAAACGAATTATATTTTGAACTGTACAACATGGCTTGTCAAATGTAATCTAACTCCCTTACTCTTTATCTGTAGGAGGAAGAATAATGACAAGGGGAGTACACAAGCAATGGGTGTAAAATTTGCTTATAAGAGTACGATTGACTTGCCTTTTCAGATTTATTTAGGAGAAAAAACAGGGATTTTCTTGGAGCTCACACATGGCTGCCTACTTTTTTTTTGTCTTGCGCTTTGTGTCCTTACATTTGAAGTTTTTGATTGTTAATTATTACTTGTCAATAATTATGAATTAGTCCTTTCCATGGAATGGATAAATCATGCCATAATAACACATTTTAAGATAGACTCAATGTCCAAATTCTTCCATGAAAGTTGTCTAAAATATTTTTTGACATTCCTAATTTTTACTTTGACGTATTTAATTTATAAAATTATATTTATTAAATATTTTAATTTGTAAAAATTATTTTATTAAATATTTAAATATTTAAAATTAAATTAATTAAATATTTATGAGATAGTTGAAAGATGTGAAAACGAAGAGTCTTCATAATATGAGGTGCGTTTTGAACTTCACTTGGACGTTCAAAGACATGCGTGCTTGCAACTGACGACATTACTCAGGAAAAGAAACTATTGACATTTTTTTAATCCGATGAGTCGTTTAAATTTTACGCGGTCATCGAAGGACCGTAAGGCGAATTTTGTCTAAACAAGTCAAAGCCGTTTCGTTGACCGGTTTGAACCGGACTGCTCCTACAAGCGTCGACAACATTTCGGTTCATGGAGTTTTGAGGGAAATGGCTGCTCCCGGCAAGTGCTTGCTTCTGGTCACTGGCTCTCCTGTTAGTTTTCTATTCAATCAGAATCCTTACATATAAATAAATCAATTTCAATTTCAATTTCCTTAGAATTAAGGGTTTTCTCACTCTCATTTGCATAAATTTTGAAATTGCAGGGTGTGGGTAAAACCACTTTGATAGTGAGAGTTTTTGAGAGCCTCAAAGTCTTAAACCCTAACTTGAAGATTCAGGGTTTCTACACTCGTATGTTCCTTTTGTTTCTTTTTTGTTTTTCAGCAACTACGATTAATTTTAATTTAGGCATATAAATTTTGATTAAAATAGAGTTCTTGTTGATTAAAGATTGTCTTTTTGGCTGAGCATTTAGGTGAGATTAGGGAAGGAAGTCAAAGGGTAGGCTTTGAAGTTGTCACTTTGGATGGTCGAAAAGCTCCACTGGCCTCAACCACTATATCTACGTATTTCTCTTTTCACATTTTTTGTTTTAAAGTTTTCTAATTTTTCACTATCTCTTTATCACAAGCTTGCAACAATAGATGAAAATATTAGCTTTTTATCATTTTGCTAGAACCTGATTATTAGTCATTTGTTTGTGGCATTTGAGTGCGATACTTGGTGATCATGAAGCATATTTTGTGAAACATGTTAAAACATTCATAATGTAATCAAGACACGTCTATATTTTATAGATTTGCTATTAAAATTGATATGGGTAGGAGTGAAGTTGATTATAGAAATGCATTACTTGAGAAATTTATTTCCTGTGTTGTATAAATATGGTAACTTTTCTCTGTTCTCTAATTTGGTCAATATAGGTATTAGAAGCTTGCATTAATCATGCCTGTATAAGGAGAAAAGGAATATATAATGATTTTTCTGGAAATTGGAAATTTATCTTTGGTATTCAAGAGCAAGTATTGTGATGAACACGAAGAATCCTTTTGTTTTTTCTTTCGCATTTCATACATATGAGTAACTGTGTTGTGTTCTGTCTCAATTCGATGCATCGTAAGCATCATTTTTGAAATATCCATCAACAAAAGCACTATGACAAACCTGCTACTGAAATCAAGATTAGTGTTCATATACTACTTGCCTTTTCGGTTTTAAAGAACTCCTTTTTTTTTTTTTTGGCTGAGTAATCTTGTTCTCTAAACTTACTGTCCAAATCAGTATTTGCTGCTGTCTATTGCATAATGCTTTAAATCTGTCACATTAACCTCGACAGCTGAAGTATCTTCTGTAACTGCAGCCCAGAGTCTTTCAGATGGCCTACTGTTGGGAAATATAAAGTAGACATAGCATCATTTGAGTCACTGGCATTACCTGAGTTGCAGGTCAGCTTGGCATTATCTTTTTCCACCCTGAACTAAAATGCATAAAGTACTTGGATCCATAATGACTTTGTTATAAACCTTTTGTCATTTTCTATTGGTTTGAAGTCATTATTTCAGTTGAATTATTTCAAGTTAGTACTCAAATAATACATATAGAGAGTGTCATTAACCCTTGGTCTTAGAAAGAAACTCTAGAGGTTGCCATACCCTTTAGTATTTTTTTTTCATGGAGTGGCAGCAATATCTTGGTTGGAAGCCTACAAATTTATCAGTGACTCAGAAAAAGGTCTTTCAGAAATTGTCTTTTGTCTATTTATTTTTTGTATATACATATTGTGTAGTATTAAGATGTGTACTTTTGTTATTAGGTCAAAGAACATACTGATCTATTCATCATTGATGAAGTTGGGAAAATGGAGTTATGTAGTTCATCATTTTTCCCTGCTGTTCTAAAAGTTCTGGAATCAAATATCCCAGTTTTGGCTTCTATTCCAATTCCAAAGTCTGGCCGTGATATACCTGGAGGTACATTTTCATAAAAACCCATTAACTGTTATTGTAAAAAACTACAATTAATTGCACCACAGTAGTATTTTTTAGTCTGCTTTTCTCTCATACGGATTTCTATTGGTAGCTATACTGTTAAGGATTTTTCCTGCTTAATTTCGTTTGTGACCAAGTTTGTTTTATAAATTGCTGCAGTTGCAAGGTTGAGGAACCATCCAGGAGCAACAGTTTTCACCTTAAGCCCCAGTAACAGGGATGCAGTTAAAGAACAGATCTATACCCAGTTGGTAGATAAACTACACAAGAATTAGATGCTGCACTATTATGAGGTTCAAGCTCAGCCATTTTCTCTGTTATATCGTTGAAATGTGTTACTGATATAGGTTGTTTCTCTTATGCACTTCGGTTTTGTCATCCGTGTTGCTATAACCCTTGCTTGAATAGCTACGTTGGATCAAATTTTGTTTTGTTCCTAAGAGTCTTTTGAGTGTGAGAAAGTTTAAAAGAACAAGAAGTAAAATAGTATAAAACAAAATAAATTTCCTTTACTATATTTTCCATGGAAATAATGGACAAATGTTCAGTAAACACCCTATTTACAGCACTGTTTAAATTGCATTCAAACAACCCTACACAGAACTGAAATTGTCTTTAGATAAAATCCCTTTAGAAATGCAAAGGAGAAAGAATAAAAAAATGAATATAACATTATTATATTTCATTTCAGCAGTCCATAGGCTTATGAACTTCTTTTATCTTTTTCTGCAGTACGCAGCAATTCTCTTGCCATGGCCGAGAAAGACTTGGCCGTGTCTTGCATCTCTGTAGATTTTAGATTGATCCCCTACCAAATTAAGCAATTAACCAGACAATCGTTTAGTAAAGTAACAGTAACAAATTAAGATTACTAATTTTGTTCAAGAAATATGTGGATAAGCAAATCAACATCAGAGCATAGATGACAACTAAGATACGTGTTGACATATTGAACCTCATTAGTATATGGAGACTATATGTGGAATGAAGAGGGATTTACAAATACCTGCAACTTTTTTACATTCTCATGCAACTTGCTTTCAGCAATTTTGGCAGCGCTTGTTTCCTGCAACCGAAGACCAAAGAGTTATACTGCCGTAATCGGAAGATGTTGCAAAGCATCCTGAAGATGAGTAATCATTAGAACTAATACTAGTGCGTAACCAAGACTAAATTTAAATCCTATCTCCAGTACAGTAATAGCTTTTTGTGGTAATTAGTTACAATATATAGTTCAGTAAGGACTCATGATTCGGATATTTCTGAATTCTAAAATCATCTCCATAATGAAAATAGAGTGGAACATGACGTGGCTTTTGCAGTATCTAATTATCTATAGAGTAAGCACTGTGAAGAACTATCTGCTTCAAAAAGATAGTTGTAAGATGAGGATTTGAAACTGAGATAAAAGAAGAAAAGGAAAAAGGCAATTGCTCCAGTTAAATTAGAGCAAATCCTATCATCTAACATGCGTACAACTGCAGCTGGACACCAAATGTTATGTTATACGTTGTCTGATCAGTGTGATTTTCTGTAAGAAAAGTTATCAGTAGCAATAGACATAACATAAAAAGTATGCAATAAATAATACTTACACCAGATGAAGAAAAACCATATTTCTTCTTGATTTGATCAACCGCACCAGCCTTCTCATCTTGTTGCTCCTCCTTGTTGATATTTTTCTCATTCTTAACCTTCATTTGTTTTATTTTACCTAAGTATTGCAAATTTACACATATGAATCAGCATAGTGTTTTTGTTCAGAATCTTTAACCTTCAATTAAGGGATTCTAGTGCTATCCCCTCAATCCACCCAGCCACCCATGGGTCTCAGTAGGGTATTTCAGTGGCACTCCCCTTAACTCATTGATGAACATTTCCTATAGTTCTTAAGAGCTTCATAATCTTTCCTGTACTTTTTCATTCAATGTGACCTTCAATTATGCATTTTCTTGTTTCATTACCCATTATAGATAATTGGTTGGTCAATTGATACAATTTGCTAGTTTGTAACAAATTTCAAATCATTTTATGATGCCCTGGCCGTTTATAGAAAGTGACAGAAAAGGGGTAGAATATTTTTCTGAAAAAGAAATGCAGCTTTCGAAAATTTCAGGCAGCCAATGACTGGTTACTGTCTCGGACATAAAACATTGTACGTAGGCAACGGAAGAGTGGTCAATTGCTTATATTTTATAGTTCTCATATTCACAGTATCTGCATAGCTGAACCCACAATGAAGCGGATCCTGACTTGATTATCATATTGTCTATCAGTAAGCAATTCAACTAATCCACACTAGTTGAACACCGAGCACAAAATTTGCTACAGCATAAGAAATTTATGTGATAAAAATAAAAGTAATCCGGTCAACTGTAGTTGCACAAAAACAAGGGAACAGATATTGTATCTTGGGCTCACCTGTAAAAGCCTGAAATTTGCTTGCCAATTTTTGCTTATTAAGAGCTGCCAATATATTCTGATCTTTGGGTTTCTCTTCATGATCGTCAAGGTCGATATCATCTTTAAAGGCCAAAAATGAAAAACAGAAAAACAATGTGATTGTTTATCCCCATACCGCCCTTACTATAAGAGAAACAAAAAAACTAAAAGGGAAATTAGATTGAGACTTGAGAGTCAACTGAACTACTTTTACGTTATAAATAGATGGCATGAAGTGCCACCTTACAATGATTTACATGGCAAATATATTCACATCCATAAGGAGCATATTATGCAGGGCATACATACCTATGTCTAAGTCAATCCCATCAGTGTCCATGGCCATGTTATTGCTATTTTCAGTTTCAGATGCAAAGTTGGCTGTTGAAAAGATTATTGCAAGTTCTTCAATACTTTCTTTTGTATCTTCTGTTTCCACTTCTGAAACTTGCTTTGGTTTACTTCCTTTGATATCCTTAATCACAGAGCTAAACATACCCTAGTTTGTGAAGCATGAAATTATAATTTCATAAGTACCGAGTCATAGCCAGAATTACAGAGCTCAATCCACAATATACCTTTTTCTTTTCCTTTGGAACCATAGCTCCAGAGGCAAAGCCTTCTCGTGATGGCATTGGCATAAGATCTTTTGTGTAGACTTGGCTGACACAGTCCAAAAGCCTAAAAGAAGTATGCCGAAGGTAAATACAAAATCAATGAATTGTCCATAATTACAATTTCATAGAGTAATTTCCATCTTCTTTATTTTCACCAAAGTACTTAAGCTAAATAAATATGTAGTATTTTTTTTTTTTTTAACCAAAAAGTGTCAGGATCAGGAGTTCTACTCTTTAATTCTGAGTTTCGAACCCCCTCCGAAAAAAGGACCCAAGAGATAAACTAATTAAATTAAAGACAATTTCATAAGTATATACCTGAAGTGTTCCTTTTGAAGCAAAATTGATACTATAAACATTTCCTGATCACCGTTGACCTGCAAAAGAAGAAAGTATGCAGTTCATGTAAATTTTTGCCCCCTTAAGCAACAATTTAGAGGAGAAAATTCAGGCTGCTGTACCATAACAAATTCTCCATCCTGCGAACAGCATATCGAACTATCTGGTAAAGAGTTCAGCTTTGGTGCAGAATAGGTGAAACCTCTTATTGAGAATTCCCTTATTAATGATAAATCTGGCAAAGACCTTATATTTGACAAACAATTCAAGGGATGATAGAAATTAGATTACTTCTGAGAACAGCTAGCATGTCACACGAAATAGGGAAATACAACAGTTAACAACATGCAATTTTCTTATTGTACCAAAAAAAAAAAAAAAAAATCCACCTTATTTCAATTTTTCCAGTAGTGAAAAGGAGTATAAGACCAACATCTGATGCACCAGAAAATACTGAAGCCCAGCAACACAAAGAGGAATGGAACTTCTTTTTGTAGAGAACCCTCTTGACTCCCTGAAACAAAGCAAAAGAATAAATTGGAAATTAGTTCAAGTTGTTCCTTAAAACTTTATTTGTTATATTTACATGCGTAAAGCAGTGATTACCTGAAGAACATGACTCAACGAATAGACATACACAGCTTTCTCAGAACATATCAGTACAGAAGACTGCTTTGTTGAATCCTCAGCAGGATAATTCCCTCTCAGGTCTGGAACATTCGATGCATTTGATCCTCCCGCTAACATGTCCTGCCCATCTGTAAAACATGTAATGGTAATTCCTTCAATCTAACTCTTAGATGGCGTGAAAAATAGATTGACTAATCCTAAAAGAGTCATATTTTAGGTTTTCCACAAGCAAAAAATGACCATTCTGCCAAGTACAGAAGAAAATGTAAAGCTAGGCTCACCCAGAATTTGCATAAAAAAAGCTTTAGACGGTTTCTTAGGATGCACTGTACTAGTGCTCAGCAAGTTTCCAGTATCAACATCAACAGCCAAAACTGATGAATCCTTCGTTGCAACCACTAAAACATTCTTCTCAAAACCATGCAGACTGCAGGTTTGAAACCTTAGTGAGACGATGCCAGTGGAAATTTCACTCGCAATATGTTTTTGATACAGCAGAGTTGGTCCTTTGGTATCAATTAATGAAACCTGTACATTCATTACAACAATTTGAACCCCAGTTAGTTTGTCCTAACAAAGGAAAGAAAAGAAAGGTGTTTATCTCCCAGCTTAAGCTGTTATATGATGTATTGAGAATAGCCAGATTTAATACTACAATTACGATTAATGCATTGTGTATCCGTAACACAATAATTATTGAGAGAAGCGCAAAAAGCTTCCATCAAAATTAACACACATAATGAAATAAAATGATAAATAGATGTTGGAACTATATTGAGAACATTTAGCTTGTTCACATTATTACCTTAACCCAAGCGTGATTGAGCATGTACAATTGAAAACAAATGCTTTAATGGAAAACATACAAAGGAACCACAGAAGAGGAAAGGAGAATAGGCTTACATATCCTTGATCGGATCCAACAGCAAGAAGTTCTGAGCCATGGCTTATGCTCATGGAGATTACAGAACCATTCACCTTCAGAAGTTTGAGACTCTTGATGACGTGGCTGTTTCCTTTTTTTAAACTTCCTGGAAGAAAATAACGCCAAAATACCAATACTTACAGTTGATACAATTAATTGCAATGTGTAAGAAGCATACTGCTGGATGAGATATATGCATGAAAGAAATTATAACTCCATAATATGGGTCAATGTCTTAATTCAAACTGATTTTGCATAACCAAAAAAAACAAGGATTACTAAGGAAAAGGTCAATTATTTATGAACAACTCAAACATCAACGGACAGTAAGGTAACTTTGACTTGGCTTGCAAGATGCTCTGAGGTTGATATGCTGGCATATAACAGTTAAGTGGTTCAGCATTACTCATGAGAAGATTGACCTAATATGACAAAAAGTAGATGTTTATTAGGACAATGTGCATGTTTGGTAATACCTTGAAAAGGAATAAAACTGTTCTCTGCGGCATATGGCTCAGGTTTAAATTTAAAAATGCGAACCTGCAAATCAAGGATACAGTAAAAACATCAGGCAAAAATAATGCGTGTGTGGTATATGTAGAATCTTAAAAAAGGGACATTTTACCATTCCACTCTTATCCCCTGAAACAAGAATTCGAGAATTGCCATCAAAATATAATGCTGTCAGTGGTATACCACTTAAAGAAAAATCATCTTCACTCTGCATAGAAAATTTTAGGTTAGGAACAAATGGAATAGGGAGAAAAAGAATCACTATTGAGTACCTTGAATACAAATTCTCCCTAAAAGGATGTTACTATCTCTCCTGAAAAGATTGATCTATATTAAGTGCTAACAAATTTTCATTTCTATTTGCAGTTATCTAAATTGTAAAGAAAAACTAGTCAAGGGCTTAAAATTTACCTGTTGTCTAAACGATAATATTGGGATAAAAAATGGACAACATGCATCCCAGAAATGAATAGCTCCATCACTGTGTCCAGTAATGTACAAATTTTTAATCTTTGAAAATCCACAGAAGGGGACAGGATTTGTGTGAGTTCCATCTTTAGGCTTTGCTTCAAAAGGGAAAAGAGATGGAATGTTTTTGGAGAACTGAAGATAGTCCTACACGACCATAAAAATCAGTCATATGACCTGACCATCAAATATACAGCATTATCAACAATAACAAAGACAATTCCGTGCTAAAGCTATACCAGTTACCATTATATTACCTCATCTCCAAAACTCAACATATAAGGGTTATCTGTGATGAATTTTGCTGTAGTGATGCTTGAGTCAGCAAATGGCATCTTCACCTTGATCTCCTTTGGCAATGAGGGTGAACCCCTTGATTGGGATTGTAGAAGATACTTTTCAATCTGACAATCATCATAAATATATATATACCCTGATTTTCCAAGGAGGAGAAAAGAATTCTGTTTATGTTTAGTTTGCTCACACGAGCTTGAAATGATCTCCATATCAATACAAGGTTCTGACAAAAGAAGTCCCAGCTTGATTGTGCGCGTTTCAATGTTCTCATTCAGTAAGATTACCTGCCCCGCAAAATAAAAAAAATCAAACTTGTAACAAGCTCAAGATTTTGTCAATCTTAAAACAATTTAAATTACCTCTAATCAATATTTTGAACAAAGTATACAACTTAAACAATAATGCCAAACATACCATTAGTGAAAAATAAAGATACCTGCAACAAGTTTGTAGATGCAAAGTCAGAGGCACCCATAATATAGAGTCGGCTTGCCTTCCCATCAGCATGAATCCATTTTAGAGATGCTATAGGAATTTTGTCCGATTTGTATCCCAGATTGAGTTTATATATAGGAGCATTCTGAGTGCCATTATCTGGTGTTATTTCAGTTCTTGAATTTGGAGTAGCAGGAATGCTCCAAATGAAAATCTCTCCGTTACTATACCCAACAGCAACTTTGCTTCCAAAAGGACACGCCCAACATGCAGACGTTACTTTCTTTGTGTCATTATGTTGTGAATGCAACAAGCTTCCGCCTGTTGTAAAAATGGATCTACTTTCTCGAATATCCCACAAAGTAATTAGGCCATCTCTAAATACTATAAGAACCCTGTATTGGGGCAAATAACAGTAAAAGGAATGAGGTCTCTGTGAATGATAAGGAGACTACACCAAACCAGTTTAGCGAGTGAGGAAAATAAGCAGGTCCAGGCAACCGTAGAGTTGTTAAGCTTTGTCACAAATTGTCAACAGAAAAACAAAGGTATCTCTAGTCAAGTTAGTTGCTTGTTGTTTAAATTTTCTAACAACTTTCAAATCGTCATGGTTTTGACAAAGGATCTATCCTGTCTCTATCTTGTGTGTGTTCTCATCATAAAAAGAAAAAAAGGAAAAAATTTCCTTCATCTTGGTATCTTTGAAATTAAAAGTCTTCACATCCTTGAATAAATGCATGTTGTCAGCAAATAATATAGCTCGGTACAGTTTTGAACAGTGACAATATTCATCTATAATCTCTTTTCCTCACTTTTTATTTGAATCTTACAAAATGAAATTCAGTGCTAAATAATTTTCCCACTTTTCTTATTTTATGGTCCAGTAAAAGAAGCCAGTTCAAAAAGTAGTCCATCATGGACATGTTAAACCTCCCAATGTCATCCATGTATGACCAGTTAAACAGAAAATCAATAAGGGAATGAGGCTACCTCTTGCTTTCAGCCATTGGTTGAGGTATTATATGCAGTACAGCAGCATCAGCAGAAGCTTCAATTGAATTTCCTAAATGCAATAATTGATCAGGTTAATTATGCCTGTAGGTTTTTCGCAGTAGGTAGCTTAGGAAAGCAGAATACCCATGCTTAGTGAAATTTGAAGAAACTAATGTAATTGATGTTACTTCAAAAAAAGTGCCCGCTTCAAACTTGGTTATGCAGGGGGATAACTGGATGCTAATATACTGCTCCATAAGCATCTTCCTTCTTCCATCCGCATGTCCAAGTTAAGGACATTAGAATGTGCAATTTATTCCTTTTATGGCTTTTTGAATCAAAAGGCATCTATAGTATACCAATTTTACTGTTCCTCATCTAACTCTAATAGCCAAACAACATCATGTAAGAATCTTAAATTTTGCTCAAACTCCTAAGTCTGCAATAAAGAATACTTCATAATACATGCCATGGTCAAGCTGATTTATTCAATTCAACAAGTAAATATGTAATGAAAGCAACCCTTACAACCACTCAAATCAGATACAGTAAGCTTGATCAGCATTTTTGAGGAGATAAACAGCAAATTGTCTGAAAAAAAAAAAAAAAAAAAAAAAAAGCCATGGTCAAGCTGATTTATTCAATTCAACAAGGTAAATATGTAATGAAAGCACCCTTACAACCACTCAAATCAGAATACAGTAAGCTTGATCAGCATTTTTGAGGAGATAAACAGCAAATGTCTGAAAAAAAAAAAAAAAAAAAAAAAAAGAACAAAAAAAAAAAAAAAAAAAAAAAAAAGAACAGCAGCAACAGCAAGGAATAGAGAGACCAGAATTTGTCTCACCATGAGAAGCAGAGAGAGGTATGGTATATTTCATTTGTAATATCCGGCATGTTTCCTCATCAAGCTTCAAAATTGATATATTACCAACATGATCTCCAACATACCTGCCAGTAAATATCCAACAAGTTACAACCAGAACTTAAATAAAAGGACTTCAAGCAGATAACTGCTTCTCCCACAAATGAACTGGAGAAACACTTACATATAGAGACAACGTTGCATTACTGTAAACGAAGTAATGTCTCCCTTAAAAACATGTACGTGAGACAGCAACTTCTTTTCCACGTCCCAAACCTAAGTTGCGATTTTATTTTCAAAATTCAAATGAATATTAAAGGTGCAATATAAACATAAACATACAGCCAATCGATACTCATGCGCACGGACACACAGTATAAAAGTTTAACTTGCCTCAATGTGGTTCTTGGAAGTTATATTTAGAAGAATGCCTTTGTTCTGAATGAACTGAAGATTTAACAAAAGAAAAAAAAAATGAAAGAGAGAGAGAGAGAGAGAGAGAGAGAGAGAAGGAAAAGCCACTACTGATGTTAGTCTACGTCTCTATAGTAGATTCTAGAAAATCTAAAAGTAATTGCAGTTTTGAGATTATTTACGAGTTACATAGCTCAAACTGCAATGAAAAAGGAAAGGTACACGAAACCTGTAAAAACTTGCTTGGTTCTGCCTCAGGACATTCGAGCAGAACTTGAGTGTTATCTTTCCCAAATAATTTGATTCTTCCATCTCTGAATGGACAAGAAGAAACTATTAACCAACCAAGTTATGCAAATATACGAGCTAGCTGATAAGCAAAGAGACTCACCGGGTAGAAATAGCAAGAATCTTTTGAATCGAGTCATAAGCCAACATGTTAGCTCCTGATGGTATCCCATAATGGAATGCCAGCCGTGGCTCTACTTCGCTTGCTTTTAAACCTTCCGAATTTCCTCCAAGCTACAGGCAAAAACCGCAAAAATCATAAGTCACTCTTCTATTCGGTACACCACCCCATCTAATTTTCTGAAGAAGTTACTATTCGAGAATTAATCGCGGTATAGATAAATTTTGAGAAAAAAAAAAAAAAAAAAAAAAAAAGATAAATTTGAGGAAAAAAAAAAAAAAAAAAAAAAAAAAAAGGCTTATCCCAGGCCGTGTTATAACAAAGAATGTTGAAAGCGTTATTATTTATTATTATTATTATATTGAAAAAAAATGTGAAAAGTTACTATTTTGCAAATCATGATAAACTAGAATGATATCATCATAGTTTGGGCAAGAGTTGTTCCTACAGGGCTTGGCCACTGCTATATATAATAATATATATTATATATTTGGTATCGAGCACATTTCTAAATAGCGAACTATTTATGGCAACATTGTCATACATTCCTTTTTCTTGTTTAAGTTACAGACCTTCATTATTACGTATTTTTATTAGTATATATGTATTCAGGATTTCGAATCTATATATATTTGGTATGAGCACATTTCTAATAGCGAACATTTATGGCAACAGTGTCATACATATCCTTTTCTTGTTTAGTTACACGACCTTTCATTTATTACGTATTTTTATTAGTATATATGTATTCAGGATTTCGAATACATCACTTCAAATTTCAAATAGAAATTTATTATTTAAATATTACTATATAACAACAAGAATAACTAGATCTTAATTCAAAACTTTTTGGAGTTAGTTATATTAATATTTTGTGTCATCCCGCTTTTCCTCTACCCCGAATCTCATTCTCATTTTCTAATATACTTTTTTATTCCTTTTTATTCCTGTCTACATCACTATTCATTGATGTATAATCCTGTACGATATTCATTAAAAATATATATATATACACCAAGAGTTTTCCAAGAAAGAAAATTTGACTGTAAATTGTTTTCCTCTCCCCTTCTTGTGTCGCAGGGAACTTAAACAATTACAGTGAACCCCGGAGGGGATATCCAAGAAGTTCAAACTGGTGGTGATCAAGTAAGCTAAGTGCAACGTGCATCTGAGAGCAGAGGGCAAGGACTTGACCGTTGAAACCATAACAAGTGATGGACAGTTAAGACCGTGCCACTAGGGCGTCTCTTGTGGGCCCTAATGTCTGTATAACATGGATCGAATCTATTGACTTACATGGGCCCATACAATCCCGTCCCAATAAAATAGCCCACCGCCCATCACATGGATCCGTTGATTGTTTCGTTTATTTAATTTTTTTTTTAGCTTTGTCAAATGTCAGCATAATCTTAGTCTCGATCTTTAGTTAAGACAGTTAAGATTCCAACCTCTATAAGCAAGCGGAAAAAAAAAAAAAAAAACTTTAATGCATAAAAAGAAAAATAAAGTAGAAATTATGAATTACACCTGGTAGTAATTACAGTTCATGTTTTTATGATAACAAAGTGACCATTTTGTTAAATCTCCCATACTACAAAAAAAAAGGTAAAAATTATGATAACTATGTAACAAAATTTTTTATAATTAAAAAATAACGACCCATTTCCCTCTCTGTTAAATAAATAAAAAATATTTATTTCTACTAGTCAAAAAACGGTGATCAACTATAATTGCCATTCAATATCTAAAATAAAGAAACATTAAAAAAAACACTTGAAAGGCCTTTACGTTTCCTTTTAACAAAACCACTTAAAAAGTTGGAAGAAACGCATTATCTAAAATTTTAATTCAGGACTATTTGCTTTTCTACTCTCCTGAGTCCTCAACAGTCGGATTTATGTTCAGGATAAGACAGGTTTCTTTTCTTTCTGAGGTACACGTGGCAGCTAATTGAATTGACGTGGCGGTGCAGTGTAATATAAGCTTTATGAAAGATTAAATTAAAAGGGAATCCAAGGTTTGGATAATTAAGAGCAAAAAATTGCTTCCCCCATATATAGCAACTGTGTGCTACTAATCTAGACATTCAATTTAGTAGTACACACATTCAAGATTTTATTTTAGTGAAAAATTAATGGCAGAAAACTAAATTCTAAGTTTATACCAGGGAGATTTCTCATTTATTTACCTTTCAAGCTGTTAATTTAAATATTTAGCAACAAAATAAACAATGCCTGTTCTGCAAATTTCCAAAACTAATTAAATTTCTGCATCCTCTTCTTTCAATGTTAAAAAAAAAATGCAAAATTTATAAAAACTAATGAACTTTCCGCTTCCTCTTCTTCTGGTGTAAAAAGAATAGGCACAACTGCATTGTAACTGTAATATTAATGTGAAAAATAAATATGGCAATCTTCACCTAAGCCAATCAATGATCATATCATGACGGTTTTTTGCTACTGTTTAAGGAAGGTCAGTGACAAAACCGATCAAATATTAAATATTAAATCTAACAATTATTCACCATAATCAAGAGATTTCATTCCATTTTTACTGTTCAAAGGAGAAATGCAGCTAGTCTACAGATAGATAGAGCTAGAGAGTTGAATTTAGAATTTAAAAATAAGCTTTAATTAGTTTCAAATCCTCATTCATGGAAGATTCAAAAAAAAAGTTTAAGCTAACGAGATCGATTGGGATAAACAAAACCGAATTAAAAAAATGTTCTGAAAATTAAGGACAAATTCAATTCAAAATCTCGGCAACCGATAAACATATAAACACCAAAGTCCGAAAAAGAGTAACCAAACGCGAAAAGATCAAAGAACTGAACTACAATATAAGTCGGAGTTCAGATCAGCGAATCAAAATTTGCAGAGATGTGAAGCAATTAGAATTCAAAGAAATATATAGATCAATCAAACAAGAACAGAAAGTAAAAATCATCCGTTATTAGTAATTACATACCTTCTTTGAGCTCGAAGCTTTCTCCACCAGCTTCTTTACAAACATGATACAATCTTCTTCTTCTTCTTCTTCTAGAAACTAAAATTCTCAAATCGGATTCAGCAGAAAAATCAAAGTGCCAAAAAAACAGAACTCTGCTTTGAGATAACAGACGACGAGAGAGACAAAGAGGGAGAAGGCAAGAGACGGTTTTGCAGTTTTTGTTCGTAAAAGAGACAGACGAGCGGTTTTTTCTTTTAAATAGACAAAATATTCAATCAAGCGTTTGGATCAGGTAATTATGACACGTGGAGGTTGATTAGGTGATCCAATCAAGATTCATCGGTCAAGACATTGATGAGAGAAGAAATTTTTTTGACTAATTTGATATTCTTCAAAACAACAAAAAAAAGGCAAATCGAAACGCAGTTAAAGCATAGTTTTTTATCAATTTACGACTATGACCTTCCCTATCGGACAAGTCAAATGACGACACGTGGTTCAACGCTGAAATCATTGTTTGGACCGATACTATTTCCTGCTACTGTCAGTAAGTAGGAAATTTAATCGAGGATTGCTAGTATACATACATCTGTATCGATACATTAAAAATCTCTCGTTAACAGCCGCCGATCGAATTAGTAATGAAAATGACACACATCTGATCGTGACACGATCATATTGAAGTGGGGTCAGTTGTGATTCAAAGAAAATCTGGCCAGTTACGTGGCAGAACCGAAAGCAGGTTGTTACTTGTTTCTTTTCTCTGCTCAAGTTTTTTATTTTTCATTTGCTTTTTTTTTTTTTTTTTTTTTTTGAAAGCAGGTTGTTACTTGTTTCTTCTTCTCTGCTCAAAGTTTTTTATTTTCATTTGCTTTTTTTTTTTTTTTTTTTTTTTTTTTTTGGTTTTAACTTATTTTCTACTAATCAAAAAGATTTACAAGCTTTTTCAGGATTGATACTTTTAAATTTATTTAATGGGACCTTAAAAATGAGAGGCCGTCCCAATCATATTCTCATTGTAAAATTACAAAAATGACCTAAAATATTTTAAATGCTTCAGTTGATTTGTACTTCATGAGTGGTTGAATTATTTTCTTTTATTCACCAACTTTATTAAGTTTATTGATTTTTTTTTTTTTTTTTTTTTTTTTGGTTTAACTTATTTCACTAATCAAAAGATTTACAAGCTTTGTCAAGGATTTGATACTTTAAATTTATTCTAATGGACCTTAAAATGAGAGGCCGTCCCAATCATATCTCATTGTAAATTACAAAAATGCACCTAAAATATTTTTAATGCTTCAGTTTGATTTGATACTTCATAGTGGTTGGAATTATTTTCTTTTTTCACCAACTTTATTAATTTATTGAAATGGTTCATAAAAATTATTTTGTGCTTAATAAGTTCCTTAATAATTGTAGAAACAAATAAATTTCTATCATCTATTCAAATCTCAAGCAATAAGCATAAACTGAATCTAATATATAAACATTTTTTAGCACAATCAATGATTTCTGTAAAATTAGAAATTTCATTGGTAAGGAGTGCGCAATCAATCGATCCAATTTGATAAGCATGTTCACAAAATAGTTTGGTTGTGATTTAAATGGTTTGGACAAAAAATATTGGTAACTAGCACTAAGCAAATGGTCGGTTTAGTTCAAATTGAACTGAACTGAACTGAAATCATAAAATACAAATCAAAATTTTTACAACAGACCTAGTCAAATTGAATTTAGCATCTTAATCAAATTAACAAATAGATTCGGTCTTTTTTATGCAATTTCGATTTACTTTTAAACCTCGTCGATGAATTTTTGTGCAAGCCAACTCAAACTAAATAATAAATTTAGTTCAAAATCGAACGACCGAACCTCTCTTGAACATCTAACCTATCCAAAATGGATCCATTTAATTTTCAGTTCGGTTGGATAGATAGTTTTGCACATCCTATTGGTAACTAGTAAATAAGCCAGTGAGCCACCACTTATATATGGGCCACTAATGAAAATAGAAAGCATTTCCAAAATCCAAATCTAAAAAGGGCCTTTCCGTTCCACTAGTCGCCAGCCCAAATCACAATTTGTGAATCACAGAATTAACCTGCCCAAACTTATAGGGCGCAAACAAAGACAAACAACATTCATGTGTACCTATTGGCCATTTGGCCATTGTGGGCTACAGATTTAACCTCGTCCCTAGGATTAGTGCCTAATACTAGGCCTAGGCCCACCGAGGTCTATTCACTATCACGAGCTAGTGCCTATTAAAAAAGAGCAAATTACTATGAAATTTTTATTTTTATCCATCGGATCGGTAAAAACTATTGCCGTCCATAAACTTATACTCGATGTAAATTCATCATAGATAGTAAATTTAATGCTTTCATCCATTACGAGTCTATTGAATTAATATTCAAACTCACATTAAATGGATCAATTAGAGCAAATACTCATAGAAGTTCACTTTACTTTCATTCCTACTTCTGATTAACAATGAATTTAAAGGAAAAAAAAAAACTAAAGAATTAAATAATTTATAAAAATAAATTCGATATATTATATAATTAAAATTTTGAAAATAAAAAATTTAATTAAGTGTACTTAAATATCATCCAGAAAATAGTAATTCAATTACTAAAAAAAACACATTAAGAGTTCACTAAAACTTGATAGTGAACGTTTTATCCCTTAATGGGCTTACTCAGCTCAATCCGAATTAATCGAACTAGTAGGTTTTGGATATCGGATGGCTTTCAAAAAAAAAAAACACATTAAGGGGGACAGAATTGGATACAGCATGATTACTCCATGCAGATCCAATTAGTAATTAGATTTTAACAAGAAAATGGTTAAATCTTATTATCATAACCTGATTCTCATGTACCAAAAGATTAGTTTTCATCTTGGAAAATTTAAGGCACACCAATCTCATTCAAGTATGAATACCTTCCTTCAAAGAGAATATTTTTAGTGTAAAAAGTTTTAAATTCTAGATCTTCCGCACGAATCTCTTGAAAAACGAAGTGATAAGCATGTAAATTCAGAACCAGACCGATTACAAAAGAAAAACAGACGTGGAGTGTTGACAAACAAACAATATATTATTGTGACTATTTTGGGTGTTGTTGTTTGTGTTTTGCGAGGTACATATAATAATGACACGAAGTAGCACGAAGTATATAGCCACTCGAAGCGACCATTCTATTTAAGAGGAGGTAGATCAGAGACAACCAGGCGACGGGGACGTCAATTGTTTGAGTGGGGGAAGGCATAGAAAGAGAGAAAGAGATGGTCCACCGGACGGACCCTCTAACAGCAAAGAAGCAGCCCCCAAAATAATAACTAGACTGCAACTTTACCAACCAAGAACTTGTCCCCAACACCCTCAATCACGTGCTTATAGTGGAAAAGTTGGTCCCCAACTCCAACCAAGTGAGCCCATCATCAAATGCTATATAGCGGAGCAATGTCTGAACACACTCAAATTCTATATATTCTATGATCAATGCATAATTCTAATTTTTTTTTTCTTATTTATTATATATATATATATAAATGACTAATTATGGAATCAAGCACATGGCTATGACTCTCTCTACATCATTAGATAAAAGAGTCACCTTTACAACTAAAGCATCCACAACCATGCACTTGCATCATCTTCATGAGTTGTATTGGTTTTGCTTTTTTCTTCTTTTTCTCATCTTCAACAACTTCATTAAAAATAAAAATAAAAAAGAAAGAAAACCATCTTTGCTTTTTCCGGCTTTTAGATTGAAATATATACAAGTCTTCCGCGTGGGTAGTTCTTGGACCATCCGTAGTTAACTTGGAGGTTTAACTCTATGTTTAATAACAGTTTTTAAAGTAATTTTTAGCGTTTTAGCATTTTGACAAATTAAAACGTTAATGCTATTTTTTATAGTATTCGATAACTTAGCGTTTTGACAAGTTAAAATGCTAATACTATTTTTTATAGTATTCGGTAATATAGCGTTCGAACTAATTTTTAGAAGTTCAAATAACATTTTATAAGGGCTAGTCATGTAATGTTTAACTTTTAGCCTTTTATGAAAAACTACTCAAACAAATAAACGCTATTAAAACAATTAACAGTTACCAAAAATTACTAATTTTGTCGAGCAAATACTAAGTTGACTTATGTCAATCTAATCAAATAATAATAAGTTCTTTTTTTTTTTTCTTTCAAACCCACTATAATAAATAAGTTTTATACGATTATTATCCATAAATAGTGACTCAAGTTGGAAGAATTATTTGAATTCAATGGATATTTTTACAAAATTAAGAGTTCAATTCATAAAAAATCGCTTATGAAATGATCGGTCACGAACCCTAAATTGATATTAGTCTTAGATTCAAAAGGTTTGTGATTTAACACTTCTAATTAATTAGAAACTCTTTTATAAATAATTATCGACTAATAGTTAACAGCTACTAAAACAGTTAATATTGTCAAACTGTAAGGTTGAGAACACAAGTTCGATATCTACTTTGCTAAGAAGGAAAAAAAAAATATAAGTTTTATACGATTATTATCCATAAACAGTGACTCAAGTTGGAAGAATTATTTGAATTCAATGGATATTTTTACAAAATTAAGAGTTCAATTCATAAAAAATCGCTTATGAAATGATAAGTCACGAACCCTAAATTGATATTAGTCTTAGATTCAAAAGGTTTGTGATTTAACACTTCTAATTAATTAGAAACTCTTTTATAAATAATTATCGACTAATAGTTAACAGCTACTAAAACAGTTAATATTGTCAAACTGTAAGGTTGAGAACACAAGTTCGATATCTACTTTGCTAAGAAGGAAAAAAAAAAAAACACTTTCATATGAGAAAATTATTGATTATACCAAAAAAAACAGTCAAAGAAAAAGAAAAAAAAAAATCTAAGAAGCAATGTGGTTGTGAAGCAATGTGGTTGTAAGGCAATAACGAACAGCTAATGGACAGTTAGTTTAAGTGCACGACTCCTCCATTTGGCGCCATATTAAACGGGAAAAGGAAAAGGAAATGGCCAAACGGATCTGAGTTTTCTTTATTAAATTTGCTCATGCAAATGTCTGCCTTCTCTTCTGCCACTTTTATTTTTTAAAAAAAAAAAATAGAAAGAATGTGTCAGGAATCATTCTTTCATTAGACAGTTAGACATTTCTTGTTGACCATTTTTGCATGGGTCCCTTTTTCCTAATTTTCCTAACCAATTTTCTAATTATTACAATGCATATTTTAAAAACTAAAAAGTGTTGAAATGAATAGATTTCTTCTATTATTATATGATGTTTTTGTAGTTGAGAGATCTTTCAATTTTTAAACAATTTTGTTATATAAAAATTCCCATTCATAGCTTTTGTGCATTTTAATGTTGTCTATGCTTGCAAGGAACCTCTATATAGTCATAATAGAAAATTATGATATGTTCAAAGTATTCAGAGTTAAAGATATATTGTATTTAGTTAATTTCATAATTAATTAATTAATTAAATGGGAACACTTCAAAAATTATCTATTGGCATGTTAAATGAGTTTGTCTTTTATTTTATTAATAAAATTATGAGTTCTAAAATCAAATTATATGTAATTTTGTTTACTAAATTTTGTGCAAAATCTAATTTATTATATTTATAAATGTAATAATAGAAAAAAAATGATGAGATTGAAATTTTAATGATTGAAAACAAGATTTCATTGTTACACATATTATCTCAATATTAATTAAAAAGCTAAATGTTATAACATTTAATGTTTGATAAAAAAAAAACACTCGTTGAACCTCTAAAAGCTATTATAAAAGTTGTTACCGACAGTACAATCAATTAATAGATATAGAGTTTTAACTTGGTCAAAATACTAAAAGTTAGTTTAAAAGCTATTGCCGGGATCTTAGAGACTATTCCGCAAAATTAGTTATTTGTTTTTGTAGGGGAGTGACTCCTACTCATAGTCACTTGGATGTGAGAGTCCTTGTCCCGGCCCTTCATAGGTGCCCCTACGCCTATGGAAGGTGCCACTGGTTGCCTTATTGTAATCTTTGTTGCCTCGATGTACGATTTGACATATAAATAATAATTACTATTTTGCCCCTATGTGCGATGTTGTGCTATGTTTTGCTATGTGTTCCTCGATGATGCTTGGATTGTTTTTATATCCGAACCCATATGATTATATATTGGAATTATGTTATTCTAACGTCCATTATTGGCTTGCAGATAACTAATTAATACTCTTGGCTGGCTTGTTTGAGGGTGTGCCAAGCAAGCGCCACACGGTCCGGTCTTGGTGCGTGATTTGGGACCGTGACAGTTTTGGTACTTGTTAGTTGCTGTTTTGGTATTTAACTATTAGTTGTTCTAGTGCCTTTTCATGAAATGCTAAAAGTTAAAACTAAATATTATGTGAGTTAACTTTTTATAAAACGCTTTGGTAACCTTTAAAAGCTAGTTCAAACTATATGTTATCAAAGATTATAAAAAAAATAACAATCAGTGTTTTGATCAATTAAAACAAAAAAAAAATTACTTAAAAAATTGTTACCGAACGGAAGCTTAATTCATTTGAGTTTAGAGACATGCAAGATAATCCTGAAGTTAACACTTGACGCTATTATTTTTTCTTTTTAGACCAATTCCTCAAATATCAATCAAAAGACTAGGGAAAAAAAAAGATACCTATCCGGCTATCCCTACCAAATGCTTGCTAAAAGTGTTTACAGTAACTACAAACTACCACCATCATTGAGATTAAGACAACCTAAGCCACCCAGTCCAATGTTATGATCAATCTAAACAAATAATTACACTGTAAAAATGGAAAATTGCAAATAAAAGTCTAAATCAATACAATAATACAACAATAATAAAATTTTGTATAAAAAGCAAGCTATAATTACGGAATATTATAAAGTAAAAACTACATATGGAAGTTTCACTTTCTGATCGTTTATTCTGAGGCAATGGCCTCTTTTTTCTACTAGCTAAAAAGCGTATCTTTTCTTTCTGTATCATCATCATCATCATCGTAATTATACTATTTATTAATGATTATTATTATGTTGGTTTAGGCTCTTTCATCACACAAATCTCTTCTTTGAATTGCCACTCCCTTTTCTTTTCGAAATCTTGCTAGTGTTCATGAACCCAGATACTCTCCACTTCGTTTCTTGTCAAATTTTCAGTTCAGGAACAGGTTTCTTGATGAGACTGCATTTGGGTTGTTGCCATTTCTCTTAAAGGTACGTTGCTGATGACTCTTTTATGTTTTGGTATTTTGGGAATTGCCTGTTTGGCTACTGAGAAAACTGTGCAAGAATAAGAAAGGAAATGGTCATTTTGCATTTCTCTGTTTTTATGTCGGCTGCCTTTTTATGAAACTGTGAGTCTGTGAATAGTTGAAAGTGACTAAAAGTGAGCAATTTCAATTATCAGGTTCAGTTTACTACAGGCTTTAGCCTTTTTACCAGTACAAAAGATGAGAATTCTAAAATTTAATGATTTATTTTTCTTTTTAAGATTGCTCTGTTTTCTATATGTGGAACTTGGTTTATTTTGTTCTCAAGATTTTTCCTTTTTGAGATCATGTGTCCCAATTATATCTTGATTTTAAATCAAGAATTCAGATTGAAGTTTGAGCTTCCTTATGTGCTTAATTCTAATGCCAAAGCTAATGATTTCTTTATCTTAATTGTTGGATCTTTTGATGGTTCATAGCCTTCTTAGTCTTCTCTGTTCTTTCAAGTATAAAAAATTGGCTTGCCCATGAATTTTCTTGATTTAAGCCCACAATTATCTTAAAAGTTAATTTTCTTCAATCAATTATGACCAGTTTTATCTATTTGCTAACTGGCTACATAGGAGATCATTCATTATCTGCAAATCAAGATGTGAAAAATCCATTTTTCTTGGTTTTATTTTTAATGACCTTTATAAATTATAAACCATTACCATTTAAAATTTACAGAAAAATTTCATTAGAATAGCTAGTTATTCAGTTGGTTATGAACCCATTGGCTAGATATCAACAAAGATGCTAGTGATTAATGGATCTTAATTATTCCCAGGTCAGTAAAATTTCCCAGTTGTTTTGCCAAGTCAGGGAAAAAGTAAACTGACAAACTTTGCCATTACATTTCTTGTTAACTGGGTTCAGAAGTCTTGATTTATTTTTATAATCTCATATGTTAGTGATATTGGGAGAAATTTGTTGGCCTTGCAGGTTGTAAAGAAAGTAATTTTGTGGCTATAAAATATATTTCAGGAAAAGATATTGTTTCTGAGTTTTAATGGGGTGAAGCAGAAGAAGATGAATTGCTGAGACCATTTATTAGCTGAAGCTGCATGGGAGGATTACTTCACCTTTTTGACTTCAATCACTGGCATAGCAGCATGGCTAGGAAAATTCTTGCACATAAGCGACATGTCGAGGGTAACTATTTGTATAATTATCATTTCTTTTATGCAATTAGCACCGTTAGGATGTACACTAATTTGTTACAAGTATCTTCCAATTCTGAATAATGATGGTTCAATAATAAGATATTTTCTTGATTCATCCTTAACGCAAATTTTCGACAAAATTGTAAGTTCTATACATATGTACTTGAAGTTTTCAATTCGGCGTATTAGATGAACTGATTAGAGAAGCTCATATTCAACTAATCTGCAGCATTAGAAGCTCCTCGAAATAGCTTGGAGCTGCAAGTAGAAACATCTCAGAGTTGTTGTGCTGCTGGGGATACGGTGGTAATCGATTTATTTATCTCTTGTTCTCTTTTTGTTTATGCATTTGTATAACTTTTAGCTAAAATATTTTATTACCCTTTGTTAGGTTGAAGAAGAATGGCCTGAAAGGACTTGTTACCCGATTGAGGCTTCGATGAAGAGATTGATTAATGAGGAAATTTCCAAGCAATCTAATAATAGAAAGAATACTCCAAGCATTGTTGCTCGGCTAATGGGAGTGGATATGTTACCAATGGATGAAAAATCTGCAGCTCAGCCTGTTGATAGAAAGAATGTGAACATTGAAACGAAGTACTCGAGAAAGGCGAAAAATGAAAAGAGCTCCGTTGCTTTTCTCTCTTCAAACTCAAATTCAACCAGGCAAACGGAATATGATTCATTGTACTACGGTAGGGAAAGAAATGTTGATAGATGGAATAATGGTCACAAGTTAGGAAAACTGAGGCCTCGGGAACATCCTCAAGAAGAGGAACTACAGATGTTCAAGAAAGAATTTGAAGCATGGCAAGCTGCCAGGTTTAAGGAATGTTCAAAGGTTGTTGAATTTAGGAGCAGTCCTGATCAGTTGCTCGCCCAAGAGAACATATTGAAGCAAAATGTTTTACCCACTGCAATGTCAACGAGCGAGAAGATTGTGGAACACAAGGGTCATGGGCTAAAAGCAAAATCGCGCGAAAGAGCTACTTTGCATCATAAACATAAATTGGAAGTATTCCCAGTTGAACAGAACGAATCTTCGTCTTCAAGAGGCAAAAATATGAACAAGAACTACAAGCATTCCTCGATAAATTATGATCAGAAAGTGGATATATCTTCTGCTCCCACAAAAATTGTGATCTTGAAGCCTGGTCCTGATAGATTTGGTGAACCAGAAGAGTGTTGGACTAGTTCCTCATGCAATTTAGAGGATAGAGGTAGCATAGAAGATTTCCTTGAGGAGGTGAAGGAACGGTTGAAATGTGAATTGCAAGGGAAAACAGTTAAAAGGGGTTCTGTAGTAAGAGGCAGTGGAATTGAGACTCCTTTCAGTGAAAAGCCTTCAGATCCCAAACAAATTGCTAAGCATATAGCACAACATGTCAGAGAAAGTGTTACAAGAGACCTTGAAATGAATCTTCTCCGATCAGAATCAACACGGTCGTATAGAAGTGAGATTCAATTTAATGGAGCTGGTTCTCCTGAGTTCATAAATAGAGATACGAGAAGATTCTTGTCAGAGAGATTAAGGAATGTTCTCAAAAGAGAAACACATTCTCTTGATGTTCCTTTAGTTGTTAGTGGCAGCTCTGGATCATCTTTCTTGAATAATGAGAAAGTCAGACTAAAAGAAGTTGAAGATACCTCACAAGCTGGAACATTGTCGAGCTATTGGGGGATTGCTAAAGATGAGCAAGAAATGCAAACTAGATCTTTTAGACATGGAGATGATGATGGGATGCTTCATAAAGAATTATCTCCTAGGAATCTAATCAGGTCTTTATCGGCTCCCGTGTCAGGAACATCATTTGGTAAGCTTCTTCTTGAGGATCGCCACATTTTAACAGGCGCTCATATCAGAAGGAAACATGAAGCCCTTGAACATATGACAATGGAGTTGAAAAAAAGGAAGAAAGAAAGGTTCAATATTAAAGAAAAAGTTTCCAATTTCAGATACAGTTTGACTCTTCGAGGAAGACTATTTGGCAGAAAACTTCAATCAAAGGTGGAATCACATGGTTTTGAGCAGGATTTTGTGAAGGATATAACGAGTGGACCGACAATTGTTAGAAACTTAAGCGAAAGACACATAATGGTACACTATTCAATTCATTATTTCATTATTTTCTATGAATATAAGCAAATATACAGAAATTTTCAGACCCCTTTTATTCTTGTGATATTAGGAGAACTCGACGGAGGTGCCTCCAAGCCCTGCATCTGTATGCAGTAGTGCTCAAGAAGAGTTCTGGCGGCCAATGGATTACCTCAGCCCAGATATCACTCCACTGGATGATAGTTCTTCAACACAGGTTTTCAAAGAGATCAGCTCTAATCTGAATGGTACAGAAACGATTCCTTTCAGCTTATATAAAATGCACATTTTCAAAAGCTAAAATGTAATTTTATTTTCCTGTTGTTGACTATGCAGAGTTGCGGAGGCAACTAAGTCAGCTAGAGTCGAACCAGCCTGAAGACTTGACAATAGAACAAGAGCCTAATGACTGCATAATGGATGATTTGGAAGACAAAATAGAAGTTTATATAAGGGATTTACTTGTTGCTTCAGGTTTCTATGATGGATCATGTGAAAAATGTTTGTCTAGATGGGATCCACTTGCAAAGCCTATTAGCAACTCGGTGTTCGAAAACGTTGAAGAATCTTACAAAAAATTGGCTAAAGAGATTGAAAGCAATACTAAAGAGCACAAAATGTTATATGATTTATTGAATGAAGCACTTTCAACTGTACTCGGACCCCCTGTGACCATGTCTAGATTCAGAAGAAAGCTTATGAGTTCCTCCATCTTACCACCATTGCACGGAAGGAGATTATTGAATTGTGTAATGGAGATAATCCGCGCAAACTTAAATTCTCCAGAAGATAAATCTTACCACTCACTAGATAGTATGGTGGCAAGGCATTTGGGATCCACACCTTGGTCTGGCTTGATTGATGATGAGGTAAATGGTGTAGGAAAGGAAATCGAATGTATGATTGTGGGAGATTTGATAAAGGAAATTGTGAATGATATATCAATTTGTAATTATGTTTGAGGTACTAATTTTTTCTACTTTAACCATTTTTATGGCTAGCAGGTTGCTTATTGTCATCATAGATAAAAATGTGATGATGAGAAAGGTGTTGGTGAGTGAGAGTAGCTATGGAGGGAAGGTGTACAAATGATTTTAAATGGGTACATCTTCCTAATTGGAGATTGCCATGTTTTTTTTACTATAGGTGAGTGCTTTAGCGGGAGATTTCTTGTTCATGTATGTATATATAGTATATGTATTTATTTTGTGGGTGTTAGGATGCAAAAATCAGTTCACATGCCTAATGACTTAGGATCTCTTCGGTAATATTAATTGTTTTAATAGTTGTTAGCAGTTCTATTAATTGTTAGCTATTAGCTCTTATCTGCTACTTGTTTATATAGGTAAAAAGAGAACATTTAGTTGTCTAATTAGCTGAATTCGGAAGAAAAAAAGAAGAAGATGAAATTATCAAAATTAATTAATTAAAACTAAAAATTAAATGATAAAGCTAAGCTAAACCTTTGAGTATTTAACATTTCGTAAAAAATTCACTTAACCTCTAAAAATTATTAAAATTGAATGTTAAAATTAATAGAAATAGAGTTTTAACTTGATCAAAATACTAAAAGCCGTTGCAGAACAATTAGACTCCAATCCTTCTAGGATTTGGGTTTCACTATCTCTACATGTGACTCTGTTTATACATAACATTGGAAAGAGAACAACCGACGAAGAAGATGAGGATTCAGGAAGCTCTTTGCTGCACCATCACAAAAAAAGCCCCAGAATCTGATGGAAAAAAATTTGTCTAGATCATGTTTATGCTCCGTACAAAACCAATAAAATTAAAGATTCTTTAAAAAGTGTTCCGATCTTATTCTTTATTTTTCAAGTATACGGTCAGAAATACTCTTATTTCAATAAAATATTTAATTTTATTATTTTAATTAATAAGTGAAGCCATGAACCCGATCTCGATAAGTATTCCCGAATCTCACAAAAATAGCGAGGTTTGATTATCAGCCAGACAAATGGTGATGTTGATGCATGTACATTCATGCATGATAGAGGGGGATTAAACAAGAAGATCCAATGGATTAAATAGCCCAAACTCACTTGAACTGTCGATGATATTATTGTTGTGTCGCACTAATTAAAAAAATGGGTCAAGCCCAAATCCAAAGAGAATTTTTGAAGATCAGACAAAATTTTATCCAAAGCCATTGATTGATTTTCTGCAACTTCTTGCAAAATTTTCCATTTCATATGTTTGAATTTCTATAATTTTTCCATATTTGAACATTTTATTCCCTTTGGAAAGTAAAATCCACTAAAGAATAATCATTGCAATGTTGAAAATTGGGGAAAAAGTTCACTAAAGAACAATAATTGCAAGAGCTGAAATAAGTCAATAACTTTTTTTCCTTTATTATACAAATTGGTTAGTGAAAAAGTGCAAGATCTCCCACTGATCTCAGGCTCATGGAATTAGAAAAAAGAAGTACCCTGTCCACATATTAGGAATGGCCATGGATCGGCTTTTTTAACACTTATATCTATCTTAAATATATATTTATTTATCATATATTGTGTATTGAGACAGCACGAATTATAGACAGATTGGATTTTATTAAAAAAAGGATTTATAATGAAAAATAATATTTTTGGAATCTGTTGATTATATTTTTAAAAATCAAACTCACTCCACTTTAAATGAAAAAGATTTTATTCACTCCGTTTACATTGAGTTTAAATAAATCCAATAAAATAATAATTCCGACCACTTAGAGGCTATTGTTTTTAATTATGTGTGATACTTTGATTTGATAATTTATCAAATTCTTTTCAAGTTTATTGATTGAATATTCATATAGAATCATCCTTCAATTATTGAAGTTATAATTTGTACCTTAATTGGAATTCAATTAATTAAATTTTTACTGATATTGTAATAAGGCTAATTGAATTTCTATTTTATAGTGCAATTAATTGAATTTCTAATTTATTGTGCAATAGATTATATAATGAATGGCTATGTCAAACTTAGCTATCTTTCTATATAAATATATAATTTATAAAGCAAAAATGTCTATGTGGCAAGTTATTTATCAACGGTAGCTCCTACCTTCTACTTTTTACTGTCTTTTTCGCTTTATCTTTTTTTACTTTAATAAACTCATATCTATTTTTCTTATAACAGATCTGTCCTTTTTTATTTGTTATTGTTGATTGTCTCTATATTTGGAATTTTTTTGTCCTCTCTATGAGGGTAATCCTTTCTTTGTGAATGTTTATTACTAAATAAAGCTATGATATTTGATTTTATTTGGTTGGAAACTGTAGATCTTGATTTGTAGGCGTGAATCTTCGATTGATGAGTCTGGTAGTGTGACTTGTTCCTTTATTAATGCTATTGACGCATAGCGGCAGAAACTCATTTGTATTCGTCATATGTTGCAAATTATTGGAAAAATAATTTAGTTATAGAATATTCATAGGAATTACTATTTTGACATCCAAATTAATTAATTAACTAGTTGCTGCTACGGAGATTTATAACTTTTGTTAAGATCAACTCAAAGTGGAAATATTTAATATTATATTTTTTTTAGTTTTCATTTCATTATTCAAAAGGATATGAGTTCCTTTATTTCGTTAAAAGATCAGTAAATTTTATTACATTCTAATAATAAAGTTCTATATCAGGTCTGTATACTTATTTGTAATTTTTAATATTATTATTAATGAATTACATTTAAAAAAAAAGCTTACATGGCAACATATTAAAATATAAAAGTGATGATGTGCCATTTTAATTTTTTTATATATTAATCTTTTTTGCATTTGATAAAAATTAAAATTTTTTATTAAATAATAGAGTTACAAACTAATAAATTTAATGAAATAATTTTCATTTTAATTAATATTTTAACATTAAATAAATATTAAAGTTTTAATAAATTTCTTATATAAAAAATTAATAAAATCGTTATAATATAGTTATAGTTAATAAACATTTAGTAAAAAATAGAATTAAAATATAATTTCAATTTACTAAAAGTTTATTTTATTAAAATTAAATCTTTCTATACCTCATTTAATTGTAGAAAATTTGAATGTACGAGAATTCAAAGAGAAAAATAAATAAATAAATAATAAACTATTTAATTTGAATTATAATAATCAATTATATTAATAAATATTTCAATTTATTTGAAACTTTCAAAAAGAGTATATAATTTTACTTTTCATCATTTAATAAAAAGTACATAAATAAATTATTTTAATTAAAAAAACACAACATAAATGACAATAATTTTTAAAGATTTATCCATTTGAATCGGTTAAAAAATAGAAAACTAAATAACTCTTTATGAAACAATAAACATTTGACTCATGAAACAGTTCACAAACTACAAATAGAAACCCAAATAATCCTCTCGGAAGCAAAACGCTGACTTAGAGGGAATTTGTATTACAAATGATCGAACCCATTATCTAAGCTATAATAATTAATCATGTAAATACTCTTTTCCACTGAATTATATCATTCAGATTTTTTTTAAATAAACTAATTTGTCTAATAAAGTGAAACTAAAATATTTGTGAATGGAAAGTGCAAAAACCAAATAAAAATAAAAATAAAAATAAAATAGTAACATATTGAAGAGATTTAACCATAGGTGGATGTGCAATGATTAGAGATAATAAAAAGAATGCAACATTATACCAGAAAAAAAAACAAAACACTTGTGGCAGGTGGATATAGTGGCCCCACATTGGCAGTATTGGCAACAACAACTAGCTTAGCTTGTAGTATTCTAATTATATATATATATATATATATTATGGATTTTGAATTGGTGGTTAAGTATGCACCAACCGCCACAATTAGTGCCTTGATTGATTTATTAACTTCCAAGTTTTCTTTAAATTATAGTCTTGGAGCCCATAATTTCCCTTTCTCTCTCTCTCTTTTAAAATTTGCAAAGCGTTAAAATTTTTGAAAGGAAAAATTACCGTATGCTTTGCGAAATATAACTAGTTCATCTCAATTTTTTTTTAAATATATCAATTTGTTTCTATATTTTGCTTTTGTTATACTATTTGGTTTTTCTATTCATTTTTTACATCCTTTCGGTTAAGTTAACAAGAAAACACGGAGGTCAAATGAGAGATACTAAAATATTATATCAAAAAAATTACAGTACGGTTTCTATAGGTTGAAAAATACAACAAGTATGTCCTTGTGTTTTTTAAAATAAAAGGGATATTTTCATACTTAACGGAAAAAAAAATGCAAAAATTAGACAGAAGGACCTTATAGTTTGACGAAAATAAAATATAAGAATGTTTTAATTCATTTTAATAAAGACAAAGATAGAGTAGTTGTATTTCGTAAACTATAAGAATTATACTGTAATTTTTCCTTTTTGAAACCTTCCGGTAACTAAACTAAAACTTGTATTTTTGTTCTTGCTAGAATTGAGGTCCTTTATCATTTCAATCTATATCTTATTAGTTTTTCATTTTTTTTAAGAATAAAGATCAATTTATTTCCTGAACTTATCTAGAAAGATTAAAAAAAAAAAAGTCAATTTTGACCTTTTGAGTTATTTAGCAATTGAATTTATTTAACAAAATTGAAAATGTCAGATTTGATATTTCAAATCAATTTTAATACCTAAACTTATTTTGATTTATGAAAATAAATAAATTGATTCAATTCAATAAGGTTGGCTTTTATTGTATTTTGTTCTAAACTAGAAACACGTCAAAACCTTTTCAATACTTCTGAATTGAAATTTAAAATCAATAAAGGTATCATTTCTTCTTTCGCATAATAAATTCATATGACACTATAATATAACTTTAATTTATTTAATATGAAAAATATATGAAATTCATAGAGTAATAAATGTCATTTTTTATAATTATACTTAATAGTCAAATTTGAATTCACAGCTGTTATTATACCTATAAAAATTGCAATTTCAGTTTATTTTTTATAAATAATTTAAGAACATCAACACGCAATCTGTGATGAAAATAAAAAATTACAATGTTCAAAAATAACTTAAAAATTAAAAAAAGTTATACGAATTTTCAATATATTTATATATATTCCAATTTTTTGATTTACATATATTTTTTTTCTAATTTCTTTCCTTGACCTGACTTCAAATCATCGTTTTCGCCACTGGGTATTATTGTATTAAAACTTATTGAAATAATTCTTTGCTCTTTTTTTTTTTTTTTTTTTTTTTTTTTATTTTTTTTTGTCT